GTGCCGCCTTGTACATCCGCCGTAATTATTTGCCATTCCCCCTTCTATAACCCCCCATTGAAGTCGGTGAAAGCTAATTATGATCAGTCTACTTTGAGCGAGTGCATCCCATGTTCCCGTTCCTTGACCGGACGACTTTCGAGACTACAGTGTCAAGTCCCAACTTCCCCAATCTCCTCGAACGCAGCAAGCCATGGTGTTGTCTCTACCACAGCGTCCTTGCTCTAGGGTCCCAGTATGCTGATGGGGGGACATTCGAGCCTGGTAAGGGCGAGTCGTGGCGGCTGTTCTCTATCAGCTTGAGCGGCTTCTCGGAGCTCCTGCTGCTTCCTGATTCTCTCACCACCTTGCAGGCATTGACGGCCATGTCTGTCTATGGCTTAGGGATCTCGGGCTTGGCTGTTGAGCCTGTCATCATGTCAGAGGCGGCAAGACGGGCTCAGATGATGTCCAGTCATAGCTTTACTGGTCCAACGGCTCACGCTTACCAGAAGTCTTTCTGGATTCTATATGCGGTTGAGAAAATCACCAGCTTCCACTTTGGGAGAAGTTCCGTAAGTGCTTGGAATTTCCCTCTCTTTACCACGCTAGCGTCATACTACCTATGATGGATGCACACTTCTTGTTTACTTGCTCGGCACTGCTGACAACGACAAGGGATTCGTCGATAGCGACATATCCTGTCCCATCCCCGTCGTCCCCGAAGCAACATCGGGAGACTTTAGCTGGTTCCTGCACCTAGTGCGTTTCGCTCGCCTCCTTTCTCGAGCATATACATCACTCTTCTCGGTCGGCGTGTCGGGCAACTCCGACTCGTACTATCTCGACGTGATTGACCAATTAAACGGTGAACTCGAAGAATGGAGAGCATCTCTGCCAGACAATGGCTTCCGCCCGGGTGGAATTCTACGCCCTCAAACCGTATCCGGTCCTAATGCGAGATCACTCGCTCTCATTCTTCATTATCTTTACTACAGCATGTTACTGACTCTTGCGAGAACTACGCTGTGCTATTTGCCTGTCCCTGAGACGCCGGCGGTGAAAGCGATAAAGGACGACAAGATGAAGACCATTTTGAATGCATCGAGGGCAATTTTGGAGTTGACTACGATGATTGAAGTTGAGCCATACACGGTCACATGGTAAGTAGAGAGCGAACTTCGAACTACACCCGCCGTTATCATCAGATCGGTGCTGACAGCCCGTAAGGGTCCTTGCGGGAATCCCTATTACCGCACTTTTTGTCTTATTTGACCTTGTGATTCATGATCCTCGGCAGCCAGATACAGGCACCAATCTGGCTCTGCTCGACATGGTTGCTGGTCACTTCAGTCGGATAGAGTATGCCAGCGGCGGCACCGTGCCCGGTTCTTTGATAGCCGAGTTCGCCAAGATTGCGCGAGACTACGTGAACGAGATTCAGCATGCCGAGGCTGGTTTGATGAATCCCGCGAGACCACATGCACCCACAAATCCTTCCACGATGCAAATGGTACAGCAATCGTCAGAGCTTGATGCCAGAAACAATAAACAAGTGGATAGGCCAACTCAGATGACTTTGGATCTATCTGATGTAAGTTCTCGGCCTCACAAGGTCTACCTTTCATCAAGGAAAAAAGCGTCTAATCATCATCTGCGTTAAAAGACTCTGCCGAGGGAGGCCATGATGTCTGGTCCGATGCAGCAACCAGGATACACCGACTTTGCGTTCGACAGCGGGATGGGCCAGGTATCTCCTAGTGCGCTCATGGGAACCGACGTGATGGGAATCTTTAATTATTTCCTGCCCGATCTGGACCCGATGTTTTACCAGGGTATGACGCAGGAGTACGATCTGCTACCACAGCAGCATGGAGGGACCGTTCAGAGCATGGACAAGTGAGATGATGCGGACGGGGTCCAATTCTTAATCTCCGTCCGTTTGCCAGGCCGGATGCAGCATGACATAACCTTATTTTTGGAGCTATAATAATGCATGCCCCCAACGGATACTAGCAGCTACCCTAGTTGCTACGCCCGGCAGTCGAGATCGTTGCTAGGCATAATGACGAAATGCTTATGAAGAACAAAATCGAACGTTCGCTGGAGCAACCCTCCAGGATGAAAAAGCAGGTAAGACTGCGTGTGTGTGTGGGTGGGAGATCACTTGTTCTTCGGTGGCAGTGAGCTCCGGGATCCCGGGCTTCGCTCCGGTCCGCTGCAAGGATCAGCCGGGTCTCGGACGGTCCAATGCAGCCTAGCGTCTCCTCCAAAGTCCGTTTGGTGGATCCCCAAATGTCGTGGCCCCCTGTCTTTTTTCCCGCAGAAAAGCGGCACGTTTAAAAGAGTGTTGCCGCCAACAGAGCAGAGCTTGGAAGAGAAACATATCATGCGATGAACGACAACAACTCATACACTTCTCTAATCTCTGACGAGCCCCATATTCTCATCTGTAGATCTTGATGGCATCCGAAAGCCCAGCTTCACAGGCGAGTACTCCGGTAGGCGACAAACCACGCAACGTCTTGGCCTGCGTCTTTTGTCACCAACGCAAAATCAAGTGTGACCGAAAGTCCCCCTGCGCCAACTGCATAAAGGTTGGTTTGTCATCATCTCACTCACCCTTCAGCCGATGGGCCCGAGGTCTACGCACCCACACCGAGGCGCAACGCATACTCACTGATGTGATCACGATAGTCTGATCAACCGTGCGTGCCATCGACGCGAGCACCACCAGGAGCTGGTAGAAGACGCGTGGTGAAGGACCTGTTGGAGAGATCGAATCAGTGTGAGAGTCTTCTGAGCCAGGTGGCTCCGCGCGATGCCGATGGCCGCCCCGTAAATCCCGACACGCCGGGTTCCTCACGCGATGTGGCGGACAGCCCGGCAATGTCCCACATAAGCTACGAAGAAGCCCGGAAACAACCCAGCTCGAGACCGAATGGCAAGATTGTCTGCGATGAAGGTCGACCAACATTTATGGAAAATCCGTTTCGCGGCAATGTTCTTGATCACGTAAGTGCACTGTATTTCGATCAAACCATAAGTCCCACCCAGTAAAGATCTAAGTGGAATCTAGCTCCAATTCTCCAAGCTCAGTCTCGAAGACAATGACACCGAGCAATCAACGAACCCGTCTGGTTCTACTAGCGTCTCAGAACGCGGCGACTCAACTCACCAAAAGTCTATGGACTTTGACATATTAGCTCTGGGACCAGTCGAAGTTCTGCGCCTGTGGCAGGTATTCCTGGAACGAGTCAACCCTATGATCAAGGTCATTCACGTCCCTAGCCTGGAACCTCTAGTCTTTGAAGCAGCAACAGACCGCTTCAACCTGAGCCCCGACCTCGAGGCCCTGCTCTGCTCCATCAACGTTGTTGCAATCATGGCCTTGTCGGAAGCGGAATCAATCCAGATGCTCAAACTCGAAAAGGCAAGAGCATTACGAAATTCAATGTCTGCACTGAAAAAAGCCATGTCCAAAGTGGACTTTTTACGAAAGTACAATATGACCACTTTGCAGTGCTTAGTGCTATACCTGGTAAGATGTCTGTCCCACACAAGCATGACTCTGATCTAAATGCAGGCTAGGTTTCTCTTCAGGGGCAATTCGATCGCCACGCCGCATGGGTGTTGACCGGCATGCTAGTCAGGATAGCTCAAAGGATGGGTCTCCATCGCGACGGAGAACTCATAGGTCTTCAACCATTCGAGACCGAGATGCGCCGCCGAATCTGGTGGCAAATCATCATGCTAGAAACAAAATACGCCGTCCTCGCAGGCTTCGGCGACACGCTCCTCCCGCCTAATTGGGACACAAAACTCCCATCGAACGTCAACGACGCCGACTTACTGCCCGGCTCAACAGAGCCGGTCAAGTCTCGCGATGGAGCAACCGAGATGGCATTCTGCCTCATGCTCTACGAATCACGCGCCTTCTTCTGCGACAATCCGATGCCGGAGTTCGAATCAGTCATCCTCAGCGGGGACAAAATCAGCCCGGAGAACTCGAGGAAATTCTCCGGTCAACCACATGTCCTCGACAGGTATCGACTCGCGCTAGACCAGTACGATGAGAGACTCGCTGTGGCCGAACGACGGTTCTGCAACCCGACGGCAGGCGGCATACATCTCGTTGCGAGTAAGATCCGGTCTTTCACGGCGCAGAGGATGCGCGACATGATTATGCACGCGCGAGAGCCATGGGACGAGAACAAAGACGGCGGAGCTAGCCAGCAATCCTTCTTCAGAGCATGGGTCATTTCCTTCGAGAGCGACGTTAGCTGGTACGACACGATCGACGACAAGTTCACCTGGTACCTAAAACTCCATTTTCAATCTGACGCTTTCTCCGTCATGATTGAGCTCCTACAGTGGCAGCCCGTCGGAACACTGGTTGACAGGGCATGGAAGGCCATCGACCGACTCTATCACCACCACCCGGAGATGTACGACTTGACTAGGAAGGACAACTTGCTGCGCGCGGAAAACTTGCTTGCAGGGTGGGCACGACGGGAGCTTGCGTTCCGAAATCTAGGCATGTCGTGTGACACGCCGCTCGTTGTGGCACGGTTCCGGAGCAGCGAAGTTTTCAAGCAGAGACAGCCCGACGGTTTGCCAGTTGAGCAGTGGCCGGCACCGACGCCGGACACCGCGCTGTTCTCTGACATGAGTCCATCCGACTTTGAGACGTTTGATGGCGGGATGCCTGGAGATACTCATGGTCTTAACTTCAGTCTTTGGGGTGGTGGTGGGCCAGGGCAACATGCTCTATGATGAAGGTCCGGCTGGTTTATGGGTAGTAAATGGCTCGGGGAAAGGGGGTTGTGCGTTTCAAGCACACGACCATGACTTAATGACACTGAAGACGGCTCAAGGGTAGACTGTACCCAATAAGGAGTTTATTCCCTCAATGCAAGGGTCTTTAGGGCTCTTGGAATATCTTTGAATCACCTCTCAAAATTCACGGATAGATGTTTTGTACTTGCTCTGGCCTGGTTTATCGAGATGCTATAGCAAATTTATGCGCGGGCTTCACGCGCAACTGGCTTCAAGTAGACATTCAGCGGTATTCTATCCCACAAACCAAATGCTCTTTGCCTCTGAATCCAGGACCCGTTTCCTTCGGCCAGTTGAAGATCAAAGTCAAAAACGATTCGGGCTAAAATCAACCTCATCTCTGCATACGCGAGACTGTTTCGCATAGGTTTCAGCGTCAGCGGCGATAATGGTTCAATGGATAGATGAGGAGTTCTTACTTCTTCCCAATGCAGTTGCGTGGGCCAACGCTGAATGCTTGAAGTGCGTCTAAATGGTTGTGTTCCTCTTTGTTAGTTTCCAGGAAGCGCTCCGGCCTGAACTCCCAGGGCTTGGTCCAGTTGTCTGGACTATGGTTCGCGGACCATTGCTGGATCTCGACGAAAGTCTTGGAGGAAAGTCTGGATTAGCCACCTGATGGGAACCTCGAAAAGGAGAGTTGGTACACAAGGCTACTTACTCCTTGAGGCACATGTTCTGCGCCAATCTGACACCCAAACGCCGGTACCTCTCGAATGAGGTTTGACGTCACGGGAGGATACATACGCAAAGCTTCATTGAGAACAGCGAGCATGTATGACAACTTGCTCACTGAGTTGATGGTGACCTCGCTAGAGTCGCTAAAGCTCGATCGGACCTCCTCGTTAAGTTTCTGCAGGACCTTGGGATTTCTCAACAGAAGATATGTCGTGCCGGCCAGAGTTGTAGCCGTAGTTTCCGAACCGGCGAGGACGAGAATGAGACCATTGGCTGACAGCTGTTCAAATGAAAGGTTCTGCGCACACAAAGTTAGCGCAAATTCACCTCCTCGAGGAGTGGCTTTGGGGGCCACATTCCCATTCTTCTTTCTTTCTCAAGAGTCCCTCGAACAAATCCTTCCGGTCAGGATCCATATCAAGACGCGTTTGCATCATCTTATCGGTGCTCTCACGTAACTGCATCATCGCAGCAAGACCACCGATCCGGAAGAGGCCTTGGACAACAGGATCAAGGCCAATATACTTCATCGCTGTCATGATGGCATTGTATCGGATAGTTTTGAAGATGAAGGCAATCCAGGGGTGGTAGTCTGAGCGATCGAGACAGCCAAACGATTGCGCAAAGATTAGGTCGCCGGCAATATCGAACGTTGTCCAGTTATACCAAGCCTCCACATTAAGCGGCGCTTCTTTCCCGTCGCAGTTCTCATGCAAGCGAGAAATCAGTTTATCGATGTACTTCATGATAATGCCTTCTTGCGCTCGCATAGAGCTATCCGAGAAACCATGGGATAGCGCCCGCCGGTACCGCTGGTGCTCTTCACGCTCGGCATTGATGATGCTCGTGGGTAAATTCTTGATCGTCGTTGAGAAGAGCTGCGACTTGGGGATCTCGTTTTCCGCCAGCTCTTTCCCGATTTGAAAGCCGTAGATGTCTTTCCAGGCCGTCACATCGGTGAAGGACAGGTGATTTGGGCTGATACGGACTATGGGGCCATATCGGTCGTGGAGGAACTGGGTTCGAAAGGCTTGATAGCCTGTGGCATGTTGCCAGGCCCAGATTAGAGGAGAAGCGCGTTGAAGGACAGGTCCTGGAAACCTTCGTAGGGGATGGAGGAAGAGGTTGTAGCCGGCTAGGAGGAGTTGCCATAGGACGGCCTGGCAAGTCAGCCATGAGATTCTTCACTGAGGATATGATCTACTCTAATCTTGTGTAGGAATGCTAGTCACTTACTGTACCAAAGGCAATAGCCAGGATATGAAAAGGATGCTCAGAGAGAATGGACAAAACACCCGCCATTTCCGTAGTCAAATCTGGAAGGGTTAGCTTCTCAAGTTCTGTGATAATCTTCTTGCATCAACAAGAAACATCAACCCCGCGTTGGCGTTGACGCATCGTTTATGTAGATTCATCCCGAGTACGAGCCTTTCCGAGCTCCTCCCCTGGTGACAAACATGTTCGCTTCTTGCCCAATGCACACACAACTTGGTTCTGCGTCAAACAATCAACCACCTTCCATTGAGGGGCCGGGCTCTGCCCTAGGCGCAAGAAGTTTGGGGTCATCGGACGGTGGTTTCAATACCACGTTTCTTGCGCGGACCAATCCACTGTCCGGCTTTGTCACATTCATGCATGCAGCAACCGTAAATATGCATGGGGAGGTTGAGACGGTTGGCCATCTGCGAGTGTTACTCCGCATTGGTGTTGCACGACTTGATGTCCTGGTCATTGCCTTCCAGCATGGGGCACTCGTAACATTGTGGAATCAACGACAAATGAGAGTGATTGCGCAAAGATGGCAAGCAAATGAAAGGCATAAGTTGGAGATTCTTGCGCTCTTGAACGATTAGTCGACTTTCAACAGAGCTTACAAGCCCCAGACTTGATTACTTTCCCAGTGCGAGATGACAGAAGGCAAAGACACACGGAGATCCTCCCGCGGCTGGCTGATGCTTTTCTTATCCTAGCTTCAGCCGTTAGGATCACTGAAGTTGATGTCATTCTTGATTGACAACTTACCAGTCGCCTATCAAAACTCCGGGATGACAGTGCCAGCCCCCTTCTTCTCCGCAATATCCAGAATAGCCGTCCCGATAGCCAGATCCGTCGTACTGACACCGATACTTTTGTAGATGATCAAGCCATCCTCCAATGTCGATAGCGATTCCAGCTTCTCCCCTCGTTTCCGTGAAATCTCGATTTCTCCAATCTCCACTATGTACTCTGCCGCGAGTTTGCTCTGAACGATTTCGCCAGAGTGCTTAAGCGCAGACTCGCGGTCGTCGACTAGCACGGCAAGCTTTGAACCTTGTTCGCGGAGTTTCCCACCAGCGGCGTTGGTTGCCTGGACGAGCAGTTCTGGGTCTACTTCCAACATGTCCGCCTGCCAGGACCCGACGGCAGAAATGTATGGATTTCTTTCCTTTCTTCCGTTTGTGACATAGTGTGCCGGAAATACTGGGCTTTTGGTGCCGACTGTGCAGAAAATGGCGTCTGCTGCAGCGAGACGATACTGAAGTTGAGCGTCGTACTCGGAGCTAGAGGAACTCAGATACTCAAAGTCGGCGGTAGACTTCCAACGACCTTGGTTCTCCTCCTTCAATCTCGAGATGAGCTGCTGTGCGCGCTCCGCGGATCGATTCGCCACGGTAATAGTCTTGATCTCGTCGCCCCTCAATGATAACGCGAAGCGAAGATGCCACAACGCTTGCTTGCCAGCACCGAACACAACAATGTTATCGGTATGGCTCCGCCATAAGTACGGCACAATGGCAGAGAGTGCCGTGCGATATCCTGTAACCTCTTCGGCGTTGATAACGCCAAGGGGTAGGCCGTCCTGGTCGCAAATGGAGATAATGCCGTGCAAGCTGTTAGCTGCTGGGGATGAAGGAGCCGGGGTGACGACGATCTTAGTTCCGAAGGCACCGGCGGAGCTGAAAGGTCGGAAGAGGCATTTCATGCCCTCAGGTCTGTTCACTATCGATGCATCGGGCTGATAGTCGCGCTCCGCGCCCTCAGAGAGCTCTATCAGTGCTCCCACAAGCCGATCTCGGAGCTGGAGAATGCCACTTCTTGGAAGGTTGAGCAGAATATCGAGAACAGCGGCGTCGCTGAGGACTCTGAAATTACCCATGGTGAATGGTGAATGAGATGCTCAGGTTTGCAAAAGGCCGCTGAACAGTCAAGATCGTGAGGGGGTCGTAGTGTGGAGAAGTCTCGCGAAAGAGGCACGGATACTAGTATGTTGACAGTGACAAGACCTTATCAGCAGCTTGTCACCTCTTGATAGTCAGTTGGGTCACTGCGATAACAAATGTGAGTAGACGTATCGACAGTCTCCGTAGTTAGGCGGGTTACGGCAGTTTAGTTTGTCTTCTTCCGTCAGACCCGGCAAGACCTACCGGATTTAATCCCACCGGCACGGCATCCGATGCAGGGAAATGGGTCGCTGCGGCGGTTAGCTGAGCCGCTCGACGGGGTCCGTTGTGGGCTCCAGTTAACCGATTGCGAGCGGGTGATACGAAAGTTCAGGTGTAATACGAGCCGGTTCCTACTCCGTCAACGACCCTCCGTTCCGTCTCACCGGCACATGAACCGTTCAATTCATATTCCATGCGTTTGTGAATGAAATGTCTATCGGCCATGAAGCCTATTAATACCTACTACGCAGTACTTATAGGTTTGAGCACGAAGATGCGGATATCTAGGTCGTGAGTCTATAGTTCTTCTCATCCACCATCTTTTGAACCATCACACCATGACTATCGGCCGTACTTTCAACGTCGTCGGCGCCCACTGTGGCGGCGAGGTCTGCGACGTCATCGTTGGGGGTGTTCTCGACGTCCCAGGCAAGACAATGTTTGAAAAAATGATGCATTTCTGGAAAAAGGCAGACCACCTACGAAACCTGCTGATGAACGAACCCCGCGGCTCATCATCCATGTGCGTTAACCTCGTCCTTCCACCGTGCAATCCCGAAGCCGACGCGGGCTTCATCATTATGGAGCATGAGGAGTACCCCCCTATGTCCGGTGCCAACACCATTGCCGTGAGCACCGTCCTGCTAGAGACCGGCATGGTACCGATGCAGGAGCCTACTACGACACTGCGCCTGGATACGCCAGCAGGTTTGGTCACGGTCAAGGCCGAGTGCAAGGAGGGCAAGGTTACGTTTGTGGAGTTTCAAAACGTTCCGGCTTTTGTCTATGGCCTAGATCTAGACATCAACGTGCCGGGCTTCGACACGCCCATCAAGGCCGACATTGCATGGGGTGGAATGTGGTATGCGCTGGTCGACGCGAGCTCAGTAGGCCTACAGATCAAGACGGAAAATGGAAAGGAGTTAGTCGACATCGGCGAGCGAATCAAGAGGGCTATCCAAACGCAGACGAGCCCGGTGCATCCCGAAAACCCAGAGATCCGAGGCGTCAGTGTCTTCGAGTTCACGGACCCGCTCTCGCCCTTGGCGCCGGACACGCAACAGACGGCCGTGAACACGGTGGTCGTATCACCGGGAAGACTCGACCGGAGTCCGTGTGGGACAGGAACGTGTGCCCGACTGGCGGTTCTCCATAAGAGAGCCCAGCTCGCAGTCGGAGGATCGTTCCGTCACCGCAGCGTGATTGGGACCGAGTTTATCGGAACGGTAAAAAGTGAGGCAAAGGTCGGGGACTACGATGCTATTATTCCCGTGGTGAAGGGGACTGCCTGGATAACGGCTTTCAAGCAAGTCATCTTGCACCCAACAGATCCATTCCCGGAAGGGTTCAGGGTTGGAGATAAGTGGCATGTCAGTTAGAAGATTCATGTCCCGTAGATCTTGGCTACTTTTGTAAATGTTATTTAAGTGATCAGCACAAGTCATTTCACCCTGTTTTTCTCCAAGGAAGGCTTCTGTTTCAGCCTTCTCCAACACACTCGATCCGCATTTCTGCCCGTCCTAATGTAGGTCAGGGGCGCAGTTACATATTGAAGCCACAGCCAAGCCGGGATATTGTACAGGCATGTCACAACATATCGAGGTCCAAATTATCCAGGAATAGAACTAGTGGGTATATTTCAAAACGCGTGGATCTAATTGGATCGTTCTTCCGCGGACAAACTTGCTCGCCTAACCCATTTGATCATGCGAACATGAGGCTTAATGGGCCGAGGACACAGAATTCGAGTTGTCGGCGCAGGAAAATGCGGCCGATCCACCAGACTTCTTGTAGCTGTCCATAATTCCAACTACTGAGCCGTACGCTCCAGCAATCATCAAAAAGGTGCCGCTAATAACAACGAAGCAGCTGAAGCAGACCATGGCGATCCATCTCGGTCTCTTCTCGAGCTTTCCCTCGGCCCAATGGTCGTACAGCCACATGCAACCCATGGGCTGGAAAGACAACAGAGTACCGAAGAGGGCACCGACGAGGGCTACCAGGCCATCAAAGACGGGAATGGAGCTGGCAATGACATAGGCGGTGATTGCGATGCTTGCAGTGCAGGCGAGCCAGATACCCCAGTGCTTCATGGTGTTCTCGGTCAAGTGACGGGATCCACGTAGCAGGCGAATGAAGATGTACTTGGCGGGCAACTGAGGACACAAACGTTAGCATTGATGTTTGTTGGTGACCGGGTTGTAAGTTTGGAATCTACTTACGTGGATAACCAGAGTAGTGGTAACAATCAAGCCGGGGAAGGCAAGACCGTAGCAGACTCTCTTCATGGTCGCACCGGCGGAGCCAAGAGCAGGCGAGGCGACGTAAGAACCGCAGAAGTAGTAGACAACGCATCCGATGGCAATGTAGGTGGCAGTCACACCACCCTGGCAGATGACCAGAGCGCGAGTGTAGTGGCGAGGATCGCGCATCTCAGAGACGATGGAGAAGAAGGCAGGGGTACCGGCGAAGGCAAAGACGAGCGTCGAAAGCGCCGAGGAAGCCTGGGCGAAGGTCGGGCTTCCGACGACCTTGTAGTCCGAGGTCCAGTGTCCAGTCTGGGGAGCGGCAGCCGGTCGGTCCTGTACACCTACGGCAACGGTGACGGTGAAGACTGCGTATGCATGGTCAGCTTCTGAATCTGGAATTTCCTCCAAAGGGGTTTAGCGGCACTCACTGGCAGACATGATGCAGATGAGACCGACCCAGGCGAACCAGGTTATCTTTCCGAGGGTCTGGATGCTACCGAAGCAGAAACCAATCGCTGCGGCAATGGCGACGAAGCCAGCCGTGCATGCACCGTGAAGGGAAACCGAGTTGAGCGCGATCGAGGCACCTAGCATGCCAGAGCCGGCAACGAAGATCCAGTCTGATCGGGAGAGAGTGGTTAGTCCCTGAGTTACCCTTCGAACGATTTGATAAACTCACAAAGGCAGAAGACGATGCCGAAGAACTCGCGACCCACGCGGCCAAAGAGAAGGCGTCCAACATCGTCGATACCGTAGACCTCGGGGTGGCGAAGCTTGAAGACACCAACAATGTAATCGGACCACGTGGTGATAGCGGCGATGCAGCACAGGGCAATCACACCAGGCACAATTCCGAGGACGTCAAAGACACCGGGAATGGACAAAACTCCCAGGCCAATCTGCGTCTTCATCATCAAGGCGACTGTTCCTTTCCAACCAACCTAATTCAGTAATTAGCATCCGAATGGAGGCTTAGGCATTCCAAGCCAAAAAGTTTTTCCGGATTGCTCCTTACATTGCGGTAGTTGGGGCCGCCCTCTTTAATTTCACCAAAGACAGCATCGTAAGACGCGTTCGGGTCTTCCAAGACCTGGCCTTGTTGCGAATGTGTTGAGACGGGTCCCAACGCCTCAACATCCTCCTTGTTCTTCTGCGTCATCTTGGCAGTTGATGAAGATATTTTCACGTGATGTTGGTTCGTATGCGGTCGATCAGACAAATGTGACTTTAAAGTCTTTAGAGACACAGGTCACACGCGAAGTGGGAATTGTCGTCGAGATGATCTTTTAGACTAAAGGTACTGAGTCCGAGTTGGAAGGACAACCGAATTGAAGAGTCAAGAGTTGTTGTCGTTGGTGATAGTCGTTGACAGCTCAAGACGAGGAATGAGTGGCCAAGCAAATGTTAATATGCATTGACACTGAAGCGAAACTGGTAGCTCACTAGAGAGATTGATAGCTTAGAGGCATGATGAGAAGACCCATTCCCAAGTTGGGACTGGGAATGATGCGCTTTTGTACAAAACCAGTCCAAGCGCGGCCTTCTCTACAGCCTCGAAGTCCCAGCCAGGAGGAAAAGCCGGCAAGGGCTGCCAAGATTTCCCTCTCTATCAGCCTGACAGGCTTCCTCCTGCAAGAGGTACCAGATAGTCTGCTATCGCTTGAGTTAGATTACGCACCGGTTAGGTAGAACATACCCCATATTTTCCCCAGACTGCCTTTCAACGGGGGGCTCCTACGTCACAGCGGGACGATTTCTTTCCCAAGGGTTCAGGGGGAGAGAAATGACTCGCGCGGCATTTCTCGGTGAGTTGCCTAGGTACAGACCACGGCACGCGGTATTACTGCACGCGTTTGCACAAAAAAAGTGTTGGCGTGGAAAATATGCCTCACTAGGGTTGATAACTCGACCGACATGGGATGACCGGGTGCCATCCCGATATCTCCCTCCTAATCATTAATGCTCGCGCTGTTGTAGTCGATGTTTTCACCTGATATCTTGTGTATCTTCAGCTAAGGGAAGCCAACATTCCACTACCTCGCGCCGCACGCCTGTGGGATGGGATATCGGACGGAAAGGCCGGATAAGAGTTGTCCAGGCCCATAGCCGCACATTCGGAACTTCGCAAAACGCCGTAAAGAGTCAAATGCAATCGTGGACAGTTGTGGTAACACGAAATGGGCCAATTCTTTTGCGGCCCTTGTCCAGAGACAAAAAGTCGCTTTTGCCGTACAAAATCGCGCCGTCGCGAACGCTTACCCGCTCTAGCGCATACAAGCGGAGGCGCCGTCGGCACGACTCGCGGACAACTTCCTCTTAGCAAGGATTCTTTCGCTGCGTATACCCCTGCTCGAGCGGAGCCTCCGTTTCAAATTCACACCATCGGATGCTCACCCGGTAAACCTCCCGCCCCATCTTGACGAAGTCGGGAGGTCATCCCGATGGCAGCGAGTTGGCTTGCCCCCTTCGAAATCAAGTTCCTCTCGTGTCTCGCACACGCCACCGCGCCACCACAAAACCCGGCACATGATGGAGGGCGTGAGACTCGAGACTCCAGTCCAGAGCATGGTCCTTCCCCAAAGTCAAACTTCAAGATGAGTTTCTCTTAGTCACGCGTGCAGCACTAACGTTGTCGATGATGGGGATTCAAGCCTCGAGACGTTGGGTTGACTTCCGCTTCCCCATGGGGAGAGGGAAAGACCACATGAGATGACGATTGCATCAACTCCGTTGGCAATTGGAACTCCTGGGGATCCATAGTGCTACCACCATGAACCTAGAGACACGGAGTTTGGAATTCTTCGGATGGCGGGAAAACCTGCAATTCGGCGACAAATTAGCCATCATTCGCCAATCACTTGGACCCCCAAAAGCTGCATCAGACTAAGGTGCTTTGTATTCGGGAGGCCCGTAATTACTGATCGACTAGCACAGAGCATAAGGTATGACAGCAGGTAATTGACAAGCTTGACCAGAGTTTCTCGGGCGTGAAACACAGAGCACAGCCTTCAGCCCTCTTTCTCGGTGCTTTACTATCTAGAGACCCACGAGCTATTGATAGCATGGGTAGAATCTTCCGTCTTGGTCACTTTGTATCGTCGTATCCCCTGCAGTCATGGGGGAGAATGCTTCTGTCAGAGCTTGTTCCCAATTGGCAGATGCCCGGGATTCCCACCGACGGGCAGATACCTATCAAGACAACACGACGACTCGACGCAACCATGCATGCGAGGGAGGCATGTAAGGTTCCCAAAGTTTGTAGTGTATCTCATGTGGCATCCTTCTGGAACGCCTTAGCCTTCATCCAACGCGGCTACTATCAACACGGCATGTGTATGGAGTATGGTATCTCGTAGCCAAGTCCCTCCGCGGGCCGCCCAGCGTTCCGGCATCGGTCCTAGTCTACAACTCTTGCATATCTTAGCTACTACTTAGTATCCGTACAGAAACCGAACGCCTACTTATCGCCGGTGCCATCTCGTGACATTTTCCCGAGACTAAGATAGATGCAGATAAGCCGTGCCCCCCTGGCCCGAGAGCCCAGAGCCCCATCAATTCGGTTCCACCAGGACCACTACCCCGCGTTCTCCTTCAGCAAAAAAACGTCACATCACAGTTGAGGCTCGCCGGGACCATACAGCAGGGCACGCGATTTCCGCAGCCAAAGAACACCGACAACCCTTTTATGCCTGTCTAATTGCTCCATTCTCTACCTAGAAGCTCGAGTATAAGCCTTCCTGAACAGTGAAATGGAACCTGGGGCCGGCCGAAACAAGGTATCCAAGCGGTCGTCGAATGCGTAAGTTTGTCCGAGCCAACCACACATACCACATCCTCCCTCCCTTGTCAATTGGCCGCGGTTGCGTACGACTAACACACTTGGATATCTAGCTGTGTGCGTTGTCGTCGACAGAAAATCAAGTGCTCAGGATCTCAGCCGTGCGATGCATGTGGCAAGCGCAAACAGTCCTGCACCTTTGACGAAAGGGATCAAAGAATCGTCGTCACCAGAGGGTAAGTAATCGGGCCTGGCCTTTCCTACCAACGATTAGATCTAGGCATAAGTCCGGCTCACCATCCGTGTTCTAGCTACATCATCGACCTTCAACAGAGAATTGAAAGGTGGGAGCGGAGCCGAAGCACCAATGAGCCAGCCCAAGTGTCAATCGAGGGCGGCCAGCGTCCCGATAAAGCAGGAAACAGTTGGTTATCCCTAATTATCTTACTTTGCATTGCAGAGAACATGTCTGAGCTGACAGTAGGAGATGAGAGCGACGGTGATTTGCCCATGAGGGATGAATCAAATGGCCCGATCATTGCAGATGGTACGCATGAAAAGGAAAGTCAGGAGGCTCGGCCTAAAGCGCCAATAGATCCTGTCGCGTCGAACCTCATCAACCCTCTGTCTACTGGACAGTCAGAGTACACAACAGCGCCAAATGGAAGGCTGTGTAAGTCATTTATAGTGCAGCTCACCACGTTGATAGCAATGAAGCCTAACAAGAGGACAGTCTACCTGGGCACATCATCTAACTGGTCTTTTACCCGACGAGTCCTCAACATCACACACCAATACGTCCACAAGACCCCATTGCCGACCAACGCTCTTCTCTTTGATGGCACGACGTACGTCCTCGATTGGGATGGCTACAGAGCAAGCGAAGTCCCCGAGATGCCAGCTCTTCCCACACAAGACTATGCCATCTATCTGGTCAACGCCGTCAAGTTCCACTGTGGCCAAATGTTCCACCTTTTTGACGAAGAAACGTTTATGAAGTCCTTGTACAGCTTTTATTCTGACCCTAATCCCAGACCCGATCCTACTGATCCGTGGTTCATTCATTTCTTGCTCATTCTTTCTTTCGGAAAAGCCTTCACCACCAAGACCAACAGGGGGAACAGACCTCCTGGCCATGACTTCTTTGTCAAGGCTATGCAACTGCTCCCAGACTTCAATGTTTTACTGAAGAACCATGTTCTGTCAACAGAGATCATGTGTTGCATTGCTCTATATACGCAATGCATCGACTTCAGGCACTGTTCATACAACTATGTAAGTTTTTCCCGTAATCCTTGATATTATACATTATACTAATGGTGAACTACCGATCGGTCAAGCACTTCGCATAGCCCTTGGAGAGGGGATGCACACAGACATGCCTGTGCAGCAACTAGGAGAGGCATATGTCGAAAGATGCCGAAGGTTATGGTGGACTGTACACATCCTTGACCGGGAGATCACATCGTTGTTTGGCATGCCGCCTTCAATACATGACGACTATGTGCTCTGTCAACTACCAACCTACTCTGGTTCAGTCCAAAGGACAGCCGCGTTACGAATGCGGATCAGACTGTCGAAGGTCATTGGGAGCATTAACAGGAGTATGTGTGATCCTGTTGAAGCCCGCTTTAAGAAATAATGCTAACCGCTATGCCAACTAGAGGTCTACGGTCTCGACGGAAGACTCAACAACAAGTTCATGCTTGGCACCAAAGAAGTGCTTGCCAGCGTGGCTGAGATTGCTGATGAGCTCCAACAATCGTTTGCGCTGCCTCTGGAAAGGGACACCAGCTGCATTTCGAGAACATCCGCCCATTTGCATTTATTGCACCATCAGGTATGTCTAGTTCAATACAATGCTCAAAACGGCACTGGAAACGAACTGACTTGGCTGTAGTGCATTGTTCTTGCAACCAGACCGCTGCTTTTCTGTTTTCTGAAAATTCGTTTTGAATCACAGAGTAAATGCACAGAGCTATTGGGGTCTTCGCAGACGGTCAGAAATTTGATTCAGATGTGTATCGATTCTTCTCAACAAATGGTTTCGATCCTAGACTGTTTGCAATCTCAGGGCTTGCTGGGTAAGCCATCTCCAAGATTAATTGAAAATCACGTTCTTTTACATAAACCAGGCTAACTTTGCATCTTGCAGAAACATTTCTTCCATTCGACTTGGAAGCCAGTTTCGTGTCTGCTAGCAGTCTACTACTAGGACCCGCAATCGACCCACAATGCTTTGAGTGCCTCGACCCGTCTCTGGAGAAAGTCTACTCCGTTCTGGACGAGATGATCATGGCCGGGAACGGGATCGCCAAGTACCGCAAATCTGAACTACAGCAGCTTGAGAACATGCTACAGCGACTTACGCCTTGGCCTTCACAGGCCTCTGAGCAGACGACTCTAGTAGACGAGGGGCGCCAAACGCAGCCCCCGGATGACACGAGTCCCCAAGACACGGTGGTCTCGGCCATGGCCTCGGAACACTCACAGCACGAGAGCTACTCTTCTTCTATCCCGGGGAACATGGATGAGATGGCTTATGATAGCGGGCTGACTATGGCGCAATTACTGGATATGGCCAACTCTATTGAACAGGAAGATTCAGAGTGGATGTCTCAGACGATAGTGGAACATAGCATTTGGTAGATCAAGAAGACCTGTCAATTTCATGGCGGCGTTATCTCCCATTTTGGAACCTTGCCGAATGTACATGTACTTGCTTTTGCTTCGAAGCTCATATTTGCCCATAAGTCCAAGTGACCTCTGTCGCACAGCTAATATGCCCGGTAGCTAGTCCGAACTTCTCAAGGCCTAAGTATACTTGTAGTTTGATATCTCTCTTTCACTATCACAGGATCGAACTCCGAGGATGGGGCCTGTCGACTATGGCGGACAACTCGGAGAGGAAGCCGGTCTGTTTACTGTCAACAGACAAGACTGATGTAAGCCCCGTGTTGTCAGCTCTTTACAGAATCAGATTAAACGTCAAGGGAACCCTCTGGGATAAGCATGGTTCATGAATGATAAGACAATGCTATGTGGATAGATAATCTACAGCTTTGACGTCCTTGCCTGGCGGATCTTTGCAAACTCCTCGGTGTTTCCGAGGCGCCAGCTAACGGTATCTCCCCACTTCCCTGCCTCCTTCTCCTGAGGTTCCTTCCAACGCCACCTTGCGACCGGCTGCTTGTTATCAGGAGCCTCCAAAAGGTTCTTGACCCAGTCACCCACAAGCGGGATCAGCTTCGCGGCGTGACCCGAGTCACCAGACATGAGCACCACGGAGTCACTCGACTTAGGGACATAATCGATGATGAAGTCCGAATCAGCCGTGTCAGCAAACCAGCAGATGGTCTGCTTGATAAGCGGACGGTCCTTGAGTGCCGGGAGCGTTTCCGCCAGCAGCTGCCGCACCTTGGCCTGATCGTGCGGCGGCATAAACTGGCTCTCCTCATACGCCGGCGGGAGTGAGATTCCCGTCTTTGGATCCGTGTTGACGTATCCTCCGCCCATGGGGCACAGCTTGAGCAGGTTGGTCTTCGGATCCGGCTCGAAGTAGAAACCGAGGTCGCGCGCGTAGGTGACGGGGATACCACGGAGCGCAGACGTCTCGTCGTCTGTCAGCTCGACGTGAGCGACAGACCAAGACTTGGCAACGACCTGCTTGCCGCACTCTGGAACAAGTCTCGCCGCTGCCGCGCCAGTAGCGACAATCACGAGCTTCGCCGAAATCTGACTGCCAGTCTGCGTCCTAATGCCGGTTGCCTTCCGGCCGGCACCGGTGTTCTGGTACACAATCTCCTGTACGCCACCGTGCTGCCCGAGGAAGAACTTTACGCCCCGTACCCGGGTAGCGTTGTAAAGGGCGATCAGGGCATTGCCAGAGTGGACATATCCGTCAAACTTGTTAAGGTAGCCCTTCCAGCCGGAACACGGGCCTTCTCCGTACTGCCAGACATTGTAGTTGATGTCCTGGCCACCCTTGATGGGCACCACGTACTTTGCGAGAAGGGGGTGGTCTTCTGAGGCCTTCTGGAACCTGTGCAGAGTCTCGGCGGCCCGCTCAGGGGCGTTGGCCGAGACGCAGTGAAGAAACCCTACCCGGTGAAATGAGGGTGCGAAAAGAGGCGTTTGCCATGCTTTCGCAGCTTCCTGTTGCAAGTCAGAGAGGCTTTCCCTAGTAGATAAGGCAGCTCACTGGGGTTTAACTTACTATAGTGAGATTTGTGTAGAAAGGGTCTTCGTACTCAGCCCTGAAGATCTTGTTGATATCGTTGGCAGCAGAGTCCCTGGGAGGTATTTGCTCGTGCTTGTCGAAAACGGAAATGTCCGTGTAGCCAGCCAAAGACAGGTGGTAGGCCGTAGATAGACCAAAGGCACCGGCGCCCACAATGATGATTGGGTCGGATTTACTGACACCCATGATGATGGTTGGAGGCTAAGGCGGAGATTAAGGACGGGATTGTGCGAATGAAAGCACTGTTGATTCAGTGTGAATACAGGGCCCTTGAGCAGCACTACTAGCCATTGAAGTATGATATCTTCAAGCAGTCGTATATGACCTTCCGTGATCTTTCCCAGGACCGGCTGGCTTCGGGCCCTTGCCCCGGCTTCGGATCCAAGATACTGGAGATACTCATGGCACCATCTCCATCATGGGGTAGTTGGTTAGCGTAGCCGCGTCGAGCGGGGTGGTGGCCGTGGTGGAATCAATGCCGTGTTACTCTGTTCACGGCCGGGCAACTTGAATGGCCTGGAACTTGTTTGCGGCACAAGAGGCGTGGCTCTATTTCTGGGCTATCAAGGCGGATGGTGAGCCGATATCTGTCCAAGAGACATCGGGAGCTGACCCGGTGGTCAACCTTCGCTTGATTGGTCAAACTGACTCGGGTGGAACTTTACCAACACGCCGGCCATCCAGCCGGTCATCTTACCGCCCAGCCACAAGCTTTCATGATTGCGTAGTAATGTTCGGCAACGAGATCAAGACGTAAAAGACGAGAGTATGGTTTGCGATAGCGATATCACATGGTTTCAAGGAACACATTCCTGGTTTTCCTATCGCTGGTAGAACTGACGCGTGATATGTATGTACTGTGTAGGTAGTAGACTTGCAAGTATGTGACTCCCATTCCGTAAGACTAAATTACCGCTGTGGTGATTCCCGTAACACTCAGTCAGCATGTTACGTCACTTCTTAAGCCCACAGGAAATGGAGCAAACCAAGGCCACCAATTCTTCGGCGCCGCCCAGGCAATTCACCTCTGGCAAGTGGGACGATAGTTGCTTCAAGTCTCCGTACTTGACCAAATGAATCAGAGCATTTGCGTCCGGGACGATACTAAGATGCAAGGTTGGTGTTTGACAAGGGTAGCTTCGCTACTTTGCGCAATTTGCGAATTTGCGGCAGGACTCTTAATGTTCAAGAAATGGGGTGAATGTAAAATTTCTTCATTTTTTGACTATCCCTAAATTACACAATGCGCCATTTTGCATGCAACCGTGACCGCGACCCATTCGGTATCCCACACACTGCACTTATTTGTTGCTAGGGTACAGGAACTCAGTCTGAGGGAAGAACTCTTCCTTGATCAATCTGGGGCTGACGAAGCGACGCATGACGTCTGCGCTTCCTGCCTTGTCGTTGGTGCCACTGGCGCGGGCACCGCCGAAGGACTGCTGGCCGATCAGGGCAGCGGTGGTCTTGCAGTCTGGGAGAGGGTTTGGAGTTAGCAAATGGATACACGTTGACGTTAGTGGTGGGGAAGGGAACATGGGTAAACTCACTGATGTAGAAGTTGCCTGCAGAGTAGCGCAGGGCATCCTCGGCCTCGCGGATGGCGCGTCTGTCGTTGGCGAAAACGGCGCCGGTCAGGGCGAAGCCGCCTCCGCTCTGGTCGACCTTCTTCAGAGTGGAGGACCACTCGGCATCGGGGTAGGTGGAGATGGCCAGGACGGGGCCGAAGATCTCCTCGTTGAAGAGGCGGTGGTCCGGAGAGTCGGCCACGTAGACGGTGGGGTTGACGTAGTATCCGTCGGAGCCGTCGTAGGTGCCGCCGACCACCAGCTTAAGGGAAGAATCCTTATTGCTCTCGTCGATAATGTTCTTGATCTTGTTGAAGGAGCGTTCGTGGATGACGGGGCCCATGAAGGCATCTAGCTTGCCGTCGGGGCTTCCAATAGTAATCTCCTCGACCTTGGACTTCAAGCTGGAGATGAACTCCTCGGCCTTAGACTCAGGGAGGTAGACGCGGGAGGTGGCGGAACACTTCTGGCCCTGGTACTCGAAGGCGCCGCGGATAGTGTGGTTGACGGCGTGCTCGATGTCAGCGGTCGGGTGGATGAGGTGGAAGTTCTTGCCGCTAGTCTCGCCGACGACACGGGGGAACTCGCGGTAGGTCTTCTTGCCGATGCCCTCGCCGATTCTGGCGTACAGGGAGCGGAAGACGTCGGAGGAGCCGACGAAGTTGAGGCCGGCGAATTCGCGGTGGTTAAGGACAACGTCAGTGACTTCCTCGGCGTCACCGGGGACGAACTGAATGACGTTGGGGGGCAGACCAGCCTCAAGGAGGATGTTGTAGAGGATCTGGCTGGCGTAGATGTTGCTGGGTGAAGGCTTCCAGACGACAACGTTGCCCATCAGCGCGGGGCCGGAAATGAGGTTACCGCCAATGGCAGTGAAGTTGAAGGGGGAGATGGCGTAGACAAAACCCTCCAGAGGACGCCATTCCAGGCGACTAAAAGTTTTTGTCAGTATCAAATTCATTGAAAATCATCGCTTGATCCACATACCTCCACATGCCGTCAGAACCACGGGTGGGCTGCTTCTCGAGAATCTCTGCCGCGAAGTTGCAGTTGAGTCTGAAGAAGTCGGCCAACTCGGCAGCCGCGTCAATCTCTCCCTGCCACATGTTCTTGCCTTGGCCGAGCATGGTCGCCGCGATGAGCTCATAGCGGTATTTGGTCACGGCGAGCTCTGCCGCCTTTTGGAAGATGGCAGCCCGGTCGACGAAGGGGGTGTTCTGCCAGCTCTCCTTTGCCTCCAGCGCCGACTCAATTGCTGACGAAACCTGCTCCTTGGATGCGAGGGGGAAGTTGGAGAACTTGGTCTTGTGCTCGGAGGGAAGAACGGTGTCGAAAGACTTGGCCGCGACTTGGGTCTGGCCGCCGAAGAAAAGGTCGCTCTTGGCGGGCAGCTGGGTGCGCAGCTTCTTGAGGGCCTCCTCGAGCTTTGCGCGCTCGGGAGAGTTCTTTGTGTATGTGGGCTGCAAAATGATCATTAGCCAATGCCTGAGCGTACCTCCTCAGATTCGGTTTAAAACTCACGTTGGGCTCGTTTCTGGGGTCGGGAAGTCTGAATGGCGCAGTCGCCTTCGTCCTTCTTTGTGTAAGAGCGACCGGGGCTGTGGTAGGGCGCAATCCTGATCTCAGAGATCCAACTGGTCTCGCAGACCTCATGACGCTGTGGACTTGCATTCTGACTGATTGTATGGGTATAAAGCTCAAAGATAGAAAATGATACACGAAGATTTCGTCTTGAGTGTCGATGGGGTGATTATGGGTGATGAACCTGTGCTTTTGATGAGGAGAGCTTGCTGATACTGCTTGAGATCATATGACAGCTTCGCAGTCTCATCGTCTTATTTGACAATGGCTGCTGCACTAGGCCGGTCAAGCTCCCGATAGCTACATGGCATCGTGAACCAATCAAGATCACAATCGATGTCATCTTCACAATCATGCCGAGATCGGACGGGGGTAGATCCCGGAGCGGAGGGGTTGCGGACGCCCTGCCGATATCTACATGCAGGGCCCCCGCCGGTGCGGAGTCATGGTGCATTTCCCCGCAAAATCGGAGGTTGGGGGTCTTTGACAGTTGCATCCGGCGGCGTCTGTTCCCGTGCTCCATCGCGGTTAGAGTCCTATCTTGATACATGGTGGTTCTACGTAGTCGACGATGGCTTCACGGAGACAAGTCCGATTACGCTGCTACAGCCATGGGTTCTGATTGATAAGTTTTAGGAAATGCGGCGTCATGGCGAAGACAAATCGATAACATTAGTTGTGGGGCTCAGCTTTCACAACTTACTTAGAAGACAAGTTTGAAGCAGTCACAATGCTGTTAAATCCAGGAAATGGCTATCTATCACGGGCCATCCGTAGCACATCTGTCTCAATTAGCGGAGTTGTGGGTATGCAATGGGTGTAGAATAGAGATAAGTAAGGCGTTAGCCACGTCTACCAAGCATGGAAGACTGTCTGCGCTCTCCTACCCAAAACGCTTGTGAGAATGACTCGGCTCGAGACTCAACAAGGTCTGGAACACAACGACCACGAACCATGTTCCGTCTGGGGAAACTTGGCGGGTGACCTCGCGGCTGGCACCATCTCCGCAATCCTCATCTCTCCGGCAATCACAATCCTAGATCGGTAAGATAAATCTGCCCAGGACCCTTGGAATTCCATTGACTAAACAAAAACCGTTTGCAGAGCGGTAGTCGAGCGGACAACAACAGGGCGGCCCCTCATCCGAGGGCTCCACGCCCAACTACGCTCCGCCATCCGTCGACCCCGCGGCTTCTTCTTCGCCCGGCCCCTCGGGATCGTCTGGACCCTGTACGCAGCAACCTACGTCACAGCCAACGCCGCCACCACCGTGGCCGAGAGGTTCGACGGTGCAGCTGCCGCAGCGAGCACAGCTACCTTTGCCTCCACGTTTCTCGTCAACGTACCCCTCGGGGTGTGGAAGGACCTCCGCTTCGCAGAGATCTTTGGTTCCTCCTCCGGCGCCGCTCCCGAGGTGGGAAAGGCAGTGGTGGCGGCGGCCCCACGCAAGCTTCCCAAAGCCGCGACGGCGACGTTCCTCGTCAGAGACGCTGTCACCATCTTTGGGTCGTTTACGCTCCCGAACTGGATATCGGCAGCAATCCCGGACTCTGTCACGTCTTCCCCACATGCCAAGGCGACAATCACGCAGCTGACGGTTCCCGTGTTGTCGCAAGTCGTGGCATCGCCGATTCATCTGATTGCGCTGGACTATTACGAGAGGCAAAGCAGGCTACCGTTCTCTAATCGAGTTGCGCGGACGCGGGAGCACATGCCGTCGACGATCGTGATGCGATGTGTGAGAATTATACCGGCGTTTGGTATTGGGTGTTTGGCAAATTTGGAGTTGCGAACTTTCTTCCAGCAATGGTTTTCAGCATACACATAGCAATTGGTTAGAAAATAGAGATAATAGCATTGAAAGCATTCTGCAGTGCCAATCACATTTCTCAGTCGTGAATCGCGATGTGTGAAGATGCAACTTTTGTATAATGGGTAGTCCGACCTCTGAACTAATGCCTGGTATCATTGGGGTGAGGATCGCTACCCATGAGACGAGCGACTGTCACAGCCTCTCTCAAAGCCTTTCCAAGGTGTCCTCTTACAGCCCCTTCCTCCAAGACCATCAGGCCTCCGATTGTGCACCCTTCCGGTGATGTTCCTTGATCTCTCAGGCTGCCTGGTTGCAGACCGTTCTGCATGAGTGTCGCGCTACCCAGCATGGACTGGAAGATCATAGTCTGTGCAAGATCCCTTGGAACACCGACGGCAACGGAAGCATCGATGAGAGCATCTGCGATGACTGCAAAGAAGGCTGGCGTAGATCCTCCCACGGCGGTCGTAGCGTTCATCAGCTTCGGCGCAATCTTCACCGTCTTGCCAATCTTATTGAAGATGGCTTCGGTGAGCTCCATGTACTTGGCTGGCACTGATGGCTCCGAGATCTCGATCGCAGTAAGGGACTGAGAGACCATAGCCGCAATGTTGGGGAGCGTCCGAACGACCCAAGCCCGGTCCTCTGTGTTCTCGGATGTCGTTTCGCTTCCGTATATCGTAGCTTCTAGCTTGCCTCGAGTCCAGCCGGCGGCTACGCTGATCAGAAGCTTGTCTTTCAAAGCCTCTTTCGTACCCGGCTTGGACAGAACTTCTTCGACATCCGCGGGGTCCACTCCTAGCACTACAACATCCGATTTTTGCAAGGCCGCAATGTTGTCGCCCCTTGAAACCACGAGCTTGTCTCCTGCACTGGAGAAGCGTGTCTTTAGGGCTTCTTCAGACTTTTCGCTTCGAACACATGCGATGAATTGAGTGATGGGGAGGGTGTTGTCTTCCAGCAGTGATTTCAGAATGGGAATCCCTAGGTTACCTATGTACCGGTTGATTAGCATAGGTAGTTCGAACGATCAATCTCATATGATAGTAACTTACCACAACCCAAAATGCACAGCTTGACATCCTTGAATGCTTCCATGTTGACTCTTGTGGTCTAATGTGAGATGTGTACTGTTTGCCGGCTGATGAGAGGCTGGGGGTTGAGAGGAATCTGGGCTAATTCTCGCTTGGTTGAAGTTGTTGTTTGTCCAATACCTTTTTCGGCCGACTGCTCTGAGTTGAACTGAAGAAATGCCCCTCCCCCTACTATCTTGATGTGAATCGAGTGCGATAAAGCTACCCTGGTCCTAGTAGCTACCCCTCACACCGGCGCTGGACGGGAGATCCCCCGCCACGAAGCTAATCAAGTGGGGTTGATATACGGGAGGCCATCCGACACAACATCGACCTCACGGAGTCACGGCACTCTCTCTCTCTGAGTCTCTTTACTCGGAACATATCACGAGAGACCCACACATGTCAGATAAGATTAACGATTAACGAAGAAAGATCGATTTGCTATCTTTAGCCAACAGTCCGAGACCGGAAGAATCTAGACCGCAGTCTCCTGCCCACCTCCGCCTTCAGCGCCGCATACTCGTCCACCGTCCTAGAAACGGCATCCCGGTTCTCCACCGCCCTCCGCAAAAGATACGCCACGCACTCGCCCATGCTGCCCCACGTCGAGCACTTCCACACCTGCGGCGAAGGGTCTTGGCTCCCCTCCTCCTTGAGCGCCAGCAGCGAGAAGCTGACCTCGTCCGACATGCCCTGCAGCTGCGCGAAACCAACCGGCACCGTCGGGAGTCCTTCCTTTAGCCTCTGCTGGTGGAGCTTGTGCGCCGTGACCACGCTCTCCTTGTTGTGACTCGCCAGGAAGAGGTTGAGCGAGGGGAACGGCTTGCCGCCCGGGGCTCCATATTCTCCAATGTGCCGCCTAAGGGCACCCTGCGCGATGCTGTTGTAGGCGTTATCAGTATCCTTCTTTGTGTCGTGAATCAGGGACCGCTCGTCGGAGCCCATGTAGGCGCCTCTGACTAGCTTCAGGCCGTGCGTGAAGCCTTCTTGGTTGGCCATCTCCAGGTGCTTGGCCAGGGTGGTCGGAGTGCTCTTGAGATATGCCTGGTAAGTGTTGTAAATCGTAGCGTAGCCGTCGCGGTTGAATTTGCGCATCAGTTCCATGCCTGCAAGGAAGATGCCCCATTGGAAGTGTTGAGACTCGGCGTCAAGGAGGAGTCTCACGCCACGGTCTTTGCATCTTTGGCTCACTTCTTCGAGGGCTTGCATCATTTGTTGGGGAGGCAGCTGCCTTGCGGCAAAAGCTTCTGTGACACGAGGGCCGGCTCCTGTAAGTCTGCGAGTTGGCAATGTTAGCAAATTGTCAGGTATCATAAGGCGTATAAGTGATTTTTAGCTTACTTGAGAGCAAGTTGATCGCCATCACCAAGTAGATCGACAGTCTCCAAAACACCCTGCCTCCAGGACTCGATGGTAGAATCGAGACCACCCTTTGTCAGATCCTCCGACTCGATACCCAAGCCGTGCTCCACGTTCGTCTTTGCATCAAAAATTGTTTCTTTCGCGTATGTGAGGATTGTACCGCGGAAACCCATAAATCTCAGGTGCCGCATGGTCTCTTGCGTCTCCTTTGGTGTCTCTCCCGCACAGAACTGCTTGTAAAAAACGCTCTTGAGCAAAGAGTGAAGAACAGGGTTTCTGTCGACATCTGTGAAGAATCCTCTGTTTGGTCTTGTGAAGAATGATAGCGCTGCGAGTGAAGGGCCGAGGAGCATAGGCTTTGAGGAGATGGCAGAGACCAAAAGAGACCTCATGAGAACTGGTGTGGGCAGAGCTGCCAAAGTAGAAGGTGTGACAATACCAGTCGCCTTGTCTGCAACTAGGGGTGCTGTAGAGAGTGACCTTGGTCTAGTCGTCTTTGAGAATGCGGTTGTGACATGGCGGCTAACAGGCTTTCCTGCCGTGAGGGAGGATTTGCAGTATGAAGGCTTCATGGTGAGAATTACTGATGTGATGATGATTATTCTGACTTGAACTCAATAGTATCTACTAGAGCGGACGCATTGCCTTTATGATGTGGCATGTGGCACATCGTGGTCCATCCTGGTGAGCCGTACCAGTTCCCTTTCCTACACACCAACGCATAGCTGATCCATCAGACGCTCCCAACGACATCGGAAGTGTCAGAATGCGTATACTCCTTTGGAAACTCAATAGACACACAGCCACGTGGATTCCGATGCCAGCTTATCGATACCCCGCTTAACAACGCGGGGTAAGATAGCACAGGCATTCATGTCTGGCTGTCACGAGGTGACAAAGATAGGTGTGCATGCAGTGTGCGCTTCCGGTGGCACATCTCGGGGGTCCATGATGACGGGCTAGATTGAAGGTTCGCTGAAACCAAAACCGGCCTTGGAATCCGATTGTTTTAGGTCATGTTTGTGGGGGTGGACGGATCTTTGAGCGACTGGTCGGTTTCGAATCCGGATGGGTTGAGTCGGAGAGGGGGCCGATGATAGTCTAAGTCGGGGCAACGGGTGGCAGGTACGAAAAATGCGCCGAGTGATACGAGCATCGCGGGGATTCGTCCTAGGTCCTATCACGGAGCACCCCTTGATTCCTTTGACTAAGTGAAATGGTCTAGTGATCAGTCAATGACTAGTTGCAGATGCATTGTCGAGATGCATTGTCGGAAAATCGAAACCAAGGGATTGGTATAAGCCCGGCATTCGCTCCGTTGAGGGGTCTATACAAATACCGCCGGCTACCTTGACCATATGGGGCAGATAGTGGCGGGTTGTATAGTCGCTATTGATCAGAGAGATCTCCTCAAGGCAACTTTCCTCCACCTCTTGTTGCCTGTCCCACCCCCGAGTTGGTCTTGTCCTCAGCGTACCGTTTGTACACCTCAATATAGGCATCACCGTCACTTAGCGTATCCTTTACGCTTTGCCTCTCTTTGATAGCATCGTACCATTGCCTCCACCTCTTCCATGCCGCTTCATCATCGCCGCCTTCCCCTTCAGAGGGGATCCCAAGTCCTCCTGGCTTGTAATGATCGAATAGGAACAGACGCATGGCCCAAGGGGCTATCATCACGTCCACGAGACTGAATGTCTTTCCCAAGAACCAGGGACCTTCGGAATCCATCTGTGCAGTCAAAGTTTTGATGTGAGCCAAGAACTCATCACGTGCTTTTTCGATGCTGTACTCCTTCTCTGGAGTGTGCTGAATAAATTTGTAAAATGCCGGCACGACGCGAGAGTTGATGTGATCGATCCACAACCGGCACCTCGCACGATCATACGCCGCCTCCGGGAGAAGGTGCGGCCCATAGTTGTTCCCGGCATATGCTTCCTCAAGGTACTCGGAAACCACAGTGCTGTCGTAGAGCGGTCGTTGCTCGTTGCCCTTCACATCCACGGGAACGGCCAAGGTCGGGACCAGCCCCCGAGGGTTCATCTTTAGGAACTCGGGATCCTTCTTGTACGGGTTGATCTCGATGTACTGGTGGGGAATCTGTTTTTCGTGGAGGACGATCCATGATCGCTGGACAAAGGGGCAGAACCAGCCGCCGTAGAGCTTCAATGGGTGCTCTTCCGAGTGCTTTGCTGCGAAGTCGGCTGCGGCACCCGTGGTACGCGCGCCGATTGATGTGTCCACATTTGACATGTTGCCAAGTAGCACGAAGTTGAACTAGAGTTACAATATGCCAAATGACTGTGGCTCAGCGTTCTCTAGGTTGTTTTGTTGATGAGGTATTATGTGTATCTTATGTGGCGATGGTAAAGTTCTAATGATGATGGAAGTGATGCGACCCCTCTGATGACGTGTTACTTTACAGCAGACAGCCGGAAATATGGAGGTCTCGGCCGGCTCTTACTGCTGGTATCCACTTCAAAGCCGTTCACTTCGGCAAACACCTCCGGATTACCGCCGCTGCTACAACGCCTACCCAAATCAATAGGACTCCTACTGGAACTTGGTATTCGAGGGGAGCTTAAGGCTTGAAGATCAAGTGTAATATTGGCAAGAATCTCTTTGTCGAGTGCAAGTGGAATGCGTGATTATTCGCCAGACTAGGATAAGTGATGGCTTTGATGTCAAACCCCCATTTCTAAGTCGCCGGTACAAGAGTATCGTGGTTAATCTTTTGTGCCACAGGAGTGTACCTCCACCGACTAAAGTATGCGGGCGTCATCCCATCACCGCCATTGTTAGTAGCATACGCCCCGACAATTGTGCCTACAGGATCGCCATGTCAATCATCAGAACTTCAATGGACTGAGTTAGGGGGCTTACCGGTGAACGGGCCACTGCCTCCAGAAACGATCAACGCATTCGCCGATCCAATTTCCAGATATTCTTCTGGGCGAGAAGCCGGAGCTGCCCCGAAAACATACTTTGAGTCGCTGATAGCAGATACGGAGAGCTTTATCGGCTCCGATCTCCAGGCTTTGGGCACTGTCACGAGAGCTATCTCGGGAACGGTGATGTTGGGCTTTCCTGAGGCCTCGACCTTGAAACGGAACTTCGGAACAAGCGACTGGTTGGAGCAAGCTGGCAAGTTCACAATGCCTAAATCTATGTGCTGGAATTGGGTCAAGAAGACCGAAATGCCGGCTTCCTCGTTTTCAACTTTTGGCTGGAATGAGACGTCGACGGTGTAGTTGAACAGCGTAGCACTCTGCTTGCGTGCGATGAATCCGAGACCATCTTGTTCTGGGTTAAATTCTGGTGTTGCTGAAAGGTTGACAGGTGAAGGAGATATCTGCAGCGTGTTGGCATGCCCCTCCGGTGAGACTCTGAACAGATCTGTCTTTGGTGGACGCCAAAAGATAAAATGCCTAGGAATCTCCGAGCCCGGCGTAAAGTCGACAACGTCGGGTTCGTTGATCCAATGACCATTGCCGGGGATATCTCTGTTCGTGGGAGGCAAAGGTCCATCCATAACACCAAGTACCTCGTCGAGTACTGGCCAACCCCCATCATCCCATTTGACGGCAAAGAGAACAGTCTCGCGCCCCATTGGGTAGATCTCCCACTCGGGACCTGACCTAGTTGCCAGCGCGACACCCCACCAATTCCCGGAGGCGTCTTGGAAGAGGTCAGCGTGTCCCACCGTCTGAAAATACAAGTCGGTATTCTTGGCCGTTAGAATAGGGTTGTGCGGAGCTCCTTCGTACGGTCCTGCCAACTCTTTCGCTCGAGCAATCGTTACAGAGTGATTTGTTTCCGTTCCACCCTCTCCAATCAGCAGATGATAGTAGTCATCTTTGCGATACAAATGCGGCCCCTCGGGGTTGCGATCCCCGGTGCCGTTCCAGACTTTGATAGGCTCCTTTGCCGCGCCCGTCGAAAGATCGATTTCGCTAATGTAGATACCGGCAGCCACCGACATGTACACCTTGTTGTTGTCCCAGAAGATGTCCGGGTCAATATCGTTTGCCGGATTCTCGACGCGAAGGGGACCCGTCCACGAGGCATCATCGTATGGGTCGGTGGTTGTGAAGAGTAAGATCTTGGGGCCCCACCCTTCATACCAAGAGACGTACGATGTGATGAGGTAAAACGTTCCTTTGCGGAACCTGATTGTAGACGCCCAAATACCCTCATTCTGTCCCGAGTTCCGGTAGAGTTCCGGCACTTGCTCCGGTCGCGTCAAAGCATTGCTGGCAAGTCTCCAATTTACCAAGTCCTTGCTGGCGTATACGGGAACACCCGGGAAAGCCAGAAATGAGGAGACAGTACAGAAGAACGTGTCATCATATTCCTTGACAAAAGTGCAGCTAGGATCAGAGTTCCAACCCGGGAGGATCGGGTTGTTGAAGGTTTTGTTGACCTCCTGAGACTGGCTTTGGGCCGCCAGTGTGACGACTGACAGCCAGACGAGGCTGAAGAGTCGCATTGGGAGATCTGAGACGAACGTGATCAATCTGAAGATGTCGGATCTTGTCTCGCAGCACTTCGAGTTTGATTGAGTAGCCCTGGGCGTTAAGTCGCCTTTTGTATCAAGTCTTTTTTTCGACCAAGGTACATCTTAGCGATTACGCACTGTCGGCAATGCACAGAGTTCTGCTTGTGGCATAATTGTGGGCGAACCCGAGAACGATTTCTTAGCAATTTCACTGCATTTCTTCCACCAATTCAATGGTCTGATTTTGATGCCATCTTGGGTGATTAAGGTATCCTAGGGCGGGGTTGAGCGTTCATATGTGGTTTGTCTATCGTCTTGAACCCCGCACAAATTACCCGTCGTGTTCGGCTCTTTTCCCGATGATACCGTCGTATTCATAGGCTTGATCTATCCGACAAAGTCGCTTATAAACAAGAGTGCCTAGCGTATGCAAGCGGCTGACACCTTTCAGGGGATAATCGCGGATTTAGCGATGGTTGCTAAGTCGAATAAACATAAAGCATCCTAGACCTACTTATGAGGCACTTTCATCCTGTCTTTATTTTGTTCCCCGTGAAGAGCGACTATACGAGGTGTCTACGACTTTTGTAACATGCCACCTAGGGGAACCATACTCACAGTACAATATCTTTTGGTAGCCGCATTTCGTGTTCAAAAGCTTTCGATGTTCATGAATGCGCAGGGATTGATGGAATTCAGAGAGTGAATGAGTGTTATAGAATGTTATATATCTGAAGTAAGCTAAGAATCGAAGGTTGTAAGACAGAAGATAGCTCAAATTTCCCAAAATTTAACGCCGCCAAATGCAATTCCCTTTTGACCGTACCGTGCAACCCGCTCAATGCACATGCAATTACCGCCATGACAGCCCAATAGCTCCCACAATCAAATGGCCTAATCATCGATAGACCGTATGTTTAGAGCTTGAAGCCTCCAAGGGGGTTCGGGTTGGGGATGACAAAGCCACCCTGCTGAACAGGAGGAATGACAGCATCGCCCTTCTGCGCAGCCAAAGCCTTGTGCTTGGCGAGAGTGAAGTCGGGGCTGTCAAAGTTCTGGTTGATGACGCCGACCATGCCGTTCTTGCAGTGCTGGCCGGCGTTCTGGGCGCAGTAGTACCAGATGGGCTTCTTGTCCTCGACGACGATTTGGAAAACGTTGCCGGACTGGCCCTCGGGAGTGAAGAAGTTGAAGCCGGAGAAGAAGGAGGAGCCGTCGGCCAGGGGATTGCACGGGTTGCCAAAGTTGGACTCGGCGACGGAGTGGTTGCGGGGCAGGTAGTGCCACTCGACGATGTCACCGACCTCGGCGACGACGTTGTCCGGGTCGAAGCGGAGGCCGCCGAGGCCGGCGACGACGGAGTGGGTGACGCCTGTGAGCTCGTAGGTGCGGGTCGGGGTCTTGGTGCCGGCGGTGTTGGTGGGAGCGGCGGAGACGGTGGCGGCGGCGGCCAGGAGGACGGTGGAGAAGGTCTTGATGGAGAACATTTTGTCTGGATCCGTGGTTTTGGATGTATGTAAGAGGTAGAACTCGGATGCGTAGCGAGAGAGAAGACTCTAGGAAATAAAGAAAAATAGGAAAGAAGATAGGAAAAGTTGGAAGGTTGGTTTGGTTGTTTGCGCGAATGTGTGATGATGGGAGAACAAATACACTAACCGACAGCGACATCTTCTTATTATATATAATTTACAGCGTCGTGCGATGCTATTGCTTTGGGTCTTTGGTCATCGTGACCAGCTGACGGCGTTATTGTACAGCCCTACTGAAGCATCCTCTTCCACCTACACGACCCGCCTCCTCCGACTGGGGGAAGCTCATCTCCCAGCTTCCTTCGCGTGAACAACGCTAGCTCTCCGAAAGAAGTTTCCTCATCTGTCATGTACCGCCTGGCACGCAGATCCGGGACGGCGGTTACCCGGAGGGCTGCCAACCGGCACTAGATCCTTTGTTGGCGCTAGAATCTCACTCAGACGAACGAGGAACGCGACGTGAGTGGTCCGTTGCCGCGCAGCTGCGGACAAAGAACGTGCTGACAGTGGAATTGGCGTCTGACCTATGCGTGTGCGGCACATATCGCAGAAGCTAAGGTCGTTAATAGCCGGGGGCTGAGCTCGCTCGTGGGCTGCCAGCAAACACCGCCCCGATGCTGAGATGAACGCTGCCCGCGTCTAATTTTAAACTCCATTACCAATTTCAAGCTAGCCAAGTGGTGACTGATAAACATGGTATATGTGCATGACTTTGCCATGCGGACTAGCCCTGAATATATTGGTATCCCTCCTTTTGCTCTAGCTCCCTCCGAACCTAGGACGATGGAAAATCCTGCGATGCCGAAAATAGGTGTTTGATATTCACGATACCTTCGTTCCGTTTCCGAACTGAGATTTAGATCACTTCATCCCGGTTTAATCAGAATCACAGCCTAAATGCCCCATCTTGATATTTGGAATGAGCGCAGTTGACCCTTACTATCCACTTGTACGATGGCGCCTAGCAAAGGAGAAACCCCCGTCAATACTTCATAGCCTGAACTCGGCATCAGCGGAAGCAGAAAAGAAAGGCTTCTCGATGCCTATACGCCTCTCGAAGAGTTAGAGAGCTTGAGCCCGATGACGGAAGACGGTCCGCGACAGAAACCAGGACTCTGCATATCCCCAAATGACACGATTAGAGCAACGTAAGCTAAGGTATTTTACACACCTATGGATAGACCTTTTGAGCCGAAGGATCGATTTAGCTTGTCGGCGTCTCGACAAGAATTCTCTCTTCAACATATTTCAGCAGCGACCAGTCATATGGCCAACCTCCATAACGCTCGAGTTCCGAGATACGTCCTTCAGTAGGCTGCTAACCTCAGCTATCCTTGATCACCAAGACCTTGCGCCTAATGTGTGACTTGCCTGGAGCCAATAAACAGCATAAACAACCTCGCTGCCGAGAATAGCATGAGGCTGTGGACTTCACTGCGAGTATTGACACCTAAGTCATGAAGTTTCTAGGTCGTCCGCATAAGCCCATACGTATAGCTGGTGTTTTCCTACACCTCTTTTTGAAAATCTAAACCCTGAAAGAACCCAAGATCGTGTTGCTATGCTAGGTATAATGGAAAGAAGAATGACAGAAAGGAAAAGAAAACTGAAAGCAAGGCTATATGCAATGGTCGTTTTCGGTCGTAAGCCATGATCACCCATCGCATCCCAAAGGCGAAAGCTGGCAACCGTATATCATACAGCTCTCGTCAGATGGTATCGTCGCCAAACAAACAGGACAAGACACAAGGAAACACGACCGCGGTCTAGGTTTCATCCGGCCTTGACGGCCTTCTCAGCTCCTTCTCCATCCTCGGACTCTTCCCCATCCTCCCCATTCGCCTCGGCCTCCTCAGCCTCCTTCTTCTCCTGTTCCAGTTTATACCAAGGCCCGTGTATCGCACCCGTTCCAGCGCCAACCAATAGCCCGAGCCCTGTCGTAGGGATAGCTGTGACACCGCCGACAACAGCCCCCACCAACGTACCCACCCCGGCGCCCAGTCCCGTACCAAGTCCGGCGCCGATGCCCGCGCCACCGATGCCGCCCTGCCACACGCCGCTCTGCAGCCGCTTCGACTGCTTAGCCGACCCCTGCGCCTTTTTCTCGTGCTCCGCCGCCTCGGCGAGTATCTTCTTCTTCTCCTCCGGGTCCTCGGTCGCCTCGGCCCGCTCGCGGAGCGCCTGCGCGGCTTCGGTCTCTTTCTGTGCCTCTTCGAGCTTGGCGGTCGCTTGGGCGAGAACCTTTTCTTTTTGGGTCTGCTTTTGTTCTTCCGTCTGCTTCTCGTCGGGTGGTGTTGGTGGGGAAGACATTATGTGAAGTGTGGCGTCGGTGGCCGTGCGAGGTTGCTCGAAGAGGAGCTTTTGGACGCTTGAGGCTGGAGCTCGGGGAATGGAATGCTGAGGTGGGATGAAGTGTGGAGTTGCGCTGTGCTGTGCCGTACGGTCGGGACGAAACAGTGCAATGAACAAGGCGAAGGAAGGGATGCTGTCGATTACTTGCCAGATTTCGGTAGCGAGTCGTGCAGGTCTGACAGTCACTGGGTAGGATTTGCTTGCGGACTATTGCAAGGTTTTGGAATTATTCGATATCGAAGAAGTCAAGGAAAGTTGGGCGGGCAGCAGCCATAGTGAGGGAGGTACTGACATCATTCGCTTATTGCTTTTTCTGTTTTTCATGTTCTCGCGACATCCCTGCTGCGTGGCGGGGTTGATCTGCTGCCACACGCACAGTGACGTCGGGATCGGGTAAGTTCATAACATGGGGCGCGACGAGCTTAAACGCTCAGAGGTATCTCCTTAGAGCATCAGTATTCCAGCTCTCAAACTTTCTCTTTTTGCATGCAAGTCGTTTTCCAATTGCATAAATGCGTTTTGGATGACCTGCTCACGTGAAGATGGTGGTTTCAGCATTCTGTCACATGCGATTTCCAAATAGTGGGGACTCACGTGGACTGGCGGGAGGTTCGCGACCTTGAAGGAAGGGACAGCATTGAGAGTAGCAAAGACCAACCTCAGGTACCAACTCCTTCACTGGCCACGGTTCTCCAGGGTTCATCTTCATTCCCCCAAGACTCGATATCACAGTTGCTCTACTAGCTAGTCCCGTCGTAGAGTCAACTTCCCTAACCCATTGTTGCACTACCTGGTCTAGAACGTTTGATATAAAGCTTGTGCGAGATTCAAGTAATTGAGTATGATTTCTCCAGGATGGATGCATGTGAATAATTCTTAAAGACAATAATCACTTGAATCACCTATTCATCTGGCTACTCTCAAAGTAGATTGACCTCTGAAAGGGAAGTCGAGTCGAGAATATTCATGGAACACCGCAGACGACAAATAGCCTACACGTAGAGCCCATTTCTCAAAGATAGAGATTGATGAATACTCCAGATTGAGTTCGAACTATCACTAAATCCGAAGTGCTGTCCTTGGACACTGCCAATCTGGTTGTGCTAAAGGTTGGGTTGGAGCCCGGGCACTGTTATGAGCTGAAACCCTCGCACAAATTCACATCGCAAATTTCGAAGTTCTTAAGATCGACCTATTCTCATGTCCCCTCACAACACGTATAGGTTCTACTCATGGGCCTGTCATAATGAGATAGTATGACAGAGAACGAAAAATCCGCACTAGGTGAAGAGTTTTCCTTTTACTTGGGGCCCAACTGAAAATTTCAGATTCTCCTGCCATCACCGAGTCATTCAGCATACGTGTATGACGTTGAAAATCTACTCATGCTTGTACGCTTTGGCCGTATTTCAACCAAGAGAACGTGAGGAATGCATGTATAAACGTACATTGACTCGTCTGACAGACTAGCATCTTACAATTACAGCAAGATATGATGAGCGGTTGGCCACAGACATCAAATGCTGAAAAATGTCGAGTCAGCAAGTCTCTAGGTCTTTGAGGTCAGCAAATATGAAAAAAGGGACTTGATAGAGGAAATAAAGATTTGCAATGTCTGACGGCCCTAGTACCCGGGTTCCACGTATTAAGGTCTCGGAGTGGACCCGCCCCCAGAAATACGTGTATCTGCTAGTGAGCAATCAAGTGACGATAAACTTTGTCAAGTACTCTGTACAGAATCTAGTACAAATTCTAGGCTATGGAGATTACTTTCCAATTGGCCTAGAATAGAAATGAACTGCCGTCCAACACTTTTAAATCAGCCGCCGGTACCCATTTCAGCGTTTGTCTCGGATTTGGAGAGCATTGCAGCGGAACGACCAAGAGGTCGTCACTATCCACATGCGTGGACCGAAACTTGCACGGAATCTGACGGGTATTTTGCACAGTCGTTGAAGAGTGAAGATTCTCAAAGATGCAGGCGCCTGGGAACGAAAACGAGTATCCTAGTCGCGATGTACACAGCAAATGACTACATATCGTGTGCTTTTGCGTCATCTTGTAATGGCAGCGCACCACGTGGTGACAGTAGCATTCACCGATATTGACAAGAAAACTCAATGTCGAACAAGGCGACCACAGCCACGCCTTCGCGAACAACAGTATAACATCCCATGTTCAGGTCAAGCGATTGAGTTTGGCAATGCAGTGACGCAAAGGCTTATCTCGACATCCAAAGTTGAGCCAAGTCCGCCGCCCAGTCTGCCTCGTTCGCGATACCGACAGGACGTTCCCGCCTCCCGCTGTTCCCATCGCCAGCGCGGCCAACGCAAAAAGGTTCCGGCAGCGCGGAACGACGGTAGAGATCCACTGCAGGCGCCAAGACGAACCGAAAGCGAGACCCCGGTCAAGTCCGAAAACAGCTGAGCGGTTGCCGGATTCCGGACTAAGCCTCAAAGGTAACCTGATTTCTACAGACTACCGTTCGTCTACATCACTAGAAGTAATGGCGCAGAAGTCAAAATTTTGTGAATGCGAAGAGCGAAACGATTGCGCAGAGTAAATGGAGAGACAAGGTTGACGGCCAGGTGATTTTACGAAGTATGCATGGCTCCACGATCGCCGCCGTTCCCGTGGAGCTGTTTGATGGGACTTTTTCTGTTGGCCAAGCCACACTCAGAGTTTCCTCGTGTTTGGTGACAGTGTTGCAAGTTTTGCTGGGGAAAAATACACGTAAATGCAGCCTCTTCCAAAGACTGGAAGGGGGGTTGCATGAGGTACGTAAGCTTGCCGAACGGGATGTTCCTTATCGGCGTGGCTTTGTCCCTGCATCAGACGAACGACGGAAAGTTGGATTGGGTAGGACTTCACACTCTGATATCCGTACAAATGTGAAAGAGATTGAATGTCAGAAGGGTGGTGGGGTGACGAGTCCCGGCATGCCTCCCTCAGCCTCTGTGATTGCAAAAACATCACGGCCAAATTCTCTGTACGCGTATGGGATGGGATGTGATTCGTCGACCGAAAGGAATATGTAGTGAGATCCACCCACAAGGCTAGCAGGGGAGTGGGACACACGAGCCAATCACGACTCAATTAATCCACGTATACATCCTTATGGGGAAGACTCAGACCCCACCTGTGGATACCAGCGAAGCTTGGATCTCACACGTTGATAGTCAGACACATCTAGACTCTTTGCCTGTTGTTCACGACAAACGCGTATGGAGATGCCGTCAAAGAGACTTTATTCGAGAGTTCGCGTATACGGTGGCCGCAGCAGCAAACTGAAGTTCCAACCGCCCCCATCTCCCATTCTTGGGGACGCTATAAAGATGGACTACAACTTCGAGACACCCCCTTGGCCCTTGGCAACATATCCAGCAACAACGTCAACACCAACGAGGTCTTAGGACGAGATTTCCATCGACAACAGCAAATCAGCAGTCCTTTCTTTTCCATCGGACGCCAATATTTGAAGCAAGTCTAATCTCGCGATCAAATACCACGAAAAAATCACAGCCCACAATAACAGGCAGGGAATGGGCAAAGGTGGAGGACAAACCAACTACCGATAACCGATTCCTGGCAATCCTCAAGACTTTGACAAGATGCCTACCCTCGAGTCCTACAACGGCTACTACCTCTGGCACTATGTGCCCAGTCTGGTCGCCGCCATCATCTTCGAGGTCCTCTTCGTCCTCGCGACGCTCTTCCACGCGTACAAGATTGCCAGGACAAAGACGTGGTTCTGCATCGTCTTTGTGATAGGCGGTATCCGTACGTGACCAATTTCGACCTTCCAATTGTTACCTGGTATCAAGACCCTGGGCTGACATTGAAATCTCCTATCCAGTCGAAATCATCGGATATGCAGGCAGAGCCATTGCACGCGACCGCACCGGCGAAGTCGGACCCTACGTAATGCAATCCCTCACGATCCTCATCGCGCCTGCCCTCTTCGCGGCATCCGTCTACATGACCCTCGGCCGCATCATCCGCAGTGTCCACGGCGAGTCCCTGTCGGTGGTCCGCATCAACTGGCTCACCCGCATCTTCGTCACCGGCGACTGCTTCTCGTTCCTCGTCCAGGCCAGCGGTGGCGGTCTCATGGTCAAGAACGGCAGCCAAAAGATGGGACAGAACCTTATTGTCGCCGGCCTTGTCATACAGATTGTGCTCTTCGCCATCTTCTGGGTCACCGCCATCGTCTTCCACTCGCGCCTCGCAAAGAACCCTACCCAGGCGTCCCTGGCGGGCCACTCGCCTTGGAAGTCGGGCCTGTGGATGCTCTACATTGTCAGCGCGTGCATCATGGTCCGATCCATCTTCCGTCTCATCGAGTACGTCCTCGGCGGCGACGGATACCCGCTCCGTCACGAGTGGACCCTGTACGTCTTCGACGCCACGCTCATGTTCTTCGTCATGGTGGCCTTCGGGTTCCGGTTCCCTTCGGCGTTCCAGATCCGCAAGGGCGGTTCGCAGTCGGCTTCGGATGTGGAGAACTATGACTTGGCGGTGGAGAGTGAGCAGCACCAGCCCGGCTCTATGCGCAAGACCATGCGATAGAGAAGAAATTTAGAGTGCCTTTTTCTCTTTGATTTTTCGTCCGGCGGAAATTGCGTGTGGAGGCTCGCATTGGGGATGCTCAGCGAGCGCACACCTACGGAGTATTATTAGTGTAATTGTTGGGAATGGAGGACAGAGAGACATGGCGGAGTTTGAAGGCCAGTGATCCATGTCACGATCATCGTTCCGAGGAGTTGAACGATTCAGGTCAGCGGAGACAACGCTGAATGTTCCAGAATAATACCTAGCGATGGGCGGAGGGCTAAGGTATCAACCGCGGAAAGCCGGGTATCCTGCCTTGGCTTAGTATTTAGCACTTTAGACGCACTAGAATGATAAATGAGGAAAATGTTGTGCAAACCGTTGGCCCGAAATCCTTGGTGTATGGTATCCTCACTTTGACGAACCGACTAGCAACTCCTGCATGTCCATGTTTGTCAACGGGACTGAATACATGTATTTCATCGTGTTGACGATTAGCTTCTCTAGGTCTGGATCATACAACCGGGCCATTTCCGGCGTAATTGGCTTCCTTGACGTTGCCATTGGATCGGAGATGTTTTACAGGGTGGTTACTAATACAACCGCGTGGGCATTTTAAGGAAGGCACGCAGGTGGGTGGGCGCACCTGTCCACACTATCATAAAGATTTAGGGGGAAGGGGCCGCGTGGACTTGGTTGGCGCAGCGTCCATCGACCTTCCATTGCTCCCCTGAAGGTCCTGTTTAGGAATTTTTGGGTGCATTGAGCTGCAGAGTAGCCCCTGTAGCAGACCCTCCTAATGGCCCTTCCCTCAGTTCCATAACTTGCTTCCCCGTATTAACGTCCACCGGTGGCCCTTGGACCCGCTGAAGTCATGTTGGAGCGCGGTAGATGCCGCACCCCTGTACGAAACTAGTGGGAAGGTAGGCATATTCAGTAGTGCCTTCCTTACTTTACTTTTGTAACTCCCTGTAGTCTGTACTCGTGCCCGCCCCCACTTTTTTGGGCATTCGGGACTCATCACCCACTAAAATAGGTACTTTTTAGCCAAACGGCCTCCTTAGCTAAACGGGCAGATAATTATTAATTATATATTATTATACACAAGCCTCGACTACCCCCTTTTTAATAGCCGCCTATTATCTAGACTATTAATTATATATATAAGCTAAAACTAGCTAGTATTCCTTATCTTCTTAGCTTTTTTTTTTATTTTAAAAACCCCTTTTTTAATAACTAAGTAAATTTTCGTATTTACTACTTTAATAAGAACTACTACTTTAGTAATTTTAAATACTTACTTCCGTTTAATTATACGTTAACTGTCCTTTATTATAATAATTCCTTTAGTCTATAACTAACTATTCTTACCCTACTTACGGGCTCTACTTATTTATTAAGCTAGCTAAGTTAGGCCGAGGTCTCTTTTTATTTAAAAGAGCTTAGAGCCTTATATAAATACTCTACGAATAAACCGCTCGAGATTCTATTTAAGTAGGGAAGCCTTACTAATTAAGTACTAAATCTCCTTATTAAGGGTATTTATATCCTTTTATAAATACTAAGTAACGTAGCGGAGCTTTTAAATAATTATAAATATAATAAATAGTAAAGAACCTAGCTCTTAAAAAAGTAGTATAGTTAATTAAGAATCGTAGCTACGATTACGGATCTTTTTAAATATAATTTATAAATTATATAAGTAAATACCTATTTTTTTAAATACTAAAAGAATTATAGAATATTTAAATACCTCCTTACGAATAGACTATATAAAGCTAAAGAATTTTAGTTTAGTAATATTAGTATAGCCTTCTTAAACTACGAAGTTAAGTACCTTAGTATAATAATACTTAAAGAGCTAGAAAACTATAATATTAAGAGATTAAAGAATATATATACTATATAATAAGAATCTAAATAGGATAATATCGTATTTATTATAATACTTAATAAACTCGATAGTATAATAAGATCTATACCTATTTATAAATAGTAGTCTCTTAGCTCCCCTAGTTTAACCTTTCGTATATATATTAAAGTACTTAATCTAATCTAAAGTTATTATATTATTTATATAGCTAGTAAGTAAAACTCCTATAATAATATTAAATTCGAGCTTTTTAACGCTATACTACCTAGCTATATAAATAGAGCTACTAAAAATTAGAAAAGCTAGTACGTAATCTCTAGTAATAGAAATAGCCTCTATAGTAGTAGCAAACTCTTTATTAATTAAAAAAGTAAAATAATAAGCCCTTCTTCTCTTTATAATAACTATACTAAATTTCCTAACCCCTATTTAAAATCTAGTCTCGTTTATATTTTATATATCAAAAAGCTAGATCCTATACTTATTAACGACCTCTTTTAGCTTAAAAAAATAAAAGTTAATAATATTCTTATTTTTAAATTTACGCTACTTAGTATCTAGCACTTTCTCTTTAACTAAAAAGTAATTATACTTCTTAATAAATCGACTAGCCTATTAAGAATTAATAATTAAAAAAAGAAATAAATCCTTAATATTATTAATATTTACTAGGTCTTACGACTCGGTAAGTAAATAATTAATAATATTAATAACTAGCTCGCGCCTTACGAGTAAGTTAATTTAGTCTAAATAATTAATATAATTATAAATCGCCTTTTCCTAGTCCTAAATAAGCTTATAGCCGTAGCTAGTACGCTCTTTTAACGAGTATTTACTAAAAATCCTCTAACTAAGCTTCTAGCACAAAACAAAGTATTACTAAACCGCTACTATAATTAATAACTCCGGGTCTTCGTAAATAGCTACAATAGCTACTTATATACGCTCCTCTTTAGTAGTATTAAATTTAGGTATTATAATAAAAAGTAATAAAAGTAGTAATATATAGAGATAAATCGCAATAATTATACCCGTATAGCTAACGTAGCCGTTTAGCTAAAAAGCACCCACTTTAGTAGGTGATAAGTCCCGAATACCCAAAAAAGTAGGGGCGGGCACGAGTACTTCGTCTCTAGAGCAGGTAGGCACGCTGTACTGTATACCTTCCCAAGTGGTGCCAGGTACCGTTCCTACCTTAACTGGACTGACCTGAGCTTATCCATTCAAGCTACGGAGTATCTTCGTAGGTCATCTTTCCTTTCCCCCTCCCCCCACCAAAAAAAGGCTGAGCTTCCCTCGGGTTCGCATCCCTCAAAATCATTCCTCGAATTCAAACACTTCCCTTTTTTCTTTCTCTCGTCCATTGTCATTTCCTTTCGCGTTCTTCAACACAAAAGGAAGGCCCTCGTCGTTTGCCGGCCACAGACACCACGTCTTACCTGCTTTGCTACACGTCGAAAAGGCCCCATGGCAAACCACTCACCTTGAATCTACCCACCCTCCACATCGCTTTCATCCCACCGGCCGAGACAAATCAACCTCGAGGTACCTGGAGAATGATGGACATCTCACGCAGCAACTCTCCCGCCCCCGGCACCGGCTCGACAAACGGCGACGTCAGTACACCGGGAGGAGCATCGGCATCGGCCGCAGCAGCAGGCGACGTCAAACTCCGCCGAGCCCACCGGAAATCTCGCAACGGATGCAAAGAATGCAAGCGCCGCCACGTGAAATGCGACGAAACACGCCCGACCTGCGTCAACTGCGCAACAGCTGAGCGACACTGCTCCTACCTCGACTCCCTTCCGGCATCGGCTCGCTCTTCCGCCGTCTCCTCTGGCCCGGCCGCCAAGCGAGCAGCCGCAGCCGCCGCCCTTGTCGCCAGCCCAGCGGGCAGCTCCGGTAGCAATGGCAATGGCGCCTCCGCCGCCGCAACAGCGGCTGCCTTTGCAACCTCACCTTCCATCACCACAGTCGTAAACGACTTTGTCATGCGCACCGAAGATGACCGCGGCGTACCGAGCCCCCCTAACGGCCAATTCTTTACCCTCGAACACATGCGCCTCCTCCACCACCTGGAAACCCGTATGGGCACCTTCATGGCCGCAGACGTATTTATGAAACCCTTGGTTGACATGAACCTCGAGGCTGCCCTCCACGCCCCTTACCTCATGGACGTCCTCCTTGGTCTTTCTGCCCAGCACATGGCCGAGCTGAATCCCCAACGCGCTGATTTCTACCAGCATGAGGCAACCCAGCTCCAGACCCGCGCTCTCATGTTGTTCAACGACGCCAAGGAGGAAATCGACGATGACACCTGCATCCCAATGTTCCTCTTCGCATCCTGCCTCGGAACTCAGGTCCTTTGCGATACCCTCCGCAGCTACCGTAGCGACTTCAACGGATTTCTCGACCAATTCGCCTGGTACCTCAATCTTCACCGCGGCGTTAGCACCGTCACCGGCCGTTCCTGGCACATCATCCGCGAATCCGGTTGCAAGCCCTTTGTCGACTTCCTGGAATCTAATAAGCCCGACCCGAACGAGCGCTCCGAAGTCGACATCCTTCACAGTATGCTCGACCAAGCCGATCTCGGCCCCGTCTCCCTCCAAGCCTGCCGTGATGCAACAGAGTCTTTACGGCAGTCGTACTCCATCTACCGCAGCATTGCCATGAAATCCAGGCATCAATCCGCCTCCGTCATGGCCTTCGGAGTCCGCGTCACAACAGGCTTCATCGACGTCGTTAAGCAGCGCCGCCCGGAAGCCCTCGTCATCCTCGCCTTCTACGCTGTCCTCCTTCACTGGTGCCGCAGTTACTGGATCTTTGGAGACGCTGGCCAGTGGATCATCCGCTCCGTCTCGGCGCATTTAGGAGATTACTGGTCAGAATGGCTGGCCTTCCCTCAAGCAGTGCTCGAGGTGCATGCAGGCTGAGAGGTTGAGGCAAGGAAGCAAGGCACAAACGTACCGGACAATATCCTCCATTTCCTGACCACTGATGCAATGAAATCAACCTTGTGCACAATAAGCTACACAGTGAGCTTCTCTCCTGCATGAGAAGGAAGAAACAGATCGGTTTTAAGAACTGCAAGTCTGTAGTCATCCAACCCCGGCCGATATAGCCGGTGGCGGGCAGGGCAGAAGTAAAAAGCAGAGCCAACCAGAAAAACCGGTATCTGGAAGAACTCCAACACGGCAAACAAGCAAGCGAACTCTAGACAAGATGGAATGAACAGTGTGCAGATGCGGGTGCGCGCGCCCCATCTCAACTTCGGGCTTTGCGCCGATGCCGAGAGAGCTAAGTAAACAGTATGTCAAAGTCCGAAACATTCTCAACGCGCCATCTGCCACCGACGTCCACCGACAGAAAACGATGAATCCGTCGCAGTCGCAGTCGCAGAGCAGAGTGCAGCTGCTGGGCTGCAGTCGTTGCCTTGGCCAAACGCGCCAATTTCGTCCACACCCCGGGCACGTCGGGTATCCGGGACTGGGTGGGATATTGAGGATGGGGCTCAGAGGTTCTTAAATGTCTTGGAAAATTGGGTGGGAGGGAAAGTGGCGTACATCAACCGGAGATCAAAAGAACACACGGCCTCTGCGATCTGACGTTGGTCCCCTCGTCTCACACTACGCCAGAACGCCCGGGAGTCGGTGCGGCGCTCAACCACCACCACACGCCCATCGCGCACCTTTACCTCACTTCACCTCACACCTCGCTGTCTCTCTCTCTCCTGTACCTTATTCCTCCTGCATATGCTACACCCCCATCAAGGGACGGGCGCCAGGAACGCCAGGGAATCTACGCCATGGCCGTCGGACTTGACATGGGGACTTTATCAAAAAGGTCTGCGCCTCCCGCGCCGATGACACCATGAAGCTCGTTCTCTTGGATGCCGGAAAGAAGGAATCGGCAAAGGATTGGGGCAAAAGTTTCGCAAAGCTTAGCTTTTCACTTTGTTATCCTTTCTGATGAATCCTCCTCCGTCTTCCCACTTTTTAAACAAACAACCCACACCAGCTTCTCCAAGCTGGCGCAGCCATTCCCGTCCTTTACATTTGTGCGGCCCAGCATGTCGCTCCCATTCCCAACATCCAGGTTCGGTCCTGGCTTCACGGTCCCGACCGCCGTGACCGTCACAGAAGGGGGGAGAACAGTCACATTCACGCCCACGCCCACGGGCGGCACCACCTCGGACTCGTCGCCCTTCCCGGACAACATACTCCAGCAGTCCGGCCTCGCCCCGGGACAAATCATTGGCATCACTGTCGGCGCCACCTCGGGCCTCGTCTTCTTCGTCGTCGCCCTCGTCTGGTTCTGGAACAGGAGGAGGGCCCGGAAGCTCGCCGCGCGCGATGAGGCGCTCGACACCGTCATGGAGGATCCGGAGAAGCCCGACGACGCGGCTATGATGATGGCGCAGAACACGGGGGAGACGGTTGAACTGCCGGCGCCGCGTGTGGTACACGAGATGCCCGAGACACGTGAAGGCCCGCCCGTGGAACTCCCTGCTCCCGTTGAGCGACACGAAATGCCTGCGTAACACCAAACTTCCCCCAGAATAGGGTGGGGAGACGGGACACCTGCCGGAATTGCTAAGAGGACGAGGGCGCGAAATGGATGGCGCCTCGCCGAGTCTGATGAACGAAATTGGAAATGAGACCCACGATACCCTCGCTAAGCCATACTTTCGCTTAAGCATTATTACCAAAGAGTTGGACTCTGAGAGGAAGACTCCCGCCGCAAAAGACACTGTTGCCATGAAGTATGATGAATAGTGGTGTAATACGTCAAAGAGAGTGAGGGGCTTTGGAGCAAGGCAACGGTGGGCGGTCTGACAATTCTTACGGCCAAACCAATGTGGATGAGAAAGTAAACGGGAATATGTTTCTACCGTAAATAGATCAATATGGATACCAAAACATTCACGTAGCTTCAGTCACATCGCGTTATTAGGTCACAATTGAGACCCTGTTCAATACAGGACTCGCTAGCCTCAATGCAATCCTGAGATGGACTGCACGATTGAGCACTTGCTGTACGAAATTTGTGTACACAGGCCTAGATATCGACCCTTCGGCATCGCTTTCTCCCCTTGGGCAGCGTACTTGCCTCCCATCCCTGAAACCACCTTACGAACTCCCTGTTGCCATGTAGAATACACTCAAGAGCTTGATGCTTTGCTCACGCCCATATGAAAAAGAAATGAAATGGTCTCTGCCTTCGCATGAGATCAAAGCTTGTGAACATCGTCCTCGGTTGTTGGACCACTTTTGCCCAACTAGGACTGGTTCTCGCCGTAGGTCGATGGAGCTATGCTGAAGTCAATGTCGAGCTCCTTGAGGAAGACATCGTCCAGGCTGCTGCCATCACGGGTGTAGATCCAGGCTCCAGCAGCAGTACCCTCCTTGTCATTCTGCGAGTCGCCGACGACGACCCAGTCGTAGCGCTTGGGGCCGGACACGGGCGATGAGAGCCAGATTTGCTTGTTCGGGGGCTGCTTGTTGATCACGTAGGTGCCAGATTCCGGAAAAGTAACCGTCAAAACTCCAGCCTGCATCCGTAAGAATTAGTGATTCGTTGCTTGGTTACGGGACACAAATCCTGAGCTTCGCAAAAGGCGACAGTGGATACAAGGACTGAAAAGTTAGATTCAGTCTGTCAACTTACAGCATACTCGACATCGACTCCCTCGCGAGCATCTGCTATCTCCTCGAGACGAGTGACAATGTTGTCAAGGTAGGTCTCGGACAGCTCGTGGTACTCGGCATCTGTAAGCTCGACGACGCTCATCTTGACCTCCTCCTTGGGCGTATCCTTGACTTGAGGGTCATCGGTGTCGGGCATAATGCCACGATGGGCGATTGATGAAGTTGTGAAGAGCTTGCGAGCCGAAATGGCAGACACTGTAGGTTTTGAGGCTGCGAGAAGCAGGGCAGAACGACGCGGGACGACCAAGCGGGCTTGCGAGGAGGCACGGAGGGTGCGGGCGGCGGCGCCGGTGAGCTTGGTGATGCTGTTGCGAGCCATGGTAGCTGGGCGTAGGTGGTGATAAGCGATTGGGAGAGATTTGAGTTTGATGATGCTGAGGGATTGGGGCGTCAAGTGGTCAGCGTAAGTGAAAGAAGAGGAGTTCGGGTGGTCGTTGTCGATTAGCGAATCGAAGAGGTGACTGATTTGCTTCGTAAAAGACGGCAGGTCAAAGGCAGCTCCGTTGCTTCCCCACGTTTGCTGCAGGTGTGACGGAAGCTGCAGGACCAGCTTCGATCCGCGTTCAAGGGAAGGAACCGAGCTTGGGCCAGGAGGAGGTCCGGGCAGATATGATTACATCAGAAAGTCATGTGCAGTTGCGAGCCGTGCACCTCGAGCTTCTCTCTGCTGGCTGGTGGGAGACGGTTGGGCGGCTGGCACCGGTCTGACCCCACCAAAGCCAGAACACCGCGAAGCGCATGTAGTGTCTAGCGGGACACTATCACCCAGTCGCATTGAACATAGACATCACTGGCGAACCCACGCCCTGGTATCGACAACTCCAGCCAACTCGGGATGCTCAGTCAAGGGAGAACACAATGATCAACGCCTTTCTGGTCTTCAATGGCCAGGGTCAGCCCCGGTTGACCAAGTTCTACACACAGTTGGTATGCTTGGGCATGCACTACTGAACGAAAGCTGGCATCGCTGACTTGCACATTTACTCAGGAAACGAGCATGCAGCAGCGCCTGATTTCCGAAATATTCACCCTCGTATCGAATCGACCGGCTGGGTCTTGCAACTTTCTCCCGCTCCCTCCCCTGCTCGCTGCCTCGGGCACCTCACATTCATCATCGGAAGAAGAGAACGACGTTCCCTCCCTGGTTACATACCGTAACTACGCGACCCTGTACTTCATTGTCATCTCGACCTCGACAGAGTCACCACTTGCCCTGATCGATTTGATCCAAGTCTACGTCGAGGCGCTCGATAAGCTGTTTGAGAACGTTTGCGAGCTTGATCTCATCTTCAACTTCGAAACGCTACACTCAACGCTCGGCGAGATGATTGTGGGAGGAGTGGTCATCGAGACGAACCTAGATCGCATTGTCTCTGGCGTGCGCGCACAAGGCACTGTGGCCAAGAGACCTGTAAACGAAGGACGCAGCGCCGGACTGGGAGGCGGACTGAGTATGGGAGGTAACTTTGTCTGGCATGGACGGTGAGGTGGGCGGCCTCCTGTCTGAGAGGAACATGATTCTGTTTTCGAACAATATGTTATACATGGGCTTCTGTGCCGGGTATTCAAAACGCCATAAACTCCTCCCTATGCTGGTACAGTGTTGTCGGCCGAGAATCTGTCTATTTGGGGGTCTCGATGGGAGCGGGTGCTTCGGGCGCATCTCTGCGACGTTCGTATCGCTTGTCAGACTCGATTGTGCCAAACAGACCGCGCACACGCTTTCGGATCTGGACGGAATGGTTAGCATCAGTCGGAACTGGAAGCGACAAAGCCATATACCTCTTCTGACGGCCTGTATTCCTTGCCAAAGAACTCGAGCTCGGAGAAGAAAAATGTCCAGCCAAGGAATCCTAGAGCAAATTAGCATAGAGCGCAAGCAGTCGCTATGAGGGCTTCACGAACCAATGACAGTTGCCAACTGCGCAAGCTTGACAGCCTTGTTCCATCTCGGTCGCGCATAAACTAATGCTAGGCGTCTCTTGTACTTCTTCTCAAATCGCAGTTGTGACTGAGGGGACAGGTTCGTGAAGTTGGGAGGCCAGACTTTTTTGGTTCGATACGGGTTGGTGAAGACTGTGAATTTAGAGCCAGCTGCTTCAGCCGCTCGCCGAACGATCGTAGGAAGCATCTTCGATGTATTCGAGCTTTGGTTGTGGATTAATTGGCTTGAATTGCAGAAGGTAGTTCCGGGGATGACATGTACAAGGCGGATCTCGAGGGTATGTCTACAGGTCTCTGCGTGACTGGAGAAGCTCACCATGTTTCTCAGCCACACTTCGCGCCACGAGCGAGTGCCCAGGCTGCACCAGCCACACCTACAAGGCGGCCAGCGACCAGAAATAGAGCGGTACGTACTTCGCAAGGGACTCAACCGCCACAGCACTCCAAACATCGGAGAGTGACCACTGACCCGACAGTACCCCGCCATAACCACCAAAGCCATCGCGGGGCACAGCCTCGAAAAAAACATCGGAGCTGCGACGAAATCTCCCCCACGTTTGGATCTGTGACTCAGTATCCTCGCCAGCGACTATCTCGAAGGAGCACCAGCGACAACGCGATATCGAGCGTGACTCTCAGTTTTCGGCGCAAGAGTCACCGTCGAATCATATAATACGCATTGGTCCTGGAATTGGCCTTGCGTATTTGCCTTCCCCGACAATTCCTGACCGAATCGAACGAGAACCCGCAATCATGGCCAACGAGGCTGCCAAGGCCCTCGAGGCCCTTCAGGTTTCCAAGACCAAGGAGCTCAAGGGAACCGAGAAGCGTGACTTTTTGATCTCTCTTGAGAAGAAGTACCAGCGAAAGTGGTCCGAGGACAAGATCTTCGAGGTCGACGCTCCCTCCACCAAGGAGGTTCCCCTGCACTCCATTACCGCCGCCGAGCTGCGCGAGCAACAGCCCAAATGGTATGGCGCAATTGGATAGGAATTGAGGAATGGAGGCTGACGGGTAAATAGGATGGGATGCATGGCCTTTCCCTACATGAACGGTCGTCTTCACGCCGGTCACTTGTTCTCCGTGAGCAAGGTCGAATTCGCCGCCGGTGTAAGAGAACTCTCGCGATAATGCAATAAGGGTGGAGCTAATGGATTGTTCTAGGTCGCTCGTATGCAGGGGAAGCGTGCTCTGTTCCCTATGGGATGGCACGCGACCGGTATGCCCATCAAGGCCGTTGCCGACAAGCTCAAGAACGAGGTTGCCTGGTTCGGCCGCGATTTCGAGGGCTACAAGGAGGAGGAGGTTGTCGTGGACGAGAAGCCTACTGATGCTAAGGAGGCCCGCGAAGACATTACCAAGTTCTCCACCAAGAAGAGCAAGGCCAATGCCAAGACTATCAAGGCCAAGTACCAGGTATGCATCGGTTATCTCGGTTCCACGTTGCACATCACTGACAAACAGACAGTTCCAAATCATGGAGGCCATGGGCATTCCGAGACAAGAGATTCACCTCTTTGCCGACGCATCGTACTGGCTGGACTTCTTCCCCCCTCTGGCTCAGGAGGATCTTACAAGCCTTGGCTTCAGAATCGGTCAGTTCCAAGTCGAATGGTCATCGCAACGACTTAGCTAATCGATATCAGACTGGCGTAGATCATTCATCACCACCGAGGCTAACCCGTACTTTGATGCTTTCGTTCGCTGGCAGATGATCCGCCTCAAGGAGCTCAACAAGATCAAGTTCGGCAAGAGATACACCATCTACTCGATTAAGGATGGCCAGCCCTGCATGGATCACGACCGAGCTGAGGGTGAAGGAGTTGGCCCCCAGGAGTACACTGGCTTGAAGATGAAGGTCCTCGAGTGGGCCCCCAAGGCCGAAGAGGCCCTCAAGTCTCAGCTTCCCGCCGATGCGAATGTCTTCCTCATTCCCGCCACCCTCCGTCCCGAGACGATGTACGGCCAGAACGCCGTTTTCGTGTCTCCCAAGATCACCTACGGTGTCTTCAAGGCTACCGAGAAGGACTACTATGTCATGACTGAGCGTGCCGCCCGCAATATGGCCTACCAGGGTCTCTTCCTCGCCGAGGGAGTTGTTGACGAGACTGCCAAGATTGACGGTTCCGCCCTTATCGGTACTCGCGTCAACGCCCCCTTCTCCGTCCACAAGGACGGCGTTCGCGTTCTTCCCATGGAGTCTATCCTGCCCACTGTACGTATTCTTATTTTCGCATTGAGCAGTACATCTCTAACAGTTCGCAGAAAGGTACTGGTGTCGTCACATCCGTTCCCTCGGACAGTCCTGCCGATTGGGTCATGACCATGGATCTCCGCAAGAAGGCCGCCTACTACGGCATCGAGCAGGAGTGGGCTGAGCTTGAGATCATCTCCATCATCAACACTCCTTCCGGTGACATGATTGCCAAGACCTTGGTCGAGCAGTTGAAGATTGCCTCTCCCAAGGACACTGTTCAGCTTGACAAGGCTAAGGAGACGGCTTACTCTGAGGGTTTCTACAAGGGAACCATGAACATTGGCGAGTTCAAGGGCGAGTCTGTCGAGTCCGCCAAGCCGAAGGTCCGCCAATCACTCATTGACCAGGGGCTCGCGTTCGTCTACTCCGAGCCCGAGCGCAAGGTCGTCAGTCGTTCCGCAGATGACTGCATCGTCTCTCTGATGGACCAGTGGTACCTTGACTACGGTGAAGAGTCCTGGAAGAAGACCGCCCTTGACTGGGTTGAGAACACCGATGGCAAGGGCCTGAACACATTCAGCCCTGAGACCAAGAACGCTTTCCAGGGTGTCCTCAACTGGCTTAACCAGTGGGCTTGTGCCAGATCATATGGTCTTGGTTCCAAGCTGCCTTGGGACCCTCAGTTCCTCGTCGAGTCTCTCAGTGACAGCACCATCTACATGGCATACTACACCATTGCCCCCTACCTCCACAAGGACATCTTTGGCAGAGAGCAGGGTACTGGTGCCATTGCTCCCGAGCAGATGAAGGATGAGGTTTGGGACTACGTCTTCTGCCGCCGCGAGCTTGACGACAAGCTCCTCGCCGAGTGCAAGATTCCTAAGGAGACTCTTGAGAGCATGCGCCGCTCATTTGAGTACTTTTACCCTCTCGACCTTCGCAGCTCTGGAAAGGATCTGATTGGCAACCACTTGACCTTCTTCCTCTACATCCATCTCGCCATCTTCAGCCCCGAGTACTGGCCCAAGGGTATCCGTACCAACGGTCACCTGATGCTCAACGGCGAGAAGATGAGCAAGTCGACCGGTAACTTCATGACCCTGCAGGATGTTGCTCGCAAGTTTGGTGCCGACGCTGCCCGTATCGGTTTGGCCGATGCCGGTGACACCAACGGAGACAGCAACTTTGAGGAGGATGTCGCTAACCAGGCTATTCTCCGTCTCCACACTCTCAGAGGTATGTTTGTTTCTTCATACTGCGATCATTATACTAATAGCAGCAGAATGGTGCGACGATGTCGTCAAGAACAAGAGCGAGCTCCGCACGGGCGAGTACAACTTCTTCGACAAGGTATTCAACAACGAGATGAACGTTATTGCCAAGGAGGCCATCCACCAGTACTCCGAGACTGCCTACAAGCTGGCCCTGAAGGCGGCTTTCTACGAGTAAGCTTAGATACCTACTAAAATGCCTTGCATTTCTGACGCATGTGAACAGCTTCAACAACGCTCTTTCCTTCTACCGCGAGAGCAGTGCCTTGTCCAAGATGCACGTCGACTTGGTCCTGCGCTACATTGAGCTCCAGGCTCTTCTCCTCGCTGTCATCGCGCCCCATTGGTCCGAGTCAGTCTGGGTTGAGATCCTCGGCAAGCCTACATCTATCCAGCAGGCGACATTCCCCGAGATTCCGGAGACGGATGCGGCTCTTACGGCGGCGAGAAAGTACATTTCGGTGACGGCTTCCAACGTCAACTCTGCCGAGTCCCTGCAGCTCAAGAAGAAGGCTAAGGGCAAGGAGACGTCGTTTGACCCCAAGAAGCCCAAGAAGCTCACCATCTTTATGAGCGAAAAGTTCCCGCAGTGGCAGCAGGCCTACATTGACCTGTTGAAGGAGATGTGGAACCCTGAGACCAAGTCAGTGGATGACAAGGCGCTCAACGGTAAGATCTCCAAGATGGGCGAGATGAAGAAGGCTATGCCGTTCGTTCAGGGTCTCAAGAGACGTCTGCAGATGGGCGAGCCCGCGAGCGCTGTCCTCGAGCGCAAGCTAGCATTTGACGAGAAGGCCGTGCTCGTGGACATGATTGAGGGTCTCAAGCGTAGTGCCAACCTGGTCGAGGTGAAGATTATTGCAGTGGAGGAGGGTGGCAAGAAGGGCACTGATCTGGTGACCGGGGCTGTGGAGGAGAGCCTCGCGCCCAACGCCGAAGGCGCGGTACCGGGTGCACCCAACTTTTTGTTTGCCAATGTTGAATCGTCATGAGCAGCGAGGTGCACGGGATAGACAAGAGTCTGGAGGGGTAATGGTAGCATCTAGGTATGTCACATCCTGATGTAGAGCCAAGCAAAAGGAAGCAAGACGAGATTTGATATCAATTATTACGATTTCTGTTCAATGGCAAACAGCTTCTCTCAATCTCAGACGTGAACGATGTGGAGGATGGCTTTGAGCAAAGACCGGGACATGCAGGTTTAGTGCCGGACTTGGCATGGGGCTCGTCGGCGTAGGTTGTTCGGGGACTGCGGATAGCTGGGCTGTCTGCGAGGCTGGTCTACCTTACTCCGTACACTACTCCTCTGAGTTTGTGAACGGAGCCAGAAGAACGGGACGCAACACTGGAGAATGGAGGGGGGGAGAGCAGACTCGGGCTCAGCTGTGGCCGTTGGGTTGCGGCCTGAAAGCAAGGCTTGACGGAAAATCAGGGAATTGAGATTCGGGGGTGAGGTGAATTGTCAAGCAGCACAGATTAGGTATGACAAAAGGCACGATTACTTTACCTTACCTTGGCCATGCGTGGCCACCGACATGCAGATGAGAATGCACAACGGTGTATAAGAGTTTCCTTGATTCGCGGAAAGAAACAATAGCGTGGCTTGAGAAGTCGAAAAGGCGCGAAGGGCCGTTGAAGTCGCACAGCAAACGTCAGGGAAACGTGCGGGTGGTGGCTGGTGGGTCGAACGTTGTGTGGCTTGATTGGATGATTGGCTGCAACGGTTGTGGAGGACACAGGAGGGCAAGTGGCTGGGGTGATGCGGTGACAGATGTCAAAAAAACGGGCAGTCGCGTTCTGGAGAGTGGAGGGAAAGAGGGAAGGAAGGTGACTGGATGAGGAAGCAGGCGAGGATGCGGTAGAATGGGAAAACCTGGCAGGGACCCCTGCCGCGTTGCTCTTTCTCTCTTTTCCACCCTGGTCCCTGCCTCCTTCTTTTTCTCATGACGGGATCTTTCACCGTTGGTCACCGTCTGCCATCTGGTGTTCCCCATGCCCAGTTGCAGTTGAGGGAGTCTAGTCCTTCAACTCCAAGGAACTGGCCATGTTCGTCCCATCCATCGAATTGGCTTCGGCCTCGGATTCGACCACCGCTACCACCACGACTCCCGTTTGCCATGTTTCTCGAAAGAACCAGAGTCTTGGCCCCTGGGAGCTAGAAGGGAAGGGTCTGACTGGATGACTTGTTCGGCCCTAACGGGTCACGGTTGGCATGATGTGATTCATGGCCAGAGATCTCTATTCTTGAGAGGGGTCGTCGAGGGCCTGCCAATGCCATGCAATGGCCCGGCCAATCCAGGCACAAGGGGAGAGCCGTTGCAGCCGCCTTTGCTTTTTTCCCGCAGCATTTCACTGGGCCAGCCTCGATTCTCGCCGACTATCCCCAGCTACCACTGGCAGCCTGGCCCCCGTTCTGCGGGATGCGTCTCCGGTTGCTACAGTGCCTCTTTGTGGAAGTCTTTCTCGCCTTTCCCAGCTGCAGCACTCGCTGGCCCTCGTCGACGTATGACGCAACAGAGCACGGCATCGGACGCAGACTATCGCCAACTTGGTCTTCCCCCATCTTTCTGGACAACCTGGGCCCCGGCCTTCGGTACGACCACCTTTCTCTGCTGGCAGGAAAATCCGGGACAGCTGCAGCATACTGGACATGCTAGCAAAATGGCACAATGGATGCTTACCTGATTTCTCATGTTTGCGCGCCTTCCGTCACCCAACCACTACCCTGGGCCGAGATGACGAGAGGCTTCTTGTACGAGTGTGCAGGTTTGCGGGAACTCGGCAGACTAGCAACCGTTGGCAAGCGTCACTCCTCTTTTTTGTTCTATGTCGAAGGCGGATGGACAGACGGTCGGATGGTGGATCTGAGTCGGTTGAGTTACCCCAGGATCAGGGCACAAGTCCGCTTTGTGGGCGACTTTGAATATCACCACCGACAGAGCCTGAATTCCGGTGACTACTGACACTGGAAAGAATAAGCTGATGGGCATTGCATCTGCCAATGGGACGGTATGGCAGCAACATGAAACGAAAATCGAGGTGGTGGGGGAAACATACACGTCTAGTGCTGCGGCTCATCATTTTGTGTGGCCATTGTTGCTCTTCGCCGTTGTTGCTCTTTGCTGCAAGTGAAGCCATCCCCAGCCATTTCACTATGCACATTTCAACCCATCAGAGTTTACCACGGTCATCCCAGCCTTCTTTCTCTTTGTGCCTCCCGATGAGCAACCCACACAGAGTCCACTTGTGGTTTCCCGGGCTCCGTCGATGAACGAGAACCCTGTCCTGTCTCGCCTTGTTCGGTTGCTTCCACCCTCATCCCACCCATGTCTGTGACCAGTCCGAATCTAGCACCAACAGGCCTGGAGGCAAGCGAACATGAATGATGTGGTTTGGTCTGAGAATCTGGTCGGGGACTCTGTTCGAGGCCTGGCTGATCAAGGTCGGCGGCACAATTGTTCAAGGCCCAAAAGAAGTCGTAGGTCGGGTTTCCCTGCTTCACCCAGGCGCCCCGCATACAGCTTGCCCACCGCACCACCAATACGACCCCCGGTAACCAAGCTACCAACCCTCTGCTTTCTTGAATCCCCAGTGACGGTGCCGTCACGGCACCCCTCGTCGAGATGATGTCGTGCAAAATCGCCATTCTTGGCATCACTGCTGTCACCGACTCGTAGCCTGTAGCACACAATGTCCTGTGTGCGTCGTACCTAGTCGTACGGCCTGGGCTTTGCTCGTCACGCAGACCCTCACTCCCGTCTCGTAGTATATATCTCCCATCCAGTCTCTTTCATATCAACAGTCTTCTTTTGCTCTTCATCCGCAACAACAAAATCAGAACATCTCACTCTTACTTCCCGCCTCATCTCATCAACAAGAGCCTCAGCTTTCGAGCTAAAACAGTCGCTTCTCTTCCCGATCTCTCATCAACGGCTTTTAAGCTTCTTCTCTCCAAACACCACCAACAAGCCAAAATGCGCTCCTTCGCCATCCTCTCCGCTGCCGGCCTCGCCGCCGCCCAGTTCACCTCCATCGTCATCACCGACGGCATCACCGCCACCGTGACCCTCCCGGTCTTCCCTGAGCCCACCGCCACGGCCATCGTGACCGAGACCGTCCCCTTGACCACCGTCACCGCTTCCCCCGAGCCTTCGGTCTCCACCACCGTCACCGTCCCGGAGGGCACCACCACCGTCTCCGAGGGCCTCACCACCGTCCCAGGAGGAGGCTTGACCACCACCACCCAGGTCGTCGTCAGCGACCCTCCCGTCACCGTGACGACTGCCATCGTCGTCCCCACCGGAACCGACCCCGTCGAGACTCTCCCTACCATTACCGACTCTGCCATTCCTTCCATCACCGCCGTCATTCCTCCCATCATCAACAGTGAGTTATCACCCCTTGCCCTGATTATGAAAGACCAATTGGACTAACATGACCTCTCAGCTACTCTCTCAACCCTCACCCAGACGTACTTCACCTCGTCTCCCAACGCCACCACCACCGGCCCCGTCACCGTGCCCACCGCTGCCGCCGACAAGGTCCAGAGCTCTGCTGCTGGCCTGATTGCCTTTGGCATTGCCAGCTTCTTCCTTTTGTAAAGGGAGTTTCCTGAGATTCGGGACTTGGAAAGCATGATGGAATAATGGGTTTACGCTTGAATGATGATAAGCGCGGTGCACACACACACACACACACACACACACACACTTACTTGACACGGGATTCATGAGAAAGCAAAACAGCACTTGCTTTGGACATGTATTATGACTCCTTTTAACGGCTTGGAGCAACGGCGTTGGATATCTTGCATACGATGATGAAGTACGGTCATCATGAGATAGCATTAATACTGCTAATTAATTTTCAAATAAATACTTTCACATATATTATGCTCATTCACATCACCTTTGAGATTTAACCTTGCCGCTGCAGAGACTGCGTGGGGAACATTTCTCAAGCACATGTGCCTTATACATATATATATATACTATACAAACAAAAAGGAAAGAACTAACAAAAGAGTTCACCCCCCCGGTGGCGAACGGGGGCTACATCTCTGGGTGCACATGCTGGGATTTTTGTCGACTTGAACTCGGGACCTCTTGAGCCTTCACCGATTAGGCTGTTCGTGGACTTCAACCACTCCACCACCCAGCCAGTTTTGACCTGACCCCCGAGGGGGCGCCTGCTGGCTGGTGACGGGAATGAATTTGGAGGGGTATATGAAGTGTTCCTTCCGTGTATTCACTCATGTGTATTCGGGAGCCGGACAGACAATGTAAGTTGAGAACCTTGAAAGACTTGCCATCATGGTATACGATGATCCATCCCTCCCCTCTTCTTGGCCCTGCGCTTCTCTGTAGCGCCGTTTATATTGAACTCCCACCACTTCCGTAGCGGCCGCCGTGTCCCTCGGTCTGCCTAGCCAATACTTCCAAGTGCGATACCATCAGCGCATGTTCATCCAGCAGCGGCGCGGCACGATGCCCAGTGTCCCATTTTTGTCCTAAGAACAGGTCCCGGTGGCATCTTTCATTAAGAAAAATGTTTGCCTCCACTGTTACCTCTGCGGCACCATGTAATCTCCTCCATTCCCGCGAAATGGAAATAGTAGCAAGAAGGAGAGCAGAATCCTTCATGCGCCGTGTCACGCAACCAAGTCTTGTGATACGCGGGCGGCTAGAGTATTTGTCCAACCGTGGAGGCTTCCTCCCGTGCAGGTCCTTAGCCCGCAAGTGGCAATCTGCTGTTGTGTTGATGCGCAATGAATGAGGATCAGCTTCGGGCGCTTGTATATACCGCTCACGTGGTGTGCTTATTCCGCGCTCGTAGTTTCTGCGCTGGACCTTGTGGTTGGGCGACGTGCTAGGCTGGCTGGCGGCGCGAGTATCTGTAGTGCTTCTCGCGCAGTTGAAGTAACCGCTTCGTGGCGCGGCATTCTTATCTTGGAACCTGAAGATAGGTCTTCTTCAAGCGGCGACGGGAATCTGAGCGGATGCCTCCTCGACACCAGGTTCAGCTTCATCTTCGGGGTCCTCAGGGAGGTCGTCCTACAAATCGCGATTACATGTTAGTCATACACCTATTTCCACGTGAAGTTTTCATACGGGACAGAAACCGAGAGAAACGGGAAAACGCACCTTATCAAAGATGACGCGAATCATGAGACTGCAGCTGGGACACACGGCAATGTCCTCGTCGTCGCGCAAGTCGGCCAGGGCGATTTGGAACTTGTCGCCGCAGGGGCATGGGTAGTGGTAGATCTGCATGTCCTCGTCAAAGGTCATATCTTCAATCTCTATCTCGTCGTAGATGGAAATGTTGTCGTCGGACATTTTGGCGGTGTCGTGGTGTCGCGATATAGGTGTATGGGAGTATTGCGATTTAGTCTTGCTAGGATGATGGCGATGGAGTCATTCAAGTTGAGGGGTGGCAAGCCGACTTAGAAGAAAAAAAGAATCAGACAAAAATAAAAAAAAAAGCTGCGGGAGGAGTTGCCCCGCGATGTGGCTGATGAGTCCGCCAGAGTTGAGCCACATTTGATTAGATGATGGAGCCTCAGGCACACAAGCCAAAGAACCACAGAATACAAATCACATGCCATCGGCAGCCAATTCACATGGGAACGGGCCAAAAGGGCCATTTTCCGGGGTTGGCCAATCACGCCGTTCGCCGCTACGGGGCCGCTCTTCTCCAGCACCCATGTACCGTGTCACTCCGGGGAGCCGAGGGACAGAGAGGTCCAACAGCGCCAGCTTTCCCCCATTTTCCCCAGCGGAATCCAATGCTCAAATCACCCCAGTGCTAAATCAGAACAAAGACCCGAGCCACCGAAGCGGTCCAGTGTTATTTTAACGTTTTGGCTGCTGAATCTGGAAGCGGAAGGGGACTGGGCTTGGTAACTTACCTACCGCTACCCCCCAAGTGCCCCAATCGAAAGCCTCGTCCGAAGGACCAGCCGTGTGACACTCACCCCCAAGCACCCACAACCAGCCATGGCTGTTGTCAACATCATTATCTTCCCCTTTCTGACTGACTGCGAACACCTTTGATATTCTCCCCCGCGATACACCCGTGATCTCTTGACGACCGACGGACCTCGATTGAAATACCGCGACGAATGCGCTGACGATACAATCCCATCGTCAACCGACGGACGTTCCCCCATAGCCGCTGGTGTGACGTAGCCGCGGCATCTCGTCCATCTTCACAAGCAACACAACCACGACCCTCATACCCCCCGAAAGACATCGCGAGACGAAAAAGAAGTCGGGATCGCCGTCCATAAACAAGCGGCGCGCGCGCGCAGAGACACCAACCCCCGAAACCACCGCCCATAATGGCCGCCCAATCCAAAGTCTCCCTCATCGGGCTCCCCTCAAACCGCACAGTCCGCAACCTCGCCCTCCAGCTCACCCAGCTCTACCTCCAAAACCGCACGCGCATCTCCCGCGCCGTCTGGATCACCCTCTTCGTCGCCCTCGCGAACCGCATCCGCCGCGCCATCTCGGACCAGAAGGCCGCTTCCGCGCGCGAGGCCGCCGCCCGCGAGTCCCGCGCCACCGTCGCCGCCCCCTCGGACGAGGACATGACCAAGAAGCGCAAAAAGGTCGAGCTCAACCGCGAGTTCTTCCGGTCCCTGCTGCGTCTGCTCAAGATTGTCATACCTGGATGGCGGAGCAAGGAGGCTCGGCTGCTCATCAGCCATTCCTTCTTCCTTGTTGTCAGGACGTTGATCAGCCTCAAGGTCGCGGCCATGGACGGCGCTATTGTCAAGAGTTTGGTCAAGGGTAACGGGCGAGAGTTTTTGATGCGCATCGTATGGTGGATGTTGATTGCTATCCCTGCGACATTTACAAACTCAATGGTGAGCTCAGCTCCATGCTCGAATACACCCGTGTTGGAGTCGTGCTAATATGTTGTGGCAGTTGTCCTACCACCAAGCGGAGCTGTCGCTCAAGTACCGGACACGGTTGACGCAGCATATTCACGACAAATACCTCTCCAAGCTCACCTTTTACGGCATCTCTGCCCTTGACGATCGGATAAACAACCCCGACCAGCTCATTGCAGTCGATGTTGCTAAATTCTCAAACAGCTTGGCCGAACTCTTTAGCAACCTCGCAAAACCCGTCCTAGACATGGTACAAGCTTCCCCCTCAAGCTGCCTCTATCAACCTCAAAGACTAATGACTAGTAGACAATCTACACGCACTCGCTCTCACGTAGCGTAGGCGGCGAAGGCGTCGTCTCAATGGCCCTCCTCGTCCAACTCTCCGCAAACGTAATGCGCGCCCTCACCCCGCCCTTTGGCAAGTACGTCGCCGACGAGGCCCGTCTCGAGGGTGAGTTCCGCTTTCAGCATTCGCGCCTCATCGACCACGCCGAAGAGGTCGCCCTCTACTCGGGCCACGAGGCCGAAAAGGACACCCTCGACAAGGGCTACTTCACCCTTATCAAGCACGTAAACTACATCCTCCGACGCCGCTTCTACCACGGCTTCATGGAGGACTTCGTCATCAAATACTTCTGGGGCGCTCTCGGCCTGCTGCTCTGCTCCGTGCCGGTCTTCGTCAAGATGCCAGGTCACATCGCCATGAATATGGGTGATCGCACCGAAAGCTTCGTTACCAACCGCCGCATGCTACTGTCGGCCTCTGACGCGTTTGGTCGCATCATGTTCTCCTACCGCGAGATCATGGAGCTGGCAGGTTACACCTCCCGCGTCGACTCCCTCCTCGAGGTCATGAACGACATCCGCGCCGGCCGCTTCGAGAAGAAGCTCGTCTCCAGCTCGGGCACCGAGAACAACGAGGCCGTCCTCAAGGGCCGCGGCACCGTCGTCGAAAGCAAGGATATTCAATTCATCAACGTGTAAGTCATACATTTTGCAACAACCAACTCATATGCAGACTAACACTCCAAAACAGCCCTATCATCTCCCCCAACGGTGACGTCCTCATCAAAGCCCTCTCTTTCTCCCTAAAACAAGGCGATCACCTCCTCGTAGTCGGCCCCAACGGCTGCGGCAAATCCTCCCTCTTCCGCATCCTCGGCGGTCTCTGGCCAGTCTACGGCGGCACCGTCCATAAGCCCCCCTTCTCCGACATCTTCTACATCCCGCAACGCCCCTACCTCTCCCGCGGCTCCCTCCGCCAACAGATCACCTACCCAGACTCCCTCCGCCAGATGCGCGCCAAATCCGTCACCGACGCAGACCTCCTCTCCATCCTCTCCCTCCTCGGCCTCGAGCACCTCCCGGAACTCTACCCAGAGGGCTGGGACGCCGAGGCCGAGTGGCGCGACGTCCTCTCGGGCGGCCTGCAGCAGCGCGTCGCTATGGCGCGGTTATTCTACCACCGGCCCCGCTACGCCATCCTCGACGAGTGCACCTCCAGCGTCACCCTCGAGACGGAAAAGGTCATGTACGATAACGCAAAGGCGCTGGGTATCACCCTCATGACCGTCAGCCACCGCCGCAGTCTGTGGAAGTACCACAGCCGCATCCTCCAGTTTGACGGACAGGGCAACTTTGTCTTCACCAAGCTCGACGCCGATCGCCGGCTGAAGCTCGAGGATGAGAAGGAGGACCTGGAGGTCTTGCTGCGGCAGGTGCCTGAGATTGAGAGGCGTATTGCCGAGTTGACGGCCGCTTAGATGACGGTGTTGGTTACTGCCCTCTTATCTTTGATGGTTTCCATGGGCCAGGTTGTAGCGGTGCATTTTCTTCAATTAGTTGATGACGGAAAGGGTGGCAAATCTCGAATGAAGAAAGCATGATTCGATGGATGTTGGACGATTATCTTATTTTTGCAAATTTTGTACACAAAGGTTTGTAGAAACAACACCTACAGAGGATACGGGCGTAGAACAGGATAGGCAAATCGAAAGAAATAATACCACAACTCACAACCTATCCGTGCATTCGAAATACCCCAACTCATGGCAAAGCTTGACGTGCGCAAATATTGGTTAGGTTTGAGGAACCAATATGCTTTAGACTCCTTGCTCGCCACCTGAGGCTTGTCAATCTTCCTGAATGCATCCTGAAAATGCAGAACTCCACATTTGTCCAACTCAATGCTGTTGGTAGATCAACTGGCAGCTGCCATCTACCTCTCTACCTGCTTCGAAGACACGCCGCCTACCAACGTCCACCACGGGTATCAAAGCTGGACAATTCCGCGTCTCCTTCTGTCAATCGACAAGATTTGTCGGATGGAAGCGGCAGCTCTCGCTATGTATGCTGTTGTCAAGCAGTAAAATACGCTTATGATCCGCCCCGCACTCGTAGCAGAACTCGTGCTTGCATTTGGAACCTAGGAATCGGTCTCTAGGTTAGATGTTTCTTGAATTTCCCTCCCGATATCTGCTTGGCTGCAAGCACCGTGGCTCACTCTCGCCTACACTAGGGGCCCAAGACCCCGGCATTGAACGCTGTGCGACCGTTCCCAGATAGAGTAACAGCCCCAACAGAATTCGTAGCGGCATTTAATGCCTGCGATGATGTTGGCTTCAGTTTGACAGGTACAACGCGGCGATAAGCAAGTGAAAAGGACTGGACAGGGGACCAAACATGAGAGACACAAGAACAAGGGCACTTACAAGTCATGTGCGAACTACCAAATTCCTGTCAGCTTCACCTGTCGCTCTGAGGTTACAGAGGGTCACTTACCACCCAGAGTTCTTCTCAATGGCCCATCCACAACCAGGGCATGGCTTTGTTGTCCGGTTTACGGTCACTCGACTTTGCTCTTCTTCCGCCTTTCGGCGAGCGGCAACTTTCCTCGCCAGGGCTACCGCCTTTCGGGCTCTTTCCCTTTCGGCACGCTCTCTAGTCTCATTCTGTTGGATCTCCGCTTGTTGTTCGGCCATTAGGCCCTGCGCCATTGCCCGATCGGCAGCCTCTTGCGCCTGTCGCGCCGAGTCAAACTCATCATGCTCCATCTCGATGCGCGAGCGGAAATTTTCTGGGTCTTGAAGCAGCGCATCAAGCTCTTGACATGACAGGTTCTCGTGCCATGTTACGTTATGGCTAAAACAAGATCGTTGACCGCAATGCAAACATGTCACGATGGGCTGATCTGCGCCGGTATCGTGAAGTTGGCCCGAGCCACAATTTGCCGTACACCAAATGAACTTATCAGCTTCAGCCATGGCAGCGCGAAGAGCCAAAGCCTCGTATCTTGGAAAACGTCAGTGTTTTTGTACCCAAGAGAGGCCAAGGGGGTATACCGGGCAAATGTCTCTTCGTCTGCGTACTTCTGAATGTCGACGTATTCTAGCAACTCGCGGCATTCTGGGCACTGAATGTCGGTCCATAACTTGCTGTTCAAGTCTGATTTGATGGACATTCGAAGGCACTCCAGACACGCTTCTGGCGGGTGAGTACATGTTGGAGTCACACTGAGGACAGGAAATGACGAAATATCTCTTGTCTCCGCACAAATCGGGCATTCTCGAGAACCGCCCAGGTCATTAGCTGGTAGCCTTTGCCTTGTAACAATAACATCTGTTGTGTCTGCCGCCTTGTGATATCTCTGGCCAAAACTATGACTCGTCAGCAATGCTGAACTGAAACATGAATGTTGACAACGAGAAGTGTTAACGCTGAATTGCGCAATCCCCAATTCATTGATGAAGGCTGATAAAGAGTATCAACCGAGCTTCAGGGTGCATTTACCTGAAATCATCAGCTCCGAGATCCGTGGATCGAGATCCCGATCCTGAATCTTGTCTGCGCAGAAACGCAACCGTCATTGCTTGCTCCTTCTGCTCAAGAAGCTCAACATAGGGGTTGTTCGAAGCCAGCGACGGGACCTTCGACGTTGATCTTGACCGTGTGGGCGGCGATGACACTGGTGGAGTACTAGCCGCGGTGCTGGAGCTGCCGCCTCTTGTTTGTGGTGAAAACGGGGTGATATCGAAATCCTCAAGAATAGACGCTGGTGTTGGTCGGTAGCCCCTTTGTGGTGGTGGAGTTGAGGAGGATGGAATCGCAGCCTCTGTAACCGTGGCTGTCGACTTGGCTACCGGGAGTGGGAAGTCGAAGTCTGCCAAAATATCAGCGCTTATAGCGCGGTAGTAGTTGACTCGACGCGGAACCTCTGGTAAGAGGGCTGGTGGTCGGGGCTGATCGTGACGAGCACGCCGTGCTGATGTGCCTTGCTCGTTGTTTGCGTTGTTTGATTCATCAACATCCATAGCCAGCCCCCAATCGTATGCCGGGGCGGGATCGAGCCCATCGCTGCCAAAGCCTTCCACCAGAGAGGGATTGGCGCTGGAATGATAGCTTGGTGGTAGTCCGCTGGTTGGAGGAGCGAACATCTTCGTTAAGGGGAATTCTTCGTCATGTGGCACGAATCTTGGCGATGAATCGCTTGATGCGTCTGTATGCTGCCGGGGCGAGCTCTCTTCCAGAGCTATGATTGCGGGAATAGCTACTCGTGTCGCCGCTGATAATCTTGGAGCGTCTATGGAGCGCTCTGGAGTTCCGTCAACGAGAAAGTCCGCAGTCAAAAGATGAGACGTCGAAGGGATTGCAGTAAGACGAGACGCGATCTTCGGGTGCGACTCTGGAGAAGGGGAGTCGAATCTAAGAGACGAGGTGAAATGGCTCTCTTCCGTGGTATCGTTTGGCCGTTCCCCGCGCGCTGAAGTGGACCATTGAGAGGGGGGCAAGGACGTGTTTGTTTCGGACTCTGATGAACCGTTCGTGGTTTGCGGATCGTGTTGAAATGCTCCAGTCAATCTTCCCTTGAAAGATCGAAACATGGTGAAAGGGCGGCAAGCTAGCTGGGATGTCCCTGCTGATTGCTTGGAGTTCAACTCGGACCTTTAACCTTGCATCGCCGTCCAAGCATAGAGCTGATGCAGAAAGGCCACGAGGCAACGTGTTCGCAGTGTGGCTGGAGGGTTTAGCAGCCGGGTACCTATCAGGGCAGAACGACTGACAACAAAAGTAAAGGATAAGTATTAGAAGCCGGTCACGGTACCTAGTCCAGACGAACGTTAGATGGCGGCTCTAACGTCGAGGTGTCTTCGGAGACGAAACCGGGGCGCGGACTCTAGGCTCAATGGCCTACACTCATACGTCTTGCGGCTGCTGGGAGAAGGGGAATGCGGTTCTCGCGGTTTGCCAGGCGGGATATGATGTATCGCGGCTTGGCTCAACCTTGTGAGGGCGTTCCGAATGAATGATGACGGCGGGCGCATGAGGCAACGAACTGAAAGGGCATCAGATGAGGCCGAACGAGGGGCGTTGGCGAACCTTGACGGTGGGAGGAGTTCCAGATTGGCGTCCAAGTGGTTCATGCCATGGTCAGACAGCTCCGAGGCGAACCTGCCTTGAATGTTTCTTCCACTTTGGGAAGCGATGTGTACGTACCGTATGTATGTAAGTACCTCTGGAGGAGGCAGATGTACCTACCGTGGGTACCTGAACGTCTCCACAGATCGCCTGAACCCACTCGCTAGCGCATGTCACTGCCCTTTGCCCGTCCTTAGCGGCCAACTGTTAAGCCTCGCTCAACCCCACCAAAGTCAATGGGCAGACTTCGCAGGTACCAAAGGCGGCCGGTTTTTGGAATCAAAGTCAAACAACCTGACAGTTCACCTACTTGCCTAAGCCCATTTGAAAGACAGAACAAAGCCATTTGCACATTTCTTACTTGCATTCTTTATACTTGCTTCAGCCTCAGACCCAGGGAGTGAACCGATCGGTTGTCTTTATGGGAACTTTGACATGCAACTCTTTCCATAACGCCTACACCAGGCTCCAAGAACCCCGTCATTGCACGTAAGACTCACGGAGAGGGCTCTTGTGATAGCCTCTTGTTGTCCACATGGATTTGACACCTCATGAAGACTCTTCAATCAAGCAGTGATGCTTCATTCAATGTCACCCCACAAGAATGACTCATGGGAAGCAATATAGGGGACTATTAAGTTGACAGAGTGCACCTGGAGATTATTTGCTTCTACTGTCCTTAATGTTTTCCAATTGGGTAGATCAGCCAAACTGGTCCCGTAATATGTGCAATTCGGGAATATTGCGGCAATCCTTATATAGCAAATAAGCCATTGCACCGATACTAGTGTACCTAGCAAATGAAGGATATTAGTGTGAGATACCTAGGTCTCCTAGCCCCCCCAACGGAAGTTTGTCCATCCACCAGCTTCCTGCCTCTCGCGGTCGCTTTTAGCGTAATAGAGGTGGCTCAAAAGCGTACGATCCCCATTCTCCTGGAACCTGTCACGCTTTTCTCGCGGTCCCCACGCCACCAGCATCCGTTGGCGTCGCACAAGCTGAGGTTCCTTGATGACATCCTTGCGGCCAATCTGTCGCATGTATAGTGCCGGCGTAAGAGTGCAAACGTTGAGCAGGTGGTGATATAACTCCTTTTTAGTAGGCTGGGGGTCAATCTTTGTCAAATTGAAAGCCTTGCGGTTCTGGACTATGTTCTTGCAGTCGAGGTCTTGCAAATTGTCGAGAAAGTCGGTTGAAGTTTGCATCTCGCCGTCGCCACCCCAAACTATGTATGGGTTGATGTCGAAGTAGAAATGGTTGGTGGAGACCTGAATCTTCTCGTAGAGTTGCATCGCGGGCTTAATGCAAATCTGTTCGAAGCTCCTGAAAAATGCATCTATCTTGTCTCTTCGACAGAAGATTTTAAAAATGCTCGCAAGTTCGATCGTGAGCTCGCGCAATTTCTTTTCCCGGCAGCCCTTGAAGTCGCGGGAGCTCAAGATTGCATTGTATGCCTCTGCCGTCCAAGTTCGTATCGCGAAGAGATCTGCAAGATGCATCAGTTATCAATACAGATGTTCAATGGTAACCCTGCAAGAATATTCTGGTACCTCGCTTTGGGTCGACATGATTCTGAAGCGCTGTTTCCACGAAGCTGAGGACTTCGACGTAGTTGGCGATGGAGCCGTACATGATATTTTGGAAAATGTTCTCGTTGATGAACCTCATGATAGTTGCAACAATAATGTCTTCGTCCGTTTCTGGAAAGACTGCGCCATGAACTAGGTCAGGATATTGGTGTATGACCTGCTTCAACTTGAGGGCGTCGCTAGGCCTCCTACGGGTAGCCGTCATCAGGTCTTCAACCCCCTTTTCATGGTCATCCAGATAGGGATCCATGAACTTGGAAACCCAATCGCTGATTCCCTCGACGAGATCATCGTATTCCTATCGGCCTGTCAGATAACTCTCGCTGGGTGTCTGGGGAGATACTTACGCGCCCAACTTCCTCAGGAGTGAGCTCCTTGCGGTAGGGCTGAAGGCTAAATATGTGAGATTGAGCATCTCTGAGTTGTTCTTTCAAAGCCGCGTTCTCCGTGCTGAGCTCATTGATTTTTGACGCAAGAGGGGCCGTGTCTTTCTCGATCTCTGTAATAGTTGAGGTTACGGTAGACTTGATCTCGCCTATCCTCCGCTCTGCTCGTTCTACCTTCTCCTCTGCAATCTCAGCTCGAGCCGTTGTTGACTTGAGCCTGTAGCGCAGCTCCATGATTTCGCGGCGTAGCAATGAGTCATCACTGGAATCTGCTTCGCCTCCGCCGTCGCGTGCATTGGGGATAACATCTTTCTCGGAAAACTCTCTTGATGGCGACGAAATGTCAGCACCAAGATCGATCAGGTCGCATTCGACAAAAGAAGATGATGTTACTGTCGAAGAAGGCGATAGAGGATGACGAGAAGAATTGGAGGCGGGATAATGATTGAAACGAGTGGCAACAAGGCCTTTGGGTAGAGCTTGCCTGGGTCCGCTGCTCTGAGCCCCGTTCTCCGGAGCAGGTATCTCGACCTTGGTGAAGCCCATTTTGTCAGTGTCAGAAGTCGCGTGTGGGCCGACTGGGTCTATTGTGGCAGTTGCTTGATTCCCCGGGGCTTGACTGTAGGTAAGTCTCGAGTCGTCGAGGATCATGGCACCAGCATCAACGTCGAGGGGTCTCTTGTCCGGAATTGGTGGGCTGTGATCCTCGCGGTGCTGCGGAAGAGCCGGATCTACCTGTCTGAGATCTTCCATCATGCCGAAAAGCAGTCCTGGAAAATGGCAACGATGAACAAGATGTTTGGATGAAAAGAGAGGTCCGAGTCTACCTGTGCATCAGAAAAAAGAATGACTTGGAGGGATGGGATGTTGCTGGAGGAGAGGCCTGAGGGAAGTTGCACGGACAAACCAAGGAAGATTCCAGTGTCTTGAGGAACCTACCTTATCCAAGGTCGGGTACTCAGGCCAGGTACCTTGCATATCTCGAAATGCCGCCTGTGGTGCCCAGCCCAAGACAAAAGTTCAAGGTCATACATCGAACCTTATTGTGTGATGAATCCTGGGGCTGAGAGGGCTGCCCAGAATAGGAAACCTGAAAGAACACCCTCAAGTCTCTCGAACATCTTTGGCGCTTGATTTGCAGTCGGCCTCTCATGGGCTTGTCTTGGTATCAGTAGGAAGCAAGGCAGCTTTCGGTGAAGGAGGGCTGTTGCTGCATTGGAAGCTGCCTGCTCAGTAACCCCGCCAAGTGGGGCCGGACAACGGCGGGTGGGGCACTGCTGAAATACGTACCTTTAAGGCTGACACCCTAGTTGTGCTCAGAAGTACCGATCCACTCCATCAAAGTCACTTTCTTTAACAGGCATCCTGACCTTCGCCAGAAACAGCTCAACACGTTGGAGTGATGCTGGGAGGCAGTGAGGGTTGAACACTTTGGAAAAACAGTGGCATAGTACGGACCGAAAGGTGCCTCATGAAGGTGCCTGAGCTACATGGCATGCCGGACGAGTATCTCGGCGCTTAGGCCTACGACATGTCGATACATCCAGACGTGTCTGACAATGGAAGTCAGAAGCCGCATGAGCTTGACGCATAAGGCAGTGTTTCTCCAGGGGGCTGATTACTCGATTCAATGATTGATAGCTCTCTTTCATGTGCAGTCTTATTCGTGCCTCGCTTTTTTGTCTACCTTAGTCTGGTATAGATACCTCTGAAGTTTACCTACTCGTACCTGCCTCAGAAAGCTTGATCGGCCAGGGAAGGAGCTACAAGCAAATCGGAGCTTCCTTCCTTACCCGTTTGCGCAACGCCCCGTCAAGGACGTGAAGACCAAGAAGGTTCAGCCAGAGCCTCTTGCTGCCCTGCACCCTTCAACACATCCACCCAAGCTTCATCAAGGCAGATTTTCTTTCGCCTGCTGACCTCTACGTACCTTGCCCAAGCACATGCTTCCATCAAGCTTGATGAGGCCCGGCTTCTGACATCGCCCTCCTTCCTATCACCTCAATTTTTCCTCCTTACCTTTTTGCACCTCTTTCTACTGCGACCAGGCCATCCTGAATAATTGAAATCTTCTTCACCCTCTTCTCGGGTCCGTCAAGCCTACTCGGATACAGCTTCATTTGGAAACACACAGGGCTTCCACTACACCGACCCCAAGACTTTGATTTGTTCTGGTGGATGACAGCCGAACATCGACTTGCATCTGCCTTCTACATCCATACACACTTGTTATCGCTTCTCAGCTTTGATACCTTCTGCAACACCCGGCAGCAACACAACGCCTAGTCATGGACGCCTTTGACTTTGGGCAGCTGTCCGTCAGCGGGCGCAAGATCATTGTCGGCATCGACTTTGGTACCACTTATTCAGGAGTAGCGTGGGCTGAAACCCAACGTCCCGATCGACGAACTGCCATCACTACCTGGCCGATCAGCAAGACCATCCGCGAGGGCGAATCTTCGGACAAAGTCCCTACCAAGCTCCGATATGCCGGCGACGAGGTTCAATGGGGCTTTTCAATCCCCGTTACTGCACCACAAGATGAAGTTGTCGAGTGGTTCAAGCTGTGAGTGCCTTCAATCCCAATCAAACTCGGTCTTGGCATAATGTGTCCGGATGTTATAAGACGCAACAGAGCTAATGTATTCCAGTGACCTCGATCCTTCTCTCCAAAGCATGGGTCAAGCTGTCTCCTCAGAGGCTCGAGGTGGCCGCAATGTCGACAAGCTTGTGACGGACTACATTTCTGCCCTGGGCAATCATCTCGTCTACACTTTGAAGGAGAAGCTCGGAGAACAGGTTGTCAACACCACACCGTTGGAATTTGTTGTCACGGTGCCCGCTATCTGGTCAGATCTCGCCAAGGATAAGACCAAGCAAGCCTGCCAAAGGGCTGCTGGCCTCAACACTGTTACCAACACTGTTGCTCCCATCCATCTTGTCTCTGAGCCCGAGGCTGCTGCCATCTATGCCTTACATGGCCTGGACCCACATGGGCTCAAGGTGGATGACACTGTGGTGGTTGTAGATGCTGGAGGAGGAACTGTGGACTTGATCTCGTACACAATTACCAGTCTAAAGCCTATTCTGGAGGTCCAAGAGGCTGCTCCAGGATCTGGTGCTCTGTGCGGCTCGACGTTCCTCAACATGCGCTTTGCCAAATTTCTGAAGGCTAAGCTGGGCAAAGAAGACGGATTTGACGACGAGATCATGGCCGAGGCCATGGAACAGTTCGAAAAGAAGGCAAGCTTATTTATAACTTTGATCACTCTTTGACCAGGTATCTTGACTAGAGCTCTTTGACTAACGGTGCACAGGTCAAGCGACAGTTCACGCTCGGCGCTGCTCCAGACGACACCTACACCATTCCAGTCGGTGGTCTGGCGAACAACAAAGAGCTGGGAATCAACCGTGGTCGTTTCGCCTTGAAGGCATCAGATCTCCAAACCATCTTCGAGCCCGTTGTTCTCGAGTGCATCAAGCTTGTCAAAGACCAGATCACAGCAAGCAATGTGCCGATTCGTGCTATTCTCCTTGTCGGTGGTTTTGGCGCATCCAACTATCTCAAGGAGCGTTTGCGCAACGCTATCGATAAGAGCATCCAGATCATGCAGCCACCCAATGCTTGGCAGGCAGTTGTTCAAGGCGCTGTCATGAAAGGTCTAGCTCAAGTATCTCCTGACAAGCTTACGCAGGTCAAGGTGCAGAACCGCAAGGCCAGGAAGCACTATGGCACCGAGTGGCGAAGCAAGTACGATGCCAAGCTTCACAAGCATCTCGAACAGAAGCGACACTGGTGCGGCTTGGATGGTTGCTACAAAGTGTACACCATGGAGTGGTTCATTCAACGCGGCGATAACGTCTCCGAAAACGAACCCTTCTACACATCGTTCGTGTGGACCGGTCTGGTCAGTCAGGGCCGCATCAAGAAGATCAAGATGGATATCTACGCAGATCGCAACCAGAGAATTGCGCCTGTTGCTCGGGATGAGAATGTTGCAATGCTCGTTCATGTCGAGGCTGATGTCGGACACATCCCCGAGCACATGCTCTCCCGCCGCCAGGGACTTGATGGCCAATGGTACTACGAGCTGAATTGTAAGATCGAAGCCGTCTATCTTTCGGCCTCAACCACGTACACATTGCTCTACAACAGTGAGTTTCCCTTTCACTGGGCATCTTGACACGAACGTTAACCCCTTCTAGATCAACGGTACAACACGGTGACGGCAGAGTATGTTTGATCTCGTTATGCTTTGGCTGCAGACGCATGTAGTTGGGAAAGCACCTTCCATCTGGATACGCGACCATTTTGGGGCAGGAGATTGATGAGCACATATGAAGAGGTAACAGTGTACACAACGCAAACATCGTGTGGCGTTTCCACTCCAGGAGCTCGGCTTCTCTGGATGGAACAATGAAGTTTATTGAATTCCAAGCCATATCGAGTATTTCATGCGCCCATATGACATTGATACTTGGATGAACACTTTCTTGATTGGCCAATACCATGATCAAATTACTTTGCTTGACCCTAAGACGCTGATCGTTTTAACTCGGTCGTCAGAGCCTGGAATCCGTGTAAGGGATCCGTGGTTGCTATTGGCTATTTGGCGTTGTGGGGAATTAATCACACGTCTGGCACTGTAGACGGAATGACAATGGGCGGCGGAAGCGAAGATGAGGTGAAGAAGACAACATTGGAACATCGGGACGAAAGAGACAGCTGAGAGAACTTAGTTTCAAACTACCCGTTTGGGAACTTGGGGACACTGGATCTTGACTTGGTTCAGTCGGCTCTCCTTGAATGTTCCCCTTCGGCGCGACGCATCCCCAGGTAGTTCCAAAGTTTTTGACACCAACGAATGACCTGTGGAGAGTTACTTAGACTACTGCTAACATGATCGCAGGGAGCTCTAGCTAACGTTGGCTGTACCCTAAAAGGGAATGGAACCATTTTAGCTGAATGCCGATGTGGCCCGGAGGCGTTATCAGTGGTCAAGATAGAGGAATCAGACCCCTGCACAAAATCTGACCGAGGCCAAATTTCATGACAATCAAGACCTCAACCCGGGATGCGCGACTTTGACTCCTTTCCTCATCACATCAACAACTTCAAGGTCGCCGGGAAAGAACCACACGAAAACACAACTCTAACGATCAACCACATCACTGCGCTGTTCGTAACCCCAGGTAACCCCTACAATCACGATGCAAACCAGATCTGACCCTGAACAGGTTGAAGGTAGAGGCGACGACGCCGCCCACTGCAAAGATGGCGACGAGCACACCGTCGCGGGCTGGCTCACCGTGGCCGGCTCGTTTCTCGTCTACTTCGTGTCCTATGGCTACATGAATAGCTTTGGGTACTTCCAGGACTACTACCTCGGCCATAGTCTGGCTGGGTACCCGAGCTCGGTCATCGCGATCATCGGGTCGCTCCAGCTTGGTCTTATGAACCTCATCCAGCCTGTCGCCGGTGGTCTCGCCGATTCGTACAGCCCGAGCATCCTCTACGCTGTCGCGGCTGTCGGGGCGATTGTCTCCAGCGTCGGCGTCTCATTCGCCCAGCCAGGCCACATTTGGCAGTTCATCCTCACTCAGGTATGTGCCGTCACTATTGCCCGACGTGCCGAGATCGATCTAACGTTAACAACAGGGCGTCATCTTTGGATCAACCGCCGTGTTTGGTACAGCGGTCTCCTTGCCTCTCGCTAGTCAGCACTTTACGAGAAGACGCGCATTAGCCATTGGTATTGTCGCTAGCGGGAGCAGCGCGGGAGGAGTCTGCCTACCCATTATGTTCTCTCATCTTGTGCCACGTATCGGCTTCGGCTGGGCTTTGCGAATTGCTGCGCTGATTGCTCTAGTATGCTACGGGATCGCTATTCTCATCTCGCGGCCCAAGCTGCCACGCAAGCCTGTGAAATCCATCTGGTCTATTGTGGATTTCAATGGCTTCCGCGACCCCCGATACTCTATCCTGGCGCTTGCTAATGTGGTCGGTAACTTTGGGCTTTACGTACCGTTCTACTACTTAGGTACGTGTTCATTTAAGCTTGGATAGTCTGACTCAATATGGCTTTGCGTTATTGTGTAAGCTTAAGGCAGACATCAACTATACCGTTCCAAGGTTGCAGACTGTCGATCCAGAACTCGATGTCCCTACTCAATGCCTCTTGACTGCGGGCTGACGGATGATGCCCTCATTGAATACAGCTAACCTCTTCACCAGAGCCGTACATCGCGGTTCACAATCCGGGAGCCGCGGTGAGGAACTACCTTCTCCCGCTTATCAACGGATCAAGCTTCTTCGGCCGAGTGATGTAAGTTATTGAGTCGTCCAATGTGCCATCATGAGTTCCACTGACGAATCCTAGCGGTGGATACGTAGCCGATCATACTGGTGGATTGAATCTCCTCTATCCACTGACGGCAATTTCGGGCATACTCTGCCTTACCTTATGGCTTCTATCCACCAGCGTCAGCATGATTGTAGCTTTTGCCTGTTTATACGGTATTTTCTTCTCATTACTTTATGCATGCATCAAGCTTGCGGGGCTCTAACTCGGCTAATCCAAATGTAGGCTTCTGCTCGGGAATATTTATCAGCGTCACACCGTCCGTGACCGTCAGACTCTCTCCAACTGATAAAGTCGGTGCCCGGCTGGGCGCATTCTCCATCTGGAGCACAATCGGAGTCTTCACCGGCACGCCCATAGGTGGCGCTTTCGTCCGACGAGGCACGCCGGAAGAGTATCAGCACCTGATCATCTTCACCGGCATGTGCCTCACGGCCTCTGCTGTCCTGCAGTTTGCGACGCGCATCCTCTGTGATAGAGATCTACGCAAGAAGTGGTAAAAATCTTCTGCTGTCGGGCAACAAGGCCAGACACCACGAGGTTGGCTTGTCTTGCGGTCCGGCAGCGAGCCGGCAAGCGAAGTTGGGGGCTGATTTTGTTGGAAAAGATCAGGGCAAGGGAGGGTATGGGGAACGGTGGAGTGCAAGAGAACATACGGATAGCCGAGGAGGATCTGCGCCAGGCAGGAAGTTGGCGATGGAGAGGCGGTCTATGATGTTGGGAGAAATTGGCATGGGGCTGAAATGTTGAGTTGGTTTATGGTCATGTCTGAGCCTTGGCTTCTACGGATGCTTACTTGGGGTGGAGCGCTGAGGTGCGGCATCCGCGTCGATCGGCGGGACTTCACGGAATCATCCGAATTGGATAGAAATCCAAGCCATCCGAACCATCTATGTAGTCTGCATAAGGTCTTCAGCCACATATAAAAACACGGATAGCATATGCGGTTCATAGCTTTTCGTCCATAGTCAACTGAATTGTGGTAGACATAATCCCGGTCGATGTTACTTCAAATATGGAGGCCCATGCTTGAATAGTTGTATGGATGCACTTCCACTACTTCTTGGCAGCCAAGGAATAGTCCAGCCTCCTCAACTACATATCAACAAATTACGTGGAAAGTCCCATATCATCAATGAGAAGAAACTCTCCATGAAATGCTATTTGGATGCAGATGAATGGGAAGCTTTGACTCATTGGCATCAAATGGCCGCATCGCGATATTTGCCGGAGAGCGTCCGAGATGAACTGGCTCTCTGCCAGTAGGGGCACAAGGTAAGGGAGGCAACCGTACTCCTTACTAGAACAAAAAACATGAGACACAAGCCAATTATCTACGTCATACAAACAAAAGCAGAAATAATTTTGGCACCTTTTTGTTCTTCTATTAGATGTGCTGATCTACATTTGTTAAATGGAGTAATTTCTCGCGGCACTCTGGAGCAATGCTCGGTGGTTTGGACAGCTTATCGTCTATAATCCAGACGTCCAGTCTCGATGGGACCTAATGCTTATATGATGAGTGAAGTCTTTATTTCATGAGTTTCATATCTGCAAACTGCGACTAGTCAAAGTCTTCGCGCGTTGCCTGGCTCCAGCAACAGCACAACTGTGAAGGTGCCTCAGAATCGGCGTTTGAGTCTCGGAAGATGGCCATCGTATTCCCCGGATAGCCGAGACTCATTTGTCTGCCGCAGTCGAATGCTTTGTGGCTGCCACATGAGTTGTGGATAGAAACCATAAACTTTTCTTTTCAACGTGGGAACCCTGGATAACCCGGCGCTTTCCGCACTTGCTGGTTCGCATGAATCCCGCTCACAGTCCCAATTCTTGACGATCGCTCATATTTCTGCCGTGGCCTGAGGGACTATTCCACTTAATAGAGAAAGCAGAATGAGGCAATTCGCATAGTGAGGTGGCAATCCGTCTCCATGCTGCCGCCATTCAGGGGAAATCACTGCAGCCTTTGTGATATCTGACATGTTGGATGTAAACCTCTCGAGCGGTCAAAAGCAGTTGTGGGACATGACCTTATTAGCCGCCGGGTTATCTCTCGGGGGATATTTGTTCTGCTCGGCGCTTACGGTTGGAGAATTATCGTTTGTCGCCGGTCCCATCTGCATTCCGATTGCGTTCCACCTTACTCAAGCTCTGCTCAGGCAATCTGCGCGGACTTAGCCTGCAAACGAGGAAAACATTCAGAGAACAAGTGATACGGTAAACACGACGGGTCAGGTGGTGGCATGCGCTCAGGAAGACTTTGTAAACAAAGGTATCGGTAATGAGCCAAGAAACAATCTGAAAGTTGATTTTTGAGGCGAACTCACCAAGTCATTGAGTAAAAGCAAAGCGGACTTCAAAGAGGGGGGGAATGGAGTCGTGCTTTCGCCCGCTAATGAGTGTGGGCAGAATGAGGTTTATTATCGCGAAATGGAAGCACCTTTTGAAAAGTCAGTTTTATTGCTGCTATGCGTGATAAGAAAACTGCATAGCATCTGGCCACTGCGTCCTTTGGTCCGTGAGACTTTCTGTGCTATGGAGCTGACTTGCAGACTAGCAAGCTGGCGTTGAACTCTGTTAGATGCGCAGCGCACGAGGCACATTTCGCAACGTGTCTGGGTATGATGTAAGAATAATTCCACTTTCACGAGAAAAATGTGACAGAAGCAAACAGGTGAAGAGAGAAGGTTTTCGAGTTGGAAGGCACAAACCTGGGAAAGCTTAGGTTTCGTTGTTGCGCGAACGCCTATAGCCCCCATCTATATCAAGCGAATGAAGGTTTTCGGCAAACCCTCGTTGAGGCTCCTTCCGAACTTCCCACACACCACTCCACAGCTCTAGCAGATATACTATATTCGAGACAAGCTTATTTGAGTAGTCCTTCTAGACGCAATCTCTGTGAGTGCGAGCTCAATATGACGCCAGTATTTCGTTCCCAGGACAAGAAATGTTCTTCGGGCGTCCAACAATAGCGATCCTTGCCGGCGTTTGCCCCAAGTTTAGGTAGCCGTCCTATGTTTGACTGACTCGGCCGGCGGTCACCCCTGTTCTTGATATGTCACGGTGAACACAAGCTTTGATTGACAGTCTTGGCAGAGCCCTGCTGAGAACGCCTCCATTTGAGATATAAATCGACCAGTTCCCACGGCCTTGGCACTGGTTGAGATATCTCTCGAACTGTCACCAGAAGATCTTCTACTCTGATCATTACCATCCTTTGAGCTTTGGCTCGTCCATTCTTTTTTCGTTCACTCTCTCGTACTTATCGCCCTAGGGCACTCCGACATAACAAACTACTTCACAACCGACATTTCTGCTTTTAAACATGGTTTCTTTCTTCGCTCTCGCTGGCCTGGCTGCCACCGCCCTGGCTGCGCCCGTTAGCCAGTCCGGCTGCACTTTCACCGACGCCAACGCTGCCATGAAGGGCAAGGCTGGCTGCTCGAACATTGTCTTGAAGGATATCGCTGTCCCCGCTGGAGTCACTCTTGACTTGACTGGCCTCAAGTCGGGTGCTACCGTACGTCGATTCTTGAACATCACCTCTTGTGGTCAATAGGCCACTATCATCTCGGCCAGATTTACTAACCAAATCAACAGGTTACCTTCCAAGGCAAGACTACCTTCGGATACAAGGAGTGGGCTGGTCCCCTCATTTCCGTTTCGGGCTCCAATGTCAACGTCGTCGGCGCCTCCGGTCATGTGATTGACTGCGGCGGCCAGCGCTGGTGGGATTGCAAGGGCAGCAACGGTGGCAAGACGAAGCCCAAGTTCTTCGCTGCCCACTCTCTGCAAAACTCCAACATTCGCGGCCTTAACGTGCTCAACACCCCAGTTCAGGCCTTCTCCATCAACACCTGCACCAACCTCGGCATCTACGATGTCAAGATTGACGACTCTGCCGGCGACGGCGGTTCCCAGTGCGGCCACAACACCGACGGCTTCGACGTTGGTTCTTCCAACGGCATCTACATCTCTGGTTGCACTGTCAAGAACCAGGATGACTGCCTTGCTATCAACTCCGGTACCAACATCACTTTCGTCGACGGCACTTGCATTGGCGGTCACGGTCTCTCCATCGGATCCGTTGGTGGACGCTCCAACAACGTCGTCAAGACCGTTCGCATCCTCAACTCCAAGATTATCGACTCGGACAACGGCGTCAGAATCAAGACCGTTGCTGGTGCGACTGGCGCTGTTTCGGACGTTGTCTACTCCGGTATTACCATGACTGGTATCAACAAGTACGGCGTCATCATTCAGCAGGACTACAAGAACGGATCTCCTACCGGCAAGCCCACCAGCGGTGTCCCCATTACCGATCTTACCGTCAGCAAGATTACTGGTAACATCAAGTCTTCCGGTACTGACGTTCAGGTTCTTTGCGGATCCGGCGCTTGCCGCAACTGGAAGTGGGAGGGAGTCAACGTTTCCGGTGGTCAGAAGGCAGCCAAGGCTCTCAACGTCCCGCAGAGTGCGGTCCAGAGCGTCAACACCAAGTTGTAAGCGGCTGTTAGCTCAAACATCGTCGAAATATGGCGAGTTGGGAGACTTGTGTACATGGTAGGCCGATCTTTTGGTATCGGTCTAGATGTAGCTCAAGAACTTGTTACAGAGTGGTGTCCCAACATTAGCTGGCGACGAATTATGTTCTTTTGTATGCAAATATGTATATCGTATCATCTTGCTGGTCACGATATGAACATATAATTAAACCTTAAACCAAATCAAATCTTGTGCATCTAAAGTGACTTGAAACTGTCTGAGCTATGTAATTTTCGCGTTGCGGTGCTTGAAAGCTTCGTGGTATTGTGACGCTTGCTTTGACGTTCAAATGCACCTTCCAATAGTGAACAGAATCTCTAGAAGGTGGTCATTCACGAGGGTCATTTTTGAAAAGAAGATGCAACCCAGGACTGCTAGGAGCGGGCTAAGCCTATCAACACCCTGAGGTTATGAGTCTTGGTACCTTTGGGTGACTAGCTACACTTTACTTTGGGTCAAGAAGAATCTTGTGGATTCAATCAACTGCCAAGATAAAATGCCGTACATGAGCATATCAGATTTGTGATTCATGACCCTTCAGTACGCTCCTTTTCTTTCAGCCCACTTCGGCTGCGGCGCAGGCGTCACCTTTCCGAACCCAGTTGCGCTGACCATGCCAACTTCCCACTTGAGCCCCTCAACCTTGGCGCCGCCCTTCTCCATGGCCCAGAGCGTGATGCCGAGATGGTTGGAGCCCTGGTAATTGAGAATGCCCTCAGGAATGGGGAAGCGAGCTTGCGGGCCGACATGGTGGACAAACTTGCCAAATTGGTATCCGTTCACAAAGATCTGAGCGCGGTACGCCGTGGTTGTGGTGTTGGCAAAAGTCAGAGAGAGCGGGATGTCGAAGCCAGTGGGGAGGTCGAGGTCAAAAGTGGCAGAGTAGTAGGCAATTCCGGCCTTTTCAATTCCCGCGGAGGGGCCCTTGCTATCTTCCCAAGAGGCCGACGGAGGTTGGGGCCAGTGGTATCCTTGTCGCTCGATAAAGAGACCGCCTTCATTGAGAGGGCCTCGTTCGCTGTCGGCGTAGTCCTCGCCGCCCAAGTTGCCGGTGATCTTCCACTTGATATCAGATTGCTCGTGACCCGCAAGGTTGTAGTTGAGGATGCCCCGGGGGTTCTTCTGCTGCTCTTCGCCGACGACCCAGTTGCCGTTCAGACCCATGTGGTCAACAACGACTGTGAAGACGTAGTCTTTATCCTTGGTCAACTTAGGCAGGGTGAACGTGCTGTTATAGGCGGGAGAAACAGCGTTTCCGACCCAAGAACCGATGAACTCATCGTCCAGCCATACTGAAGCACCATAAGCGTTACCTCCTTGAGTTGTGATGTTGAAAGTCGTTTCATCGCCGTTGGCAGTGAAGTGACCCCGATAGAGAAGCGAGCTGGTGTGGTAGCCGTAGTCTCCACCGTACAAGCTGGTGGGAGTCTTGAGAGGGTTCGCGGTATTGTACGTCTTTTCAAGGTCCGCGGCCGTCCATAACTCGTCGGAGTAGTCTGACTTGATCTCTGGCAAACTATCGATATACTTCCAGCTGAGCTGACTGATGCACGGAAGCTTGATCTCAGGGGTAGAGAAGTCGACCTTGGCGGCCACAGCTCCGTGGTCATTCTGCTTGAAGTCAAGAGACTTGCCGTTGAATTTCAGAGTCTTCAGCGACGACGGGGCACCACCGATAATCTCGATGGTGGTCGTGCTGTTAACGTCACCAGAAAAGCTGATGGAGTCACCGGTAACGGCAACATTGCGGACGAGATATCCAGCCTTGACAATAACATCAGAGGTTCCGAAATCACCGACCGCGGGGGGAACCCAGAAGTTGTAGGCCTCATTGCGCGCTGGAGAAGTCTCGTTAGATAAGAAGGCACAACGATGTTGGGTGAAAACTTACTCAGGAGGTATACATACACGTTCTCGTGTACGCGGACAACCTTTCGCTCGTCCGAGACAGCCCAGCCTAACACAGTGTAGCCGTCTTTTTGCTCAATAGTGACATCTGAGCCCTCGATAACGTTCTCGTCGGTGATATCGGCTTGTTCACCTTCGATGGCCAGCTCATGGTGCTCGTCGGCACCTCCGTAGACGACCAGCACGGTCTTGTCGGCATACTTCTTCCTATTAAGAGGTTGGAAAAGCGTCATGGATGCTCGAATGAAGCTGACTACTTACCATGTAAAGATCTCAGCTGTGGAGTAGACTAGATTCTTGTCGCCCACAGGATAGTCGCTGACGTGGATCTTGGAGTCGCGCCTGGTCAAGTACAGGCTATCGCTGAGCTGGGGAACTTCAAGCTCACCGTACTTGACAGTTTTGACCTTCAGCTTATAGGCAGTTGTCTCAAGAGAGTCATACTTTGTGTGTCTATCGCACCATGTGTTAAGACTGACTAAACGCTGAGGGTACATGTGGAATATCCATATACCTCGTGATGTAGAACTTGGTGGTGTTCGTTGTTGCCGGGGTCACGGTGATCGCGTCGTTGTTGGTCCACTCAAGCGAGGCGTTGAATCGATCGGCCACGAGATAAGCAGGAGACACGTGAAGGAAGTTGGATTGAAGCTTCGTCTCGCTGTACTTCTCACGGTTGACTAGACGTTCCTCGGTGATCTGCGCACCGTAGTCGTACGAGGTGTAGCCGTCGGAGTGTCCGAGGTTACCCCAGTTGGTGCCACCCCAAGTCTGCCGGATTCATTAACAAAGAACATTTGGAGAACCTGTCGAAACACTTACCATGTAGATGTTGAAGATGGTCACTCCAACGGCATAGTTGTTCTTGTACAGAACACGCTCAAACTCATGGTTGAGAAGGGCTGCGCAGTACTCGAATCCAGCACCTCCCCATGGCTGGAAGCCACCGCCTTGGAACTAATGACTGTCAGATTATCTACCAACTTGGACAGTGTCGACTTGATATCACATACCTCAACGATCGTATACGGGGTGGTCGGTGCGATAGCATTGTTTGTCGTGAGCCAATCAGTCGGCAGGCCATTCTCAGGCCAGACCGTAGGGTTCCAGCAGTCGAATCCCAGCGGATACCCATCGTGTCCATAGATATCGACCTTGGCGGGCGTAAGCGCAGTGATGGCACCGAGCTGCCAGGCCTCATTATTGACGTACGGCACAACAACCCCGTGACTGCGGAACTGATTGTCGACGTACTTCCAGTAGTCGTAGTCGGGGAACGGGTACGGGTCGACGGCAGCGTTGTACTCGTTCTCCATTTGGAAAAGAATGACAGGTCCTCCGTTGGTGATTTGGGCTTTGGCGATGATGCTTCCGAGGGTGGCGGTGTAACTTTGCATGTTAGTTAACAACCATTTATGTCATTGGCGTTGATGCTTGTTGTCATACTTGTCAGTTGCCTTCAGGTAAGCTTCGTCGCCAGTCCTGAGAGCTCCTTGGACTCTCTGGAGCCAACCGGGAAACCCTCCTCCGGTGACTTCAGCATTAATATACGGTCCCGGTCGCTTGGTTCTGTGTTAGTCGTAAGATTTCTGGGAGGACATTCGTCGGATGACCTACAGCAAAGAGATAGAGTCCAGCCTTCTCGGCGGCCTCGAAGAGTGGCTCGAGTGCGAAAATGCCCTCAGCGCGAACCTCACCTGGCTTTGCCTCCAAGAGTCCCCAATTGACGTAGAAGGAGACGGAATTGTAACCAGCTGCCTTGATCTTCTGGAGGATATCGAGCCATAGGGATGGAACCGGCATTCTACCAACGACTATCAGTGATGTGACGGCTTTTTCATGTCACGATACCGGCCTACCTGAAGGCATGGAACTCGGCGCTGAAGATCATCAATCTCTCGCCGTTGATAAACAAGCTTTTGTCGTCCCATGTCACCTAGTCATATTAGTCAACGCCTTTCTGGCCGTCTCATGAGAACCCCAGGTAAGGCCTTATGCAAACTCTGGTCATTCTTAAGGCCACTTTCGAGATATACTCACAATGTCTTGCTGCCTTCCATTGAGGAGCTTCAGATCCGTCCCAATGGCTCTGGCATTGACTCCATCAAGCCAAGCTAAGGCCAGCAGGGAAAGAGCCTTCAGACGCGACAGCAACATCTTGATTGTTACACCAGCAGCACACTCAAAATCGTGCTTGAACTGCAGCTATACAACATCAATTGAGACGATACGGGACAGGTCTACGCGGCGAGGGACTGGTTGCTATTTGACGAAAGACAACAAAGTTCCGGCCTGTACAAGCGACGGACCGGAAATGTCACCATCCCCCAACCTTGAACTACACGTAGCGGCGGGATCATCGGCATTGCTGGGATCTGAATGGCTGAGCAGTACCTGGCAGCGCAGCACTCTCATTGCAATCTCAATTCCCCCTCTCTTACCCCAACTGTACGACTGCAACGTCGCCAGTCCACGGGTATGGGATTGGACAATAGGACATGACGTGCATGCATGTATCTTGCACCATCTCTGGCCGTCAAGCTTGAACACATAGGAGAGCAGGGAGGGAACTGGTCGAGAGTGGCAGACATTGGCTCTTTCACCGCATCTCCATTCGAACCTTGAGCTGTTAGTTCTTCCCCGCTCATGAGCCCCGCGTTTGTCGGCTAACCACCTGTTCGTCCCTTGTCTCCCAAGACGGGCTAAGACGTGGTAGGGTTTCCCATGCGGGGAGTTGCGCCACCTCAAACGGCCCGCATGTCCGGGGCAACCCAGGAACACATCGAAACTTCCGTCCATACGAAGCCCGGTCTATGAAGCTAGAGGACGGCGGAAAAATTGACCAAGGTTGCTGGTCTCTCCGCTGTTATTCTCAGGACCTCAGTGAGACCACCGCACTCCTTTGTCCAGGGCATGTCTGCGAATTTTCCCGATTCCTTTGGGATCGCCCTCTCTAATCGAGCAGTTGTTTTCGAATTTGGAGACAGCGCTATTGCATGTCACTTCTAAAAACACAAACACATTTCAGTCACATGCAGACACACACTTGGAGGTCCGCCAAGAGGTAATATCCCGTATGTAAATTACGTCACCAGGAGGCAGAGAGCTCATCGGAGACACATACCCGGTGCGAAGAAGCGGTAAAGGTAGCGCGAGCATCATCCGGAGGGGCTGTAAATGTATGTCAATCATTTACCAATGTCTCATTATGGCGTTCATTGCGTGTATGTACTTGTTGTGTGAGCATAGGGTACGTCTTCCAAATGACCGACCCGAACTTTTGTTATTTACATGAATCTTTTGGCAACCCTCATGCCTGCTTGAGACCCAACAGCTCGGTAAGCTTAAGCATGCTGACGGTAACCTTGTTAGTGGTGCTGGGAGGCAGGACGCCGGCACCCATAATGAGAAGGTAGTCAGGATCCTCTTCCATGATACGCAGGTTACGGGTGTATGCACCGGCCTCAGGAGAATCGTATGCGACCCAAGCGCTCGGGTCGCCGCCGCGGCGGTTGATGAAGAGAGGGGCACTGTTGCTTGACACGACAATAGTACCGTTGCAACCACCGACGGGAGACCAGACAACATTAGGGCTGTTAATGGGGAAGACACCGCCATTGGTGCTGTTGATGTACATGTCGGGGGCATCGGCGAACTTGCGGGGGTCCTTTGCGATACGGTAGTAGATGGGGAACGCGTAGGTCGGGATGATGGGTGCGCCGCCCCATTCAAAGGTGTACATGTAGTCGCCATTGGCGAGCTGTGTGACGAAGGGCATGCCTGGGCGGTCGGTGTATGTTGGGTAGGAGACATCGGTTACGACGGCGGACCAGTTCTTGAGGTCTTTCGTGGTCTGGTGGGAGATCTCCTGGCCGTGCTCGGCCGAGCGCTGGTCGGCGTAGTAAAGGATGAGGTCATCCTCGAAGATGCTACCGTCGGTGTTAGCAAATCTAGACTAAGTGCATTGCGGTTCGAGTTGCTCATGACTTACAGAATGAAAGGCTCCCAGACGGGAGTCTCCTCGTTGTTGGGAATGGCACGACCACCGCGGGCGACGTGGGAGAGAAACTCCCAAGTGCGGCCCTTGTCCTGAGAAGCATACAGGTCGATTTGGGTCTCGCTGAGGTCGGTGGGAATGCTGTTACCGGCCAGGAGCACGGTTCCAGCAGGGAAGCCTGCAAAGTCCTCGCGGAGCTCGTACAGGAATGGTTGGTAACGCAAGCCCCAGTTGTTGACCTGGTCGTGAACCTGGCCAACTTCCTCCCACGTGAGGCCACCGTCTAGGGACTCGTAGATGGGGAACCAGACTAGAGGAGGCTCCGGTGAGTAGTTCTCCCAAGTTCCCAGGAGACGACCGTCATTGAGCTGAACTGTGCGAGGGTACAGCACGCGGGGGTCCGTGTAGTTGTCAGGCGGCTGGAATATGAGGTTGCGCTCGAAGGTCTCAAGAGCAGAGGCAAATCCGCAAGTGAGGACGCCTACGGCGGCGATGAGGGCGGACCGGAGCATCATGACGGCTGCTGCTACGATTCGACGATCTCTGCGGGATGCGACGCGTCTGAAGACAGATGTGCGAGAATAGGAAGGCAACCTTTGTCGGACCGAGAAGCAAAGCACCTTTTATAAGGTAGCATTGGACATCGCGTCCCTCACTGCTTGACCCATGTGGTTGGTTCCAGAGGAGTAATTGAGCTGGGGCCGATGACCATGGCAAGCTGCACGATGCGACCTTGCCCGAGCCATGAGCTTCCTCTCGGTTACCTCGGCCATGTGGCGACTCCCCATAACCTTCTTAACCCTGGCTCAGCTCCCCCAGACTGGAGAAGCCTGGAGAAACAATATCGTTGGAAAGCACGGCTTAGATGTCAACGAGGAGGTCCCACGGTGCGAAGCACGAATCGGCCGCTGACTGGGAGTACCGCTGCGCAGCAGTTGCATGCGCTCCAAACAAACAACCGACGGCCGATGATGATGATTAGAGTCGCGGGACTCGACGACAAGGTTGTGCCGAGATGGAAAGAAAATAAGATTGGGGTTGCGGGAGCCGGGCCAATGTTATCTCGAGCTCCGCCGTACAAACTTGCTCGTTTCCGGTGAACCCCAAGACTTCGAGCTGTGGGGTTCGTGCGGGGGAATGGAGTCAAGTACCGAAGTTGCTCGTGGAAGATGCGCACCAATCATTCCAGCCAATTCCTCGGTAGTGATGCTCGCTCTTGGTCTAGCTGGAGTTGTTTGCATGTGCCTACATCTGGGCTGTGAAGCCGCTCTCGACGAGGGGAGAGGAGGGGGCTTTGTGGATTGCCAAGTTGGCTGAGCTCGATAATGTCCCGGGACCAGCTTGCTTGGAATGCTTTGTTTCCGTCATTTCCCTACTTTACTTTGCATTGTCACCTCACCGCCCTCAATGCATTCACCTGGAATCGCGATTATCTCAACAACTAATAGGAAGTTGGCGGAGGTTGGAATGACTACTTGGATTCATACAGGGCATCCTTGTGCACCCTCCCTCAGGTTTCCTGCCTTACCTTTATCTCGTGATAAGGTTGTTTTCTATCCATCCTTTCATTTTTTGCGAGACGACCATCCCACTAGTCGCTCATGATACCTGTCTAGAGCTGTCTCACAGACTTCATCTCAATTACATGGAGTTATCGACATGGCTGAATGGAATTTCTTCATCCCTGTAATGACGGCTGCTGAAGTCTCTTGAAACTAATGAGTTGACGTTTGCTGGGAATGAAGATTATTATTCATCGTACTTATTGTTACAAGTTTTCGAGCAATGCCGGATGGTCTTCCTAGTACTTGTCACCCCTTTGCTACCTTACAAGAAGGAGAGTGTGTCGATGGATCTGCGAATGAGTGTTGTTTATGTACACTCAACTTGGTTTACTCTGGGGAAGCAGAGCCAATGAGCTTAGTAGTGTCAAATTCAATTAAAAGGTGTCAATTGTGTGAACCATAGGGAGTTCGAAAAGGTATCAGGCATTTACAATAGTGTAAAAATTGATTTTTTTGGCTGGAAACTTCGGGCGATCCATGTGTGCTCGACAAAGTAAACCACCAACTTCTATCCCGTCTCTACTATCACTAGCAGGATAGGCCCGTCCTACGTTTTGTTTCTACTTTAGGGGTAAAAAGACTTTGATATTGTTCTGAAGGCATTGATACTGTAGCATGAGCTATTTACCTCCATTCATAAGTTGACATGAGACTTTGTTGCGACATTGGATCTAGTTTATGATAGAGGTTTACTCGACGAAAGACTTACAAGGACTTTTCCAAGTGGTTCTTCGCATTGGGCATTGAAGTGCGAAAACCAAAGTCTAGGGTTCTTTACACTAGTACTTACGCCAAACTTACTAATTCTAGCCCCTTATGACTATCTTGACGGAGAAGGAGTCGCCTAAAGTCAGTTCTCATCAAGACACACATTGGCAATCCCGTTACAGGACATTTTGGCTATATAATTTCCCACAAGCGGCTAGCCACCACATTTTCCACGATGCTTAGCACCCGCGTACATCATTCAGAAGTTCGGGATGGTTAATCGTGTATTTTTATGCTCAAATGCTTGAGCTGCTCAGCAATGAAAGTCACTGCTACCAAAATCTTCGTAAAATGATGCGTAGATCTATCGGCTTGCGCGGGGTTGTGGTGCTCTTGTGATGTGACAACTCCTAAATTGCCTTGACCTTGGCGCTCGAAGATTGTGAATATTTGATCAGAATGTCAGCCACTTGCATAGATCACGCGATAACAGATTGCTGTATCAGGCAGGTCTGATCGCGCAATCTCAGGGTCTTCCGCGTATACGAGATCATACTTCTCTTCACCTGGGTATTGAAGATTGTGGTACCGGACTGTGACACCGTGATGATCTGGAAGTGAGCGGATTCGTAGATACCTAGTGAACGTGCGGTGGACTGAGCTGCCTATTGTGTTAAGCATATTCCGCAATTGCCGTGCTTTAGCGGGAATACGAGAACACACCAGGGTCTGATAACATCACCAACAACTTCAAGATGCAATGCGACGTTGCCCTGCATCGACTCAAATGTTCTCTTACCACGCCGCGGAATCCGCGGTATTAAGGAAGATCAACTTCATACCAGGTAATCGCATGTACATATAAGCCTCTTGTCGGATTCCAGGTAGCCTACCGTCATGAGACCTTGTTCCCAGCATGCTCGCTGAACATCACTCGCTGCTGTTGGTGTATTTATTCTTCCAGAATGCACCGTCCCTTCGTTCTTGCCAGCTTGACGCTCTTTTTGAGCCAAGCTGCTGCCTTTGAGGGCAATCTCAGAACCAAACCGGAGCTCATTCCGAATGCATTTGTGGTTGAGCTTCGCGATCCAATAAGTCTCGGCCGCCGTTCGGACGAACACACCCACGTGTCATTCAAGCGTGCGCTCTCGTCCTTGACCTCCTTCGATGTGCGATACGAATACACCAATCATGAACTTTTCTATGGCATCTCGATAAACATTCACAACAATGAGTCTCTCGCTGTGTTGAAGTCTCTACCTGAAGTTGTCAACGTCTCCCCAGTCCAGTTCATCCCACGGCCCCTTCTTGCTATCGATTATGAAAGTCGCTCGGAGTCATCCTCTTCGGTGCATACTTCTCGTAAGCTAGCAAAGAGACAGCAGATTCCCGAGAATAACTTGGACTACAACGTCCCTCACACAATGACTGGAGTTGACCGTGTGCACGCTGCTGGCATCAAAGGAAAAGGAGTTAAGATCGCCGTCTTGGACTCTGGTGTCGACTACTATCATCCTGCCCTCGGCGGCTGTTTCGGACCTGGATGCAAGATCTCGTTTGGATATGATCTCGTTGGTGATGGGTACGACGGATACGGTACCCCAGTTGAAGATGCAGATCCTCTGGCTGCGTGTGTTGGGGGTGGACATGGCAGTCATGTCTCAGGTAAGTTGTCAGTTTAACTTTTGATGTTAGGGCCGATCTGACGGCATTAGGAATCATCACCATGGATTCATCTTCCAACGATACCTTCCAAGGCATGGTGGGCGTCGCACCTGAAGCAACATTAGGTATGTACCGCGTCTTCGGCTGCTCCGGCGGCGTTGGCAGCGACGTACTCGTGGCCGCAATGATGCGCGCCGCCAGCGATGGAGCCCAGATCATCAGCATGTCTATCGGCGGTTTTTCCTCGGTCGGCAACTCGCCAAACGATCCTTACCACGTCCTAATCCAGAAGTTAACGGACAGTGGCATTGCTGTCGTGGCTGCTGCGGGCAATGACGGGGCCAACCTCCCCTTTGCAGTCAACGCGCCTGCCAACAGCCCTGCTGCCATTGCAGTCGGCTCTATTGAAAACACTCTTTTCCAGACGTTTGAGCTGATTGATTCAAATGGCGAACTCATTCGTTATGGAAGTCTTTACCCCTTTCCCCTGAACCGCACGCTAACGGCGGTGCATGTCGGCGATGGGGGCGTCCAGGGCAACTTCGGATGCCGGGCGGCGGACTATGATGCCATTGCAAGCAAAGTCACTGGTTCGAAGGAGAACTACGTGATCGTGGTTCGACGTGGACTTTGCGGTCTTTCCTTGATTCAGGATGTTGCAGCTACTGCAGGCTTCAACAACATCCTGACATATCCTGATAAGGACGTTCTTGACAATCCATTTTTGGAGGGATTCAGTGCAACCTTGCCAAATGCTGCGCGTAGCTTCGGTACAACGACAAACAACAAGATTCAGGTTGGATCTCTGAAAGGCGGATACTCTGTAACGTTTCGAACTGCTGTTCCCCAACTCACACGACAAGCGTGGGGCGGCCAGATGAACAACTTTAGTAGTCCAGGTAGGCTACCAAGTCGAAAGATAGTGGAAAATGGGATATTCTAACCCTTCTCTCCAGGACCTGTGTGGGATTTCAGCCTCAAGCCTCAGATCAGTGCCCCTGGCGGTCAAATTTTGTCGACCTGGCCCCTTGCTGCATCAGGATGGGCGCTGGCTAGCGGCACCTCAATGGCTACGCCGTACCTTTCTGGTGTTCTCGCACTCGTGAAGTCGCGATTTCCGGAACAATCAGTGACCGAGATACTCACCCGTCTCCAGTCAACCTCAAAGCCGACAACTCGCGTCACCCGTAACGATGTTTCGCCTCCTGTTCATCAGGGAGCCGGCTTGGTCGACGCCTACAACGCGATCTTCTATCCTTCATTCATCTCGCCTGGCCAGTTTGATCTCGGTCCCAATGAGATCGTCGCCCGGTCCAGCTACTCTATCAATATTGCAAACCCGTCAGACAAAGCCACAAAGTATACCCTAGGTCACACCCCAGCTCCTGGCATGGCTCGCTACCCTAATCCGGACGTCTCCGACCAGGTCGGATTCTTCAGCAATGTCTATCAACGACTAGCCTCTCTCCCTTTCGCAGCAACTATCAACTTCCCAGAAGGTTCAATAGTCACTCTAGGTCCTGGTGAAAGCAAGACTATTTCCGTGGAGATCGTCCCGCCGCAAAACCTTCGAGCTTTCATGATCCCTTTCTACTCAGGCTTCATCTCCATCTCCTCTGACCATAATGAAAAGCTTTCTATTCCGTACCAAGGGGCCGGGTATAACTACACAGCTGCTCCAAGCTTGGGAACCGATCCTGTGCCGTCTAACGTTCTCATACCCGTTACCGAGTATCCCGTGTTTGGAGCTCCACAGCTTGTCACGTCTGACGGCTTCGGTATTCAGGACTACATCAAGATTGATCCCGCCGAGCTGACCCTTTACTATGCCGGAATGCAGCCTGTGCGGATTGAGAGGCTGGACGTCGTTCGGGCAGACACAGACTTCGAGCCCACGTGGTATGGATTCAATCAGAATAGACCTCTGAACTACACCAAGACAGCGCAGCCTGTCAACGGCACAGTCGCCGGCGCCGAGTTATTGGGCAACCTGTACGTTAACTACAACAATGCGCCTGTGACTAGCTTGTTTGACTCCTGGCCTGTTCCAAGGTTGTGGGACGTCGAGACAGCGTCTGTCCCAATACCTATGTTGAAGGGCGGATACAGACTACTGATATCTCACTTGAAGTATGGTGCGGATGAGACTAAGCCTGAGGACTGGTCTACCTGGATGAGCGGTGTTATCGATGTTCCCGAAGATTACTACCCATGAGGAGATTATGTGGTCAACGAAATCGCACCCTACTCGATAGCAATTGTTGCCAACCGAATTTGATCCTCAATACTGTTTCCTGTCTCAGGCACGGGTGTATTGACACACGCGTTTCCCACTGTTGTGTACCTGTACCGCCAGCATCAGCCCATCAGATCACCAGCTCACATTGTAATGCGATTCGAGACAGGTGCTTCTTATTGCTGTTGTAAAACTGAAGTTAGGCATGAGAAGCATTCCTGGGGGCCAAAACACTCGATGCCGCAAGGCCAGCAAATGGTAGCTGTCGATGAAACAGCTGTTGGCCTGCTGTCCTCAAACTGCCGAGGAACTTAGATCGAGTTGTTCCAAAGCGGGAACTTCGCTATTCCCGGGGAAAGACTTCAGTGGTTAAACTTCCTTGTCCTGAACCTAAAAATAGTAGGGAAGCCGCGGGCCGTCTTAGCAGAGTTTACAGCTTTATATTGAGACATCCACAATATGCAGTGCGGCAGCATAAATAATGAAGATGATCTGACTCTGCGCTTATATGCGCGGTCAATCTTGGCCCGGCAGGCAGAGACCGCTCTAACTAGAATCCGATATGTTTGTGGTTTGTGGTGTGGCGAGTTAAATGTCCGGGAGTACAGTCTAGCGGCCTTTGCACGTTAAGGGTAAGTCAAACCACCCACTTTTGGCCTACCCCCCCTTTTGGCCCACCCTAACAACATAGTCTCAAAATATCGACATTAACTATAGTTAATTATTTAACTACCTTCTACTATTATAATAATATAATTATTATTTTTATTAAGTAACTCGACCCTTATGAGTTAATTAAGACTAATTAAACGGTTACTAAAGTCCTCTTAAGCCCTTTATACGTTTTAAATACTTACGAACTTAATATTTAAGTTTATTAATATACTCTTTTTTTTTTTAGGCCTTATATACTTAATTCTTATTTTTAAAAATCGAATTTAGTACTAAAATATAGCTAAGTAGTAGGCTTATTTACTAAATACCTTTTTTATTTTTTTAAATAGTAATTATTAAGTAGTATTATTTAGACTAAGCTTTATAAATAGCTTTAAATAGTTACTAAGCTCGCTAGCCTTTTTAAAAATTAATTAGTTAATAATAAAAATCGTTAATACTTAGTTAAGTAGTTTTTTAATATTATTAGTCGTTTACTTAGCTTTTATACCCCTTTTAAATAATATAACTTATATAAGTAAAATTATTAAATTAAGAAGTAGCTTAGTTATATTAAGTAGCTATAATTTAATTACTTTTTACTTATTTTATATATTTAATAACGTTAAATTAGCTAAATAAGTAAGCTAGTAATAGCTTAAGAAATACCGCTTTTTAATAATAATAAAATTATTTACTATATCCTCTTTACTAAGCTCCTTTTTATAATAAGATTTAATAGGATTAAAAATAGCTATATTTAATAGCTAGAGGATATAAGAAGTATATAATAATAAAAATAATAAATAAACGTTATTTTTATAATATTCCTATATAAATTCTATCGTTATATAACTCTTATAGCTATCTAGTACTAATAATTAAGGCTAGTTTAGCTTATTAAGCCCCCTAATAGGGGGGGTCTTAGTTTATAATAAAAATACTTTTTTTAACTAATAGAGGGTAGTCTCGTCGGTCGTTTAGTTATTATTTATTATTATAAACTTTTAATTATTATAAGGGTTAAGTTAAAATAGAAACTATTATTATTATACCGTCTTTCTTTTATAAATAATTAGTAATTTAATAAATTTATTATTAATAAAAATATACTTAATAATCGTTACTTAAGTATACGAACTAGGCTCTTTTTTTTATACTACTATGGCCTTTACTATGCCTAAAACTAGCCTATTAGCTCCCTTACTCTCTATTATACTAGTTTTATTTATATTATACTTATTAGCTTATTTAATAGCGCTAATCTTTAGTATATTAAGTAATTTAAACTATAATTTAATTATATTAGTAATAACTTTATTAATATATTGCGAATTTATTAAACGACTTTTCTAGACCCTTATTAATAAATTTCTTTTAAAAAAAGCGTTAATTTATTTCTTTTTAAGTAATTTAGTATTTCCCTAAGATATTAAAACTTGCTTAATAAATTTTTTAACTTATTAATAAGTTAGTATAATACTTAGGGTATACTAAATTCGAACTTATTAAGCTAACTAGTTTTCTTATTATAAAAAAAGCTTTTAGAGGTTTATAAATACTATTACCCTCGTTTAATAGCCTTTTTTATGATTCCGAAGTATTAACTTAAGAACCTTAAATATAATCGAGGCTTTTTTAAAAAAGAGACCGTTTTTAATAGCGTTAAGAGCTTATTAAACCTTATTTTTAGTATATAGTATTATTAACTATAGATTAATAAGTATATAAAAAAGAAATATATTTAGACGATTTTTATAATTATTATATTAAATTAAAAATCGTAGGTAGGGTTTTTAATCAGTAGCTAGGAAGGAAATTAGGGTGGGCCAAAAGGGGGGGTGGGCCAAAAGTGGGTGGTTTGACTTATCGGATTACGATTACTGCGTGTATGTACAGGTATGCTTATGCTATTTACATAGGTAACACATCCTCTTCAGTCCAGCCGCTGCACAGCATTGCGCAATCATCACCACCACCACCATTGCTGCTGCTTCTTGATCCATTTGTGGACCAAAGGAGCGATGTCGAGATTGTTCTTTTCAAGGTGCATGAAGTGGCCATTGCCCTTGATCCCAATTTCACTAAGCTTGATCCACTCCGGCTGGCCACCCACCTGCTTCAGATAATCGATGATACAGTGATCGTAAGTAATGTGGACACTGGCCTCTCCCGTCAAAGCCAGGTACGGTACGCTGGCGATCTTGGGAAGTTTTCGGACAGGTTCCTTTTGAAGGTAGCAGTTACGATGAGCTAACGACGGCTCACCCACAGATTCGACAGTGGCGTTGAGTTCCGCGGCGCTGGATACTGCCGGCTCGTAGTCGACAGGGGTGTTCGTCAGACCCCATGGATTAGCCGCAGTACTGGTCAGACCATAGCCGTACGCGCGAAAGGGGATCGTGGAGGGCTCAACATTGATGTTTCCGGCGAGATGCTGGGGACAATCATTGGAGATGCCGATAGCGAACTTGGAGCCCAGGGAGTGGGAGATGAGGTAAGACCGTGCGCCAATGAGGGAAAGAAGCTCACACCCAGCGGTGCGCATGGCTAGCTCTTGGGAGACCTGGCTGGTTGTGTATGGGATGAAGCTCTGCTGGAACTGGTCAAAGAAGGGATCGCCGCGCATACCCGTGCCGGGCCACTGGGTGTGAAGCTGAGACTGGGGGTAGGTGTTGTAGTTCTTGACGCCGGTGAAGCCCATCTCGACAAACTCGGCCGACATGCCTACGGCCATGGTGAAGTTGGCGGCGTTGTTGGCCGTGGATCGGCCGATGCTGTTAGCATCGACGAGGTAAACCTGGTAGCCTTGCTTCAGGAAGTAGGTCGCCCACCCGGGACGATTGTCAGGGGTATTGAGCCATGTGGTTCCCGGAATGCCGCCACCGTGGATGAAGACCAAGGGGGTCGAGCGTAGCGTGAGGATGGGGGTGAGCTTCTCGACGTAGAGCTGGCCGATGGTGATGTTGCCCGTGGGGTCTGGAGCGCTTTGGCCCCCGACGTAGAAGAATTCTCGACTGTGCAACGTCTCTGAAGGTCTGCACGTGGAGCTGACGGCGTTGACGCCGATGCAGCTACTGTCGGCACTTGAGGTGGCCGTGACCGTTGATGCGGCCAGCGCGAGGGCGGAGAAACCCGCAAATCGGACCATGATTCCTGTGGCTGGCGGGACGTTGAAGCAGTTTGACACACGCCAGACAACAGAGAGGAGGAGCGCGCTAGATGCGCACAGATTTATCTGGCTGGAACACACAAACAGGTCAAACGCGCATCATCATCAGACGAGTAAAGAAAAGGCGAGAACGGGTTCTAAAGCAGGGCTTGCGAACGAGAAATACTGTTAATATACGCTAAACGACCGGAGCTTGATTCGTTTCTGTGTTGGTTCGGATCAAGCCAAACAGGACTCTCCAAATTGCAAATATTGGAGCAACGAACTTTTGAACGCAATCTCGGGGAACTGGGCAAGACTGGGTCCAACACCGTGGAGAGAGAATGTTCCCCTCGACGGACCAGTTTCCCAACCGATCGCAAGCCAAGCCTCTGCCCGCAAGTCACCCCTTGCCAGTCCATCTGCACAAGGCAGAGGCGTGACGTGCTATAGAAGGGGGAAACCCCGGAACGCTGAGGAACCTCTTTTCAGAGTTTCTGACTGCAGCTTTGGGCTTGTCCGATCTTTGACGCCCAGGGCTCACCATTGGACCTGTGCCGCGAACTCGCAGGCCTTCCGGCGTTCGCGTCGCAAGGTAGGCTGCCGACGGCATAGAGTGAAGGAGGGGCCATGACTCGAGATCGCCTCACCCTCCACTTCAGCTGCACGCTCTAAGACAACCTTGACCTTGCGCTTAATTTATGAGCTGGATGGCCATCGCGGGCCTAGGTGGAACACGAGCCAAAACAGCGGCTCGTCTTTCCCAATACTGTTCCCCTCTGTTCACTGTTGTCGCGCAATTTTTGTAATGATACTTACTAGGTACTACGGATAGACTGCGAGTCTATGAGTCTTCGACCTTTCAGCCCATCCCACGTTCCCGGGACTTAATCCACACCATATGGGGTTAACGCTGGCTAGGCCATCACTCATCAAGGAACCTGATCTTGATAACCACGATATGAAACCAACCTAGACTGCGCACCATGATACATCAGATTCTCCGCCATGTTGCTACCTTCCATCTGATCGAATCCATATCATAAAGCGGCCCGGCCTCCCCCCTCCCCATACGGGTGATCCGTTACCACGAGTCCGACCTGCCCCAGACCTCCAGTCCGAACCCCCTACCCTTCGCCATGTCGAACGCAACGACCTCAGCGAAGATTGGAAAACCGCCAAACAACACGAGGGACTACAACATCATCAGGGGTATCTACCGACAGTATGGCGTTACGACACTCGACCCTAGTTTGGGTTACCTCTTCGCCGCAAAGGAGCCCGCGAACGCCGTCCACGAGTCTAAGCAGGGCGCCATCATCGCAGGAATGATTATTGTCCTACTCGCCATCATCGTACCAACAGCAGGAAGACTTTGGGTTCGCGGACGGGGAGCACAAACCAAGTTCGGATGGGACGACTGGGTTATCATAGCGGCGGCAACTCTCGCAGTGGTATATCCGATACTGCAGATCCTCGTCGTCGTCGACGCAGGAGGCGGCACACACACCTGGGAGAACACGTACGACGACTACCAGTTCTACTCCTACTACCTTACTATCTGCCGACTTCTATACTACCCCACGGTCGGCATCATCAAGATATCCATCACTCTCTTCATCAGACGGCTCGTCGACACGGCGTACAGGACGTGGAGAATTCTTGCGGATATTTTCCTCGTCACGGTTGTTGCGTATGTCATTGCTGCCTTGTTCTGGAGCATCTTCCTTTGCAATCCGCCACGAGCTGTTTGGGACAGAGAGTTTGCAGGAGCCTTAGCAGAGCCAGCGACGTGTGGAAACCAGTTCCTCAGTGCGAAGGTCCTCAGCATCATCCACGTGGTGCAGAGTGTCCTCCTCCTCGCAACACCAATCATTATCTTGTGGAGCATTCGTATTGATAGAGGGAAGAAGATTAGACTCTTCATCATCTGGGCTGCGGGAGGGCTGACCGTCACTGGCGGTCTGTTGCAACAGCTGCAGCCATTCACGTCAACTGACATTTTTTGGGACTACACCATCATCTTGAGATGGACGGTGCTCGACATATCCATGGGCATCGTGACGGCCTCACTACCGGTGCTTGACGCGGCCATCATGGGATCGTGGCATGCGGCGAAATCTACACTTGGGCTCTCCAATCCAGACAAGCAGAACAGCAGGGGGACGAAAGGTACCAGAGGAACAAACGTCGAGACAATCAGTTCCGGGCCACGAAAGAATTATGCCAGCTCGGCCGAGAACATCGTCGGCAAGGACGACAGCCTTGAGATGGACGTTATTCAACACAACGGACCCGACGATACGGGTGACAATCACTCGATTCCAGACACTACGGGCCATGATAGACGGCACAGGGTCAATAACATGGTATGAAGAAACGATCTAGATGATAGAGGTAACATAGTGTAATCGATAGACATAGAAAATTTGTCAAAACACCATTGCTATGCAGATTCCAACCAGAATCCATCGTTCATCACATATTCACAATCACGGCCAATTCCTAAGTCCCCGAAATCCCGACCAGATGTGAGGCGTCAGATGTATGCGCAGAACCGGACCTGGCAGCATCCCGAGAAAACACCCCTGCTCTGTCGTAAGCGAACCCCAGAGACAATTTTGCATGGGCATCATGGGCTCCACGGCTGCCCTCGATTGCCCCCAAAGACTGGCAGAAAAAGCCTGCGCAAATCTTTTGATACATCCCTGAGGCTTTTCCTCGCGAGCAGATTGTCGATCGCCTTGTCCGTGCTTGTTTGAACTCCCAGTCGTAATGTGGGCGTGCCGCGCGTGGATGGGTACCTGATAAACCGCGGCCGAAGACCCATTTTACCAGGAGACAATGACTCGAACCTAGTTGTTTTTGCTTTTCGATCAGGACTGACCCGAGAACCAGGAATCAATTGACATTTGCCGGACCGGCGCCGGTTCCACCATTAACATCGACGGCCTTAAGTACGTGCGCTGGACTAGGTTAATTAACCACCTAGCACTGCAATTTGAAGGCAATTTCTATATCAGCTCCGGGCGCCTCATGCTGACGGAAGATTGCCAGGAGCGCGGATAAGTATATACCGGCTAAGGCGGCAATGACATGAATCGCTCAGCGACATCGCGCTCCAGAGATGATACCAGAGAGCAAGCTCTTTGGCGATAGGAAAGTGACTTGGAGGCCACGAACGATCGCCAGAGCTCGTATTCCAGTGGCTTGTCTCAAAATTCGACTAGTTGAAAGTATGGCGGCCCAACGGTCGGGCACTCTTCTAACGGCTTTAGAAGTTCAGATGCACAGGTGCTAAAGGCGTTAGACAGCGGGCTACTGGGACACCAGCCATTTTGAGAGTGACTTTCAGATTAACTTGATAAGGGGTAATGCTGGACCTTTCGTTGCCATGGAGGCTTCATGGATTACGGAAACGCACCAACAGAAACTCTACACATCATCGGGCTGGGAGAGTATTTGTCCTTGTTAGAATAGCTTCCAATCACAATGAGTTCCCGGCCTGCCGCCCATGGCGGAAAACAGCAGAAATGTACTTGCTGCAGAATTTGATATGATACACTTCTACTGAATGCTTCATTTGAAAACTTCAGATTAGGATGTATCAATTAGGTTCGAGAATATCAAACATGCCCGTACAGGGCAGTTCGGATCACCATAATGCCCATTTTGGGATGATGGGAGCGGAAACGCTCGGTTGACAACTTGGCACGATGAGATAGATCTCGGAAACCTTACAGCTGTGTCCCCAATAACCGCTATTATTCGATACTCAGTGGAAGTAGGTGAACTCAAAATACGGGCAGCGGGATTCTGGGATCTCGCTCCCATCAGCATCATTCAAGCAGGGAAACCGCGGCGAAATGTAAGCAGTGAGCAAACACACCAGCCAGCCAGTGACCTCGCCCCGAACACGGATGTCGCATAGTCCCAAAGAAAGTCTAAGCTGCGTTCAAGCCGCGGTCTCGCTCCTCGGCAGAACAGTCATTATGTAGATACCGCATACCTGTCTGTGCTGAAAGCCAACTAGAGTGATGATTCTCCCTTCCCGTAATTAGGTTTATTATGAAGATTGGGACTTTCGCGATGAGAGACGCCGTCGCCAAGTGATCTATATTAAAGCGCGAATTGATGCACCGCATGACGTAGCGTTTCATATAACATGGAGTATTCGCGGCTTTTACCCGCTGTGGCTTTGCTAGAGGTGGGTGGGTACTTTCTCATCTATTGTTTGTAAGATAGGTACTCAAAGTATTAGACTCTAGGGGTGAGATTTGAACAATTTGCAGTCGGAAAGGGCCATGGTAATAACTTCGACTTCATCTAATGATAATGTTTGAAACCTAGGGGATAGGGCGACGTTTTCCATGAGGTTGAGGTGTAGAGGAAAACAAGTATCAGGCTTCGGGGCCTTGCTGAACACAAGACACGCCTCCCAAGAAGGGATGCAAGCTTGGATCGATGTGACTCTTGAACGCATCCTAGCACGTGGCAAAAAATGGCAAATACTACAGGAGCATTTATGCGCCTCGCAAAGAAAGAACAGCACCGGCAGTGATCCTTTTGACGAGCTTGGCAGCCCATGGTGACTACCAGTGCATCATGCAGGCAGCATTGACAAGTGCCGAAGTCCACAAACGGCACGAAGAGCTTGAGACAGGCACAGCGACGGAAGAGGTCCTTGTAACCCGACATAATCTTTACAAAAGTACATCCGGATATTGGTAAAGGTAAGATACGTCGAGAGTAGTTAGACCGCTCAGTGGTATTGCTAGAGATGCCGGTGCCTTCCTGTTGAGAGTCTAGACGCAATTCCGGGATGCCTAAATAGTCCCGAAAGCGTTTGTCACAAGGCTCTGGACGAATACCATCGGAATGCGGTAAGACTCGTCAGTGGCTTCAAGCAGATGAAGCATAGGCGTCAACACACATTATTGTCTACATTGACTATCGGTCCGCCACAACACCAACTTCTCAATGGCACCTCACGCTTCAACACCACCACCATGAAGTCGGTCCGTTATAAAAGCTAGAGGTATAGGCGGGGTAGATGACCTGAAATGGAGGGCTTGACCTATACTTCGTACTCGACAGATATGAGCAGGAGTTGTGGAATCATCAAGTTACACATGAGCGTAACAGGAACTATGATTAGAACCGGAACAACAAAATATCGAATTTTTTGAGGAGGCTCAATACATTGAATGACTTGATCTCCTTCAAAAGAATTGAACATTAACAATTTCGCTCACGATGCCACTTACGTCCGTAAACCAGGCCCAAGTTTCCGGAGAGCAAGTAATGTCATACTGGTCTTATTGCAATTATTCAAACTACCTAACCGATGTTAGCCGTCATATGAGATGTTGATAGCTACTCCCATAACTACATGTATGATAGCGACGCTATCAGTCCGAAATATGTGTGCTATTGACGGTCGAAATAAACTAACGTAGTTGAAACTCCGGTGTTATTGAAGTGCATGTGCTTTCAGATCGTATGTGGTGAAGCAGAACCAGCATGGCCCTATTTCCAGAACGTCCAAAGCTATGCAAAGCTATGCGATGCAAGAATTACGACACTAACAGGAACCTGATTGATCATTCAGGAACAGACAGGAAACATGTTTGCAGAACACGACTCCTCACAAGCATAGAAGTATTACCTGATTAAGCCACCAATAGTAAGATGAGTTGGCCTGCGATCGATGACCTGTATGCAGGAGCCGGGCGTTTTTCGGCAGTATATGTGACAGCGATAGAGCTTGAAATTTACCAGAGTGCATGCCATGATCTGAGAAGGACCTCCAGCTTCGGGCCTTCTATTCAATTTTGAGGTCGTCGTGACCCATCATCTGATGTATAGGGCGGAATGCTACCTCAACTCCTCAAGACTCCGCACAACTCCGCCTTGAACGTGGGCGTAGGGTGTCATCGACCATGCTAAGACCAGGAACTCTCTTGTGTTGCATGTGCTACATCAGGGACCGTGGGGTTGGGCGCATGCAAAGTCTACATAGGTGAACCATTGCAGGTAGGCGTTCGGGTGGCTAGCCACACAGCAGGCCTACTCATCCCGCGGTGGTTGCCAGTTGGAGATATGACAGCCGACACTAACAGAACTTTGCTACCCCGCCATCGCCTGCATAATATTTTGGAGATGCCCCGGACTTCCAGGTCGAGTTTAGGTCCGGGGAAACGTTTACGGGTAGGGCCGTCTCGGTTGGAGGTACTTCGGCGTTGCTTGATGTGATGTGTGCCGGTGGGAGCAGCAAGGGCAAGTTAGATCGTGAGATGTCTAGTAGCATTATAGAAGCATGTGAGTGTGCTATGAGCTGCGACGATGTGGAATACCAAATGTGAAATTTGGCATATAAAGCCAAGATGACTCCTCTCAGACTGATGTTGTGAGAGACATAGAGCATCCCTTCTGGAAGTAGCTGTAGGTTGATATCTTGAACGGTCGAACCTCTCACAGGACGCCTGCAAGCCATTCAACATGAAGTCATCCACGACCTTGGCAGTTGCCACCTTCATCTCCTCTGTTTATGGACATGGATATCTGACGATCCCGTCTAGCCGCACTCGTCTCGGGCATGAGGTAAGAACCCAAAAGTAGTATCGAAGACTGCTCCGGCATTGAGCTAACGGACCATCGGCAGGCCGGCATAGATTCCTGCCCCGAGTGCACTATCCGGGAGCCCGTCTCGGCTTGGCCGGACCTCACGGCCGCCACCGTCGGACGAAGCGGTCCCTGCGGCTACAATGCTCGCGTCAGCGTCGACTATAACCAGCCCGGAAGCAACTGGGGCAGCAATGTAGTCGCGACCTACACTCGCGGCCAGACGGTCGATGTCCAGTGGTGCGTCGATAACAATGGCGACCACGGCGGCATGTTCAGCTACCGCATCTGCCAAGACCAGTCCATCGTCGACAAGTTCATCACACCCGGATACCTCCCCACCGACGACGAGAAGCAGGCCGCCGAGAACTGCTTCCAGGCTGGCACCCTCAAGTGCACCGATGTCTCGGGCCAGAGCTGCGACTACAGCCCAGATTGCACCTCCGGTCAGGCGTGCTGGCGGAACGACTGGTTCACCTGCAACGCGTTCCAGGCGAGCAGCCGACGCGGGTGCCAGGGCGTCGACAATAACGCGCTGGGGTCTTGCTACACCTCTATCGCCGGCGGCTACACAGTCACCAAGAAGATCAAGATTCCCGAATATGTCTCCAACCACACTCTGCTGTCGCTGCGCTGGAACTCGTTCCAGACCGGCCAGGTCTACCTCACGTGCGCCGACATCGCCATTGGCGGTGGGGGAAGCACTTCGCCGTCCTCGACACGCACGACCAGCGCCGCGGCGACAGCTACG